TTCTTAAAAAAATAAAAATAAAAAAATTTGTCCAAAAAATAGACAAAAATTTTTTAGGGTGGGCCACCCTTATCACTTAGGGGTTTAAAAAATAGTTTACAACCTATTGTCAGACCTACCGAATAGACACAAAAAATTTCATACAAATCGCTTTACCCATTTCGGAGAAGTTCGGTTACAAACATTGTGACGCCAGAATTTTATACATAATGCATTATTATTTTAGAACAAATTTCATTACCATAAAAAAGGTTATACTGACTCGACCTTAAAAGATAGACATATGCTGTCGCGGACTTTTCTTTAGAACTTTTAGAGGGGAACAATTTCGTCATACATGATTTTTACGTAACTTTAACCGTTTAAGCAGCGTAAGCAACGGAAGCTGTCAAAGGAGGAATAATTTTCCCGTTTTTCCGAATTTTTCATTGCTACTTCGCTCCTAATGATCGTAGCGTGATTTTATATAGCCTATATGTAGATATGATACATGGACTATCCAACACAAAAAGATTTTTTGAATTTGAACCAGTAGTTTCTGAGATTAGCGTGTTCAAATAAACAACAGCTTCAGCTTTATTATATAAGTATAGATATGTGTTTTGTTTATAAAATATTGTCTGGTATTGTTACTTGTTCAAATATTTTAATTTTATTTATGATATGATACATGTTCCATCTCGTCAAGTAAGAAATTCTCACTTACTTTTAATTCCATATCATCGTACTTTGTACGCGCTTCAATCGCCTGTCAGTCGTCTTGCTAGACTGACACTTATCTATAATGAAATTGAGTTTGTGGGAATTTCTTACACAAGGTTTAAATCATCGATCCACAGGAAGATTTTAATTTAGTGTTGTAACTTTTGTATGTTTTTATTATTGTAATCGGTTTTTTTTTCACCGTTAATAAACATCATCATCATCATAAACGAGGATGGAAGAGGACTGGACTGGATGAAAGATGTATGGAAGGCATTTTATTTATTTTTATTGATTTATTTGTATTATGTAGATAAAGTTAATTTGTACCCCTACTGGGAATCTTATTAATCCTGTAAGGTAAATAATAAATTAATAGTAGACTGCAATGGGGATTTTCGTTAACCATTTCTAGAATTGCCACTCCATTTTCAACACCGGTAGCTGTTCGTCTTCGGGGTTTTTTCGTAGATAGCCAGTTCTCCCTCAAGAAACTTCCTAGGCTTTCAAATATGGTATCTGTAGAGGCTCTTCTTTCAGGAAAACGTTGTGAATAAAGGCGGGCTGCCAAAGACACGTTCCAAAATTATTCAGGCTCTTTATTACTCATGGACCAGCCTGTATATAGACAAAATCAAATTTAAGCACAAAATATCTGTATCTAGATAAAAAATTAATACCACAGGTACAGATACATTTTTTTTATTTAACGTTTTTTTTAGTAGCTGGTGGTTTGGTGATTGTAATAGTAATTTTGGCATTTTATGTTGGTGATGGTGGTTCCATACACAAAAGTACAGGCATTTGATAAGAGTGTTTTGTGACTAATACTAAGCCATTTTTAATCATATGTTCACCGAAGCTGTCATATTTTAAATAGGTACCATCATTTTCTATATTGTAGTCTTCAGTATAGGTACTATCCATCTTTAAAGATAATCCTAATGGGTAATAAATCTGAGGTCCATTAATACTAAACAATGGTAAGATGGTATTTTAAATACCATAAACCATTATTATTACATTTCAAAAAAATTGAAAACAATCTATATCTGGATAACTTTATCCCTAATAATAATTAACTTGTTCAGTTATGTATTGCATTATAATTAACGACAGACTGAGTTTTCCTTATTACGAGGACAGTAGTAATTGCAGCTACTGGAACTATAGTTCAGCTTAAATCGACTGTGTTTACCTCATTATTTACACACTCTTATATTTTAATAATAATAGCAAAGTTGAACTGCAATTTGGCATAAACCTGTTGTTCAACTCCCAGTCCGTCACATAACACTAGGGTAGTGTGAATAAATAAATTTCGTCCGCCCAGTTCTGACATTCACATTATTAACTTATCAGTAGGAAACTTTTCCGTTTTTGGGGTTCTTGGAAGGTATTCGAAATCTTGGAAGGACCAAAATTATTATGAAGGGTGAACAAAAGACAGTTTTATGACATGCAGGTGGCGGAAGATAAAGGTTCATGCAGTGGTTATGAGTAAACAAATGAGAAATACATTTTTAACACAAAATAATGAAATACAGACTACATACAGTATGTAATTTTTTCAGTTTTAATTCAAAATACAGTTGCCTAAAATAAATTCATTCAAACGACTAGAAATTCTTCCAAACTCGGAAACACTATGCACTCCGGCTTACCATCAAAACCAGGTAAAGTTATGGCTCTAAGAAGAGATTAAATGCATTCGAAAACCTTTACTCAGAAAAACGGGAAAGTATGCAAATGAGGTGGCGGTCAAACAAAATGTTTACCTGAAGGATTTGAAGATGGTTTGGAATCGTAAAACTATGGTCACTGTCCGTGAAACGTTGAAATCAAATTTTAGACTAACAAGTAAATACAAAGTTTGGATTCTTTACGAAACTGCCTATCTTACTTCAACAGCTATAATAATTAATTACTGCTGATCCCAGAGAAGAGTAAGTTAGACATGTTGAAAAATTATAACCAATCGTAAAAAATAAACACCCGTTTTCACGTGGGATGAAACAAGACAAACTATTTCTCAACGTCATTATCGTGTTCTTGTGAATAAAAAATTGGTCGAAGTTTATTCTCTAAAAACTGTGGGTTTAATGTTGTATAAATCTCTCTGACGCGTTGTTTCAAGAGATTTTTGTTTCTCATTTTATCAAAGTAAACATTATCTTTTATGAAGCGTCAAAAGAAATAATCAGTCTTCACTTTTTTCCATATTCGTGAACAAATAAAACGCTAGGGTCGTTTTTTGCACGGATTTAATCTGATGAGACGAGGACATTTTTATTTGTTGAGTCTAAATAAACTGTTCATGACAAAATGTTAATATTATCAGATGCAGTGCGATTTGGTAGTGTCGTATTTACGTTACTTTGTATAGTAACATCCACAGTACATTTTTACGTACTATTCTAGTTCTGCATATGAAAATGACACTTTGACATTTCGATTTCGGTGGTAGAAGTGATTTCGAAATATCTTGGTTCGCGAGGTTTTCATAGGAGGGGCCTAATTAGGGTGGGAGACTAAAGACAAAGATCGTTTGCTTATTATATCTTTCCTCCACGGTCCAACCAGTTCGAAATGAGTTTTTATTGGTGGTCGGAGTTTTTCAAGCAATTTTTGCGTTCTGCGCAACTCAGTTCTTCTACCCTAATAGCAGTTCGTTCCTCACTCTATGCTCACTCTCATCCAGGCCATCTGATCTAGTACTGCGACTGCAGAGACATCAAGTAAGTTTTTTTTTTTTATTTCGATCCAACAGAATTTCATAAATTGGATTTCAAGAATATGGAGGAGGTGGAATACGAGATGGTACCTAAGGCTGTTGGCTGTGTCATTGTGTGCAAACTGGAGAACTTGGATACTTTGGAGGAAGAAAGTCGTCGCTGAGCAAATCCCTGATTCTAGTGAGTCAAAAAAAAAAAAGCAAGCGTCATCATCGGCGTACAGACCAGAAAGTTCTCGACGGCCCATCGGCGTCGTACCGAGGCGGCGTATGGGTTTATTTCGTAAAAAAATACATAAAACAATGGATAGAGCTCACAGAAGGTATTTACCATCTGAAGTATGGAGTGATTGTTGCACTAGTAGGGAAACACACGGTGTGGGAAGACTCGTATACTTCAATTACTAAAACGTTGCAGCATGCTGCAAACAAAATTATGTATAAAGAGAACATCAAGTTCATATGTTAACAGAAAACCCAGCAGCTTACCGTTATCCCTGCCATCAGGTTTGTCAATGCTTTTTTCTAGTGCATATTAAATAAATCAAGGGATGTTTTATGTTTTTTGCAGAGGGCGGAGTCGAAGCTATTCGCCCCACCATAGATCTAGATGCAGTAGATCCAGAAGAAGTAGATCGAGAAGAAGTTGGTCTCCACGTAATCGTTATGGGGAAGACAGGTCTAAAAGGCTGGAGGAGTACGAAACTCCGAGGATACCAAATTCACATTTTGAGGTAACACTTTTCATGCCTGATCGTGCTGGATTGGAGAAGACGATTAGGATACAGAGGTCGCTTAGTGTTAAAGCAGCTAATGTTATGGAAATTACAACCCAGCTAATTTTCAAGACCATGTGATCGAGGAGATTATATATGTGAATCCCCTAGTATTTTTATATTTACCAGAAATATTGCCTACTGCAAATTACAGTTTAATATTCTAATAATAAAGCTTACTACAATCAGAATTTCTTTAATTTCAGTTGCATGAGTTCAGAGTTGCGCAAATACAGTCCATCGGGCTAATTGTCAGTTAGACAAACTCGTTCAAATCAAACAACATAAACACTCGATGTTAAGCATGGTATTATTGCTGCGAGGACATTTTTTCCCGTTGGTTATCTGCTTTTACAGGCATTTTTTAAACCAGTTTTTCTTAACAACGCGGCATCGAGGGCATAAACGGACAAATTTTGATTAACGATTTACCTTATAATAACCTTAATGTGTTTGTAAGATTTCACAACATTTGGTAACGTTAAATAGAAACTACAGTTTCGTAGTTTTAAGTACTTTATTGGAGATTAGATTAAAAAAAATCAGTTAAAAATGTTTTCTTAGCTTTTACAGCTAACCATAATTTGCATAAGAACGAAAAAATCTGTTGTCGATAGTTTTTTATCAATATTGTAGATATATTTATAATGATATAAATGATGCAGAAATATTTGAATTGCATATTTGGCGGAAACGGCGTCCCAAGGTTACTGTCATACCGCAAATATTCCCAACGTTTTGATACTGATATGTGGTACAGCTGGTCTTTACTGTGATATTATATTCATTCGTTTCTAGAAGAGCAGAAGACGCGTCAAGTGTGTTTTCGTACTGTTCTGGTTGTTAAAATATCAACTGCAAATTTTTGGACTATTTGTGAGTAATACGTTTTATAATATATAATTATGCTGTGATAAAAGGGGTAGAATAATATGGTACTTCAATAAGAGTTAATTAATTTCGTGTTATGTATTTATTGTTGTTAATTACTGAACTTGATATTTGTTGTGGGACTGGTCAATAATCATAATCATGCTATTAATAGGATGCTTCAGCTTGACGCCAACTCCTTCATTTACAAAGACATCTATTTTAACTCTATAACAGTTATGCAACACATTATACCTTATAATTATAACACTATCTTATTTTGTGTTTATTTTTATCTTTGACGACGGTGTTGCACAGTTGCGTTTTGCTTACACGGTATGTATGCGATAAAAGTGTGTGTTCATTTAAAACCCTAATAATACTATTGGTCGAGGGATGTCGATAGTTGAAGTGGGAACGACAGGCGTTTCTAATTTGCAGACCACAGTTTATCTTGCAGACTGGGGGTTAAAAATGCTTCAATCAAGTTAAAACTCAATATTTGTTCATTTCTCAATACCAAGATTGTTGATTCAAAATTTCAATCCGTTCGGAAAAACCGTTAAAAACTACCCCCAGAACAAACTTGCAGACTGGAGCCTAAAAATACTCGAATCAAGTCAAAATTTGACATTCGCTAGTTTTTCAATACAGGGATTATTGATGCAAAATTTCCGCCTATTCGGAGAATAGGGGTTAAAAATACTCCAGTCAAGTCAAAACTGTAGGTACATTTGCTTATTTATCAAAACGAGGATTGTTGAAATAAAATTTTGATACATTCGGAGAAATCTTAAAAAAAAACAGGCTAGGGATTAAAACATCGTCGGACTGGCTCGTCCGGCTACCCGGCGATCGCCCTAAAAGCTCAGGGTCCCTAACGAATCACTTCAAAAAATTATTTTATTATTTTAATTTAATTTAGTTTTTTTTTAATTTATTTTTGTATTATTTTATTGTTAATTATTAATTAATTTATTAATATTTAAATTTAAAAAATATATAAATTACGAATATAGGAATATTTGTTATAGATACGTAAATCGCGATAATTTGAGTTCATGTTTATCATTGTTAGATAATAATCAGTTGGTACTATGTAAGAATGCGTAAGTTCGGCATTTTTTCGTTCAGTCTCTCATTTTAGGGTATGTTTTTACACGTCATTTTTGCTGTCAGCTTGGTTCATTCAGTACATACTATATGCAGGTTTTGAGTTGTTTTAGGTATAATTAAACTTTCATTATCAGTCAAAAAATACAAAGTGGTGTCCAGAAGAGAAAATTTAAAATTCATAGGAAACAAAATCTTAAAGATATTTTAAAGAAAATTAGAGACATTTTTAATTTCTGAGAAACCTAACGTAAAAAAAAAACTCAAACTTAATTTTATTTGAATTTCAAACAGAACCTAGTAAAGTGCTAATTTCTTAATTAATTATTAGTAATGGGAAAACAGATAAAGATCCGTTATATTCAATACGATGCAAAATTGTCTTCATATGTAGGTCTTACAGCCCTTGGATGGTCCATTTCTCTAATTTTCTGGTAATTTGTTCTTCTAATAAATTGGCTTATCAGCCGTTGTTGTAAACCTTTCTACTTAGTATTGCCCAAATTTCGTTTTCGATTGTTCGCACTGGGGGCACTATGGAGGGATTATCTTAGGTACAAAATTTATATTATTTCTTTCTAACCAATCCCTGGACATTGTTGTATAATGGCATCTTGCTAAATCTGACCAAAATATTACATCGTTGTTATTATGGTGTTCCCATATATTGTTATGTGTTGACCGCGTCACTTCTAATACGGCCAATGAATGGTGCTGAACCGCCAGCCGAAGATATAGCCCATCATACCAAAATTTTATCTTCAAACTTTGCCTTCGACTTAATTTTATTTGTAATTTGTTCTATATTGTTTGTATAAAATCCATCCTTCCATCTCTGAATAGGCAAACGTAAAATATTTTTCATCACCCAGTACAACCACACGATTGTCCAAAAAATGATGAATTCTCAATAGCCGGCAATATCTGAGAATTCTCTCTAACTGCGAAGCTGTATGTTTTGAACATTTAGCTCTTTTGCTGTCTCTCAAATTGTCGCCCTGTTTCTGTTATTTTGTTAAATTAAATTTAATTCTGTGTTTATTTATTTTCTTTTTTTGCTAATTTATATATCATGTGTCAATAGTGAATAGTTTTTTAATGAAATAACGATCACTAGTTAAATTAATAATTTTTAAAGTTTGATTTTGTGAAATTTTTCAGGGTGGCCGGTTTTTTGCCGGTCACTGTATATGCATTAAAATAAAGTTATAAAAGGTAACAAAACAATATTTTTCGTAATTAATAATGCATATTAAGATCATTAGGTGATGCCGCAGTTATAGGAATTAGCTCGGTTTTCGCGAAGGTGGAGATAACACGACGACCGTAGCAACGAATCTTAACCAATTAAAAACTCAAGTAAATTTGCTGCTGCTGCTTTTATATGCTTTCTTATGAAATTATTTTTGTTTTGTGTCTAGTATCCTACAAACGCTTTCGCGCACGCCACTGGAACAACCAGTTTCTCGGAGGACCTGGAAGAACCATTTATGACCCTAGTAGAAAGCGGGGTACCAGGCATTTTTTCAAATTATCTTCCCTCTTCAATTCAAATCATTCTTCCTCTATGGTGCGCACCTACTTTAGGAATATATACTGTCTCTTTATATGTGTCTAAAATTTTTCTATTAGGGGAAAGGTGCCTAAAATGATCCCCCTAAGGGAGAAATTCTTTAAAAAATACAAATTATTATTATTCATGTAAAACTGTAGCATTATTTGTAAGAACATTGATTTATCTAGGTAACAGTATAAGCCAATTGGTGATTCGATAATTATAAAAAAAGTTATTAACGTTTTTCCAGGACCTTACAAAAGGATCATTTTAGGCATCCCCATAGGTAAAATGATCCCTCGGCATGGGCATAATGATCCCTTTGAATTTTGACCATAAGGGGACAGCATCAACAAGAAAAATCAAATCATGACATAACTGATAAATATTTTATTTCAAAAATTAACAAAAAAATAAACAAAAAAAGTTTGAAAAGCACCGAAAATACGGGGTGTATAATTTCTGGAAGAGTTTGAGACAATACTTTAGTCATCAGTACGTGCTAAGATAAGGCTAATTTTGCCAAATGGGATACCCTTCAAGAAAAGAGAGGGCGGGTGGGCGGGCCTACTACCTGCTAAGATAAAACTGAATTTGGCAAATGATATACCCTCTAAGAAAAGAGAGGGTGGGTGGGTGGGGCAAGTAACTGCTAGGATAAGACTGAATTTGCCAAATGATATACCCTCTAAGCAAAGAGAGGGTGGGTGGGTGGTACTAGTAACTGCTAAGATAAAACTGATTTTGGCAAATGAGATACCCTTTAAGAAAAGTGATGGCGGGTGACTGGGATTAGTACCTCTTAAGACTGAGAATTTCCCAAAAATAGAACACGAAAATCCCTAAAATTCTTTTAAATTATTTAAATTTCCCCGTCTTAAGAGGTACTAGCTCCACCCACCCTCCCTCTCCTCTCTTAGAGGGTATTTCATTTGCGAAAATCAGTTTTGTTTTAGCAGGTAGTAGGTGGGTGGGGCTAGTAACTGTTAAGATAAAACTGGTATTGGCAAATGGTATTCCCTCGAAGAAACTAAAGGGTGGGTGGGCGGGGTTAGAGGATATGTCATCTGCAAAAATCAGTCTTATCTTAGCAGGTAGTAGCCCCGCCCACCCACCCTCTCTTTTCTTGGAGGATATGTCATTTGCGAAAATCAGTCTTATCTTATTAGGTACTAGCCCTCTAACAAGATAAAGGGCGGATGGGCCGAGCTAGTGCTTGGCAAGATAAGGCTGATATTGGCAAATAACATACATTCTAAGAAAATAACGGGCGGGCGGGTGGGGTTAGTACTTGCTAAGATAAAACTGATATTGGCAAATGGTATTCCTCAAAGAAAATAAAGAGTAGGTGGGCGGGGTTAGAGGATATGTTATCTGCAAAAATCAGTCTTATCTTAGCAGGTACTAGCCCCGCCCACCAACCCTCTCTTTTCTTAGAGGGTATATGATTTGCAAAAATCAGTCTTATCTTAGCAGGTACTAGCCCCGCCCAATGATCCGGGATCATTTTGCCTCAAGAAAAAGGGATCATTTCGCCTTAGGTAGCATATCCGCATTCAAAAATTGTACACTAACCTTCAATTTTTACATGCGGTAAAAAGATCATAACTAACCTACGACTGAAATGTATCTAATTCTGTCAAAACAACTACCACCGCTATAAGACCTTTCAAATGGAAGTAATGGACTTTTAAAATATATCTTACCTTAGATCAGAGATGCTTATTTTACATATTTTGGCACAAAACTGTGCAGAATACACAGAACGCCATAAAACTTTCAGAAGGTACTAATTACAGAGCGCTTAATCAAATGACTGTTATGTTTGGTAGATGGAGCCACAAATTTTCTTACAATTGATGGGGATCATTTGACCTGAGGGGATCATTTTAGGCACTTTTCCCCTACTTGTACTTTAAATGAATGTGAACTATCAATCATTTTTATAAGTTGCTTCAAGGTGACTAAAATTTAACATGATAATTTTTTGCGTAAAGAACTCAGCAAGTGGTAACTTTCGACTCAATTGGAGTATTTTTAAGCTCCATATGAAAGACTGCTTTGGGGTACTTGTTAAGAGCAGCTTAAAAAAGGCTGTTTTTTTTTTGCATTATCACTTCTCGTATAGATAAAAACGAAACACAAAGTTTCGATTTGGTAATAATATTTTTAAGGTCCAGTCTACAAGGTTGTTTTGGGGGTAGTTTTTGGGTTTTTTTTCAAATAGGCTGAAATTTTGTATCGATAATCCCCGTATTGAGAGACTAGCGAATGTCAAATTTTTACTTGGTTAGAGTATTTTTAAGCCCCAATCTGCAAGCTTGTTTTGGGGGTAGTTTTTAACGATTTCTCCGAACGGATTGAAATTTTGTATCAACAATCTTCGTATTGAGAAATTAGGAAATATCGAGTTTTGACTTGACTGAAGCATTTTTAACCCCCAGTCTGCAAGGTTGTTTTGGGGGTGATTTTTGAGGGTTTCTTCGAATAGGCTGAAATTTTGTATCGATAATCCTCGTATTGAGAAACTAGCGAATTTCAAATTTTGACTTGATTGGAGTATTTTTAAGCCCCAGTCTGCAAGCTTGTTTTGGGGGTAGTTTTTAACGATTTCTCCGAACGGGTTGAAATTTTGTATCAACAATCTTCGTATTGAAAAATTAAGGAATATCGAGTTTTGACTTCATTGGAGCATTTTTAACCCCCAGTCTGCAAGATAAACTGTGGCCTGCAAATTAGACAGGCCCGGGAACGACCGTTTTCATGCAGCTCAACAAATTATTATATTTACTTCACAGACTTTTTTTTATTTTTTATTTTTTTATTATGTTAGGCGATCGGGCAATGAGTAAGTGAGAAGTATCCAATATTTCTATTGCGAGCTGTAAGCGTCATATTTAATTTTGAAAGCCATTGTTGATTGTGAACTGACTATTTCTTCGGGCAAGGAATTCCATTGCTGAAAAACCCTATTACTCAGGAAGTGTCCTCTTTTTCTTTTAATCAATTTTAGAATGGAAGGCTTTTTGGAAGAACGTTTGATGAAAGAGGTGGTTGTGTGTTGTTCTACCTCAACAAGTTATTCCAGTCGACCTTAGTTAAACACCTGCATATAGCTTTATAATCTGTAATTGACCTCTTAAATGTGTCAATCCTCTTTTTAGAGGGTATAAAGCATATTTGCAAATCCACCTTTAATGTCACGTGGTCTGAGATGCCAATAGGAGGGAGATAATCTAAACTGGCTAGTGACGTGTTATCAGAAAATAAAATGAGGTCTAGCGTGGATGGACTTTGACCACTTCTGCATCTTGTAGGTTTGGTTATAAGCTGCCTCATTAAGTAAGTTTACAAGAAGTTGGGCAGAATCGCGGAATGAGAGACATTTTTGAGGCGGGAGTAAATCCAAATGTTTTAATTTGATTTTCAAAAACAGTGTGAGGAATGGATGGGCAAAGATTAGAGAGGATAATAGGACGTGCCGCTGACGAATTGGTCACACACGATTTTTTGACATCTTAGAAGCAAACAAGACATTTTTCGCTGTCACTATATTACCTATAGCAGCAACGTAATCGACTAATGTTAAGCAATCAGTAGCGTTAAGAACTACCGCTTGCTCTTTAGAGGGAAACTCAAACTAGCCATAATGACCAAATTTAATGTATAGCGGTATTAAACCCAAAAATGCTCGGCGAGCCGCAGTCACTCGCCTTGACTCTGCTTATAAGAACTTATCAGTGCTTGGATATAAGAAAACTTATTGTGATAAAAGGAACATCCGAATTAACAATATTGCTCCACTAATTGTCGACTGCATAAATTACCTGTTGCCGCTATTATGTCACATATTTAATTTAATTCTACAATCATGTGCATGTCCGAGTGCATGGAAAATCTCTCGTGTAGTTCCTATATTCAAGTCAGGTGATAAAGAAAATGTAAAAAATTACAGACCTATTGTTCTTATTTCAAATATCGCAAAATTATTTGAATGTATACTGTCTGATATTCTTTATTCACATGTTGCACCTAACATTGCGCCTGAACAGCATGGCTTCATCAAGGGGCGATCAACAGTGACTAATTTGTTTGAATATACTCAATTTGTATCAGAAGCGTTAGACAATCGTTTGCAAGTGGATGCCATATACACTGACTTGAGTGCGGCATTTGACAAGGTGCATCATTGTATTTTATTAAAAAAACTGAAAAGTTTTGGTTTATGTGATAGTTTAAAATTTGTTATTAGATCTTTGTTAACAGGCAGACATCAATTTGTGAGTTATGGTGGATTTAAATCGAATAGGTATTGTGTTAACAGTGGTGTGGGACAAGGGTCAAACCTAGGACCACTCTTGTTTAATATATTTTATAATGATGTTGTGAAATATTTAAACTGTAAGACACTTATTTACGCAGATGATTTAAAAATGGCAAAGGTTATAACGAATGTTGAAGATTGCATTGAATTACAAAATAGTTTAGATCGTTTACTTAACTGGTGTGATGATAACTTGCTAACTGTTAATAAAACTAAGTGCAAAAAAATTACGTTGGCCAGAATACATAATCCAGTTAATTTTTATTATAACATTAGAGGATACGTTCTAGAAAACTGTAAAGAAGTACTAGACTTAGGTGTCATTATAGATAGTACGCTCTCTTTTCATTCACATGTTATACATATCGCAAAACATGCTATGAAACTATTAGGTTTTATTTATAGAAATACGAAAGACTTCTCTAATACTCGATGCATTAAATTATTATTTTATACATTGGTTAGAGCAAAATTAGAATATTGCTGTACAGTATGGAAACTTTACCATGTAACATATATAGATCTATTAGAGAATGTACTGAGAAAGTTTGCGAAGTATGTATATTTTAAGATGTTTGGTAGATATCCTGTCAGACACTGTGATCAAAGTAGTTTACTTGACATTGTTAGTGAAAATTCTCTACTTAGTAGGAGGAATATGTCATGTTTGATATTTTTACAAAAAATTGTAACGGGACAAATTTATAGTCAAACTCTTCTCAATGAAATTAAATTTAATGTACCCAGATTAGGCAGCCGCATCCAGATAAGTTTTTCATATAACATTCCAAACACACTTCACCACTTCAATAGTCCTCTAATAGCTTGTATTCGTTTGTATAATTATATTATTAGCAGAGATCAAAATATTGACATTTTCTTTAATAATTTTTGTAACGTTGGGATTAGGAATAAGATATTGAAAATTGTAGTTGCTGTGTTGTAATGTCGTTGTATCCACTAGAGACATAATTGTCTGCTGGAAATAAATTTACTTATTATTACTTATTATTATTATTACTAAGGAGAACTATATATAGTTCAGCAATTTAAAGGAAGCTATGTACAGTTTGGGACACGGAATTTCAAACGACCTGTCAATCATAATGACAATAAGGTATAAGACTACAATGTTTTTAAATGTCAGAAAGTTGGTTGTCGTTTGAAATTCCGTGTCCCTAACCGTACTAAGATCATTAACAGACTGCCGCAACCAAAAACAAGTAAATTCAGAAAGATCTCACCAAATATTGTCCAAACTGGCAGCGGCAAACGACAAGAAACTTCACCTTCCACTTCCACTTTTTTCTTCAAGAAATATAAGGTGTGGTTATGAACAGGCGAAATATTTTTAAACATCCGGCGATTTGAATATTCGGTCATAGTGACGCTTTTTAAAATTTAATTAAATTCGCCTAGAAGAACAATCGTATCCAATAGACACTGAGAATTAAAATTTTTTTAATGAAATATCTAACAATGATGAAACAAGACGAGCGTTACATTATTAATTATAAAGTACTAATCCAGAACACCTTCTTGAATCCTTTTAAATTTGCAATATTTTGTTTAACAAATTCAATGTAGCTACCTGTGTACTATATACTATATGACATGATTCTAAATTTTGTCTCGCTAAATTACAGTACTTGCAACGATTGCCATCTCACAGCTACATTTTTTCCAAGGTTAAAGAATACAAGCACTAAATTAATAACAAAACAATTTTACACTTCTTCTTACATTTTTGTTATTATTATTGTTTTTTTTTAGTTAAACTTCTCTGTTCACCCCTGACCCCACCTTTAAAAATGGAGAAAATAGAGGTGAGTGCCTCTCCACATAACATAATATTAATCTAAGCATCACTATAGAGGTTATTACGAATATAAATTCGCAAAATCAATTTTTGTTGAAATAACTATCGAAAAATTTTTTAGATAGACAAACAGAACGTTATTAATAGGCTTAATAATATTCCCAGTAGGGGTACAAATTCACTTAATCTACATAATACAGATAAATCAATAAAAATAAATAAAATAAAATAAATATTCACCTTTTATATAATAAATGTTCTATTCTTTCTGCTTGCCCCCTCCTTGCCATAGTTCCCTTATCTTCCGTACTCCTTTCATCCAGTCCCGTCCTCTTCCATCCTCGTGTAGCACTTCTTCCCTACTTTCCTCCGATTCTCTCAATCCTTCACATTCTTCCACCATATGGTCTATTGTTTCACCCTCTCTGCAACAATATCCTACACCTTCTGTCAGTTTCATCCATCCAAAAATTATTCTCTTTCTCTTCATTTCCACACCTAAATCTCGCCATCATTCTTTTCTCCTTTATACTCTCTCTCTGTGTGTACTTTGGTACTTCATTCTTTACAATTTTTCTATACTCTGCATTATATCTAGACTCCGATATTGTCGATCTGCGTTCTTGCTTATCTATATCCTTATTTCTTACACTCAGTTCTTCTTTCATACTCCTTCCCATTTCTCTCATTCTCTCGATTTCTTCACATGCATATCCCTTTCCTTCATAATACTTGTCTCTTTCGTTCCAAACATGTTTTCCCTCTTCCTTTCTTATTTCTTTCCAACATTCTTGCAATATTTTACAATCACCTCTCTTACTAAACTTCTCTTCAAATCCAACCGCCCTTTTACCCGCTTCCACTCTCATTTTCTCCCTTTTTGTTTCTTCTCTCACTATATACCCCGGCGTATACTTTTCCAGTCCCAGTGTCCATTTCAAGTATTGTTTTTGCACTCTCTCTATTTCTTCATATTCCCTCCAGCCCCAAATCTCAGCTCCATACATAAATACACTTTTGATCAAACTATCAAACACCATGCTTCTCTTATAATCATGTCCAAATTTTCTCTCTCCTATTCCCCATACTATTGCTATCACTTTATTCGCTTTTCGGACCATTTCTTGAATATCTGAGTTATTGCATTTTAATGTATATCCTAAGTACTGGAATTCTTTCACCTGGTCAATGTTCTTCTCTCTCCATGCCCACTCTTCCTTCTCCTTTCTTACTTTCTTCCTAAACACCATCATTTTTGTTTTTTCCACATTCACTACCAATTCCTTTTTTTGCACGTACTTCTCGAAAGTTTTAATCATTGTTTTCATTTATTCTCTTTTCTTTGCCACAATCACCAAATCATCTGCCAACGACCACATTTTCTCTTTGGCCACTACCACCTCTCCTGTCTTTCCTTTTCTGAACATTTCATCTATATTTCCTAGATAAGCTGCAAACAATGCGGGCCTGAGTGGGCATCCCTGTCTCACTCCTCTATTTGTATAAAAACTCTCGCTCTCTATTCCATTCACTCTCACCTTATTTACTGTTTCTTCATATATTTCTTCCATTTTCGTTACCAGGTACGCATCTACTCCCTTTCTCCTCAAATACTCCCACATTTTCTCTCTATTCACGCTATCAAACGCTGCTTTGAAATCTATGAACAATGCGTACATTCGTCCATCCTCTTTCCTTATTTCTCTTCCCACTAAATGCCGCAGGATGTACACACTGTTCATAGTACATCTACCTTTCCTAAACCCAGCCTGACCGTCTGGTAACATACCCCTTGCTTCCATCTCCTTTCCTAACATTTCATCTAGTATCATTGCGTATATTTTGTACGTCGTATTGAGCAAGGTGATCCCTCGGTAGTTGTTCACATCACTTTTTTGGCCCTTTTTAAATAATGGGATTATTATACCTTCTCTCCACTGCCAGAAAACCCTTTTCCCTTCCAAACTCCATCTACCACTTCCCATATCCTTTTTTCACCCCTTCTGTCTCGAACATCCACGCTTCGTTCTGGATTCCATCCCCCCCTGGTGCCTTTCTTCTTTTCACCTTTCAATCTGTCTTCCTATTTCATCTTCTGTTATTCCCGAACCTCTCCACATTTCTTCCTTTATTTATTTTTCAGCATTTTTCTTCACAACCTCCCAATAATTCCATAAAGTGTCTTTTCCATTCATGTATTTTGATTTTCCTAATGACTTCAGTCTTCCTTCTCCGTTCCTTGTTTATATATCTCCATACTTCTTCTTCTGTTTTCAGGGACTTTATTGTCTTCTCTTCTTCTTCTTCTTCTCGTTTTTCTCTTTTTCTTTCTTCACATTTTCTCCTATAATTCTCTTTTGCTTTTAAGTACTCTTCTTTCCTTCCCCTGTTATTCTTCAATTTTCTTAATTTTTCCCTTGCTTTTTTCTTCAACTCACTACATTCTCCGTTCCATCCATTATTCCTCCCTTGCGATATGTATATCTTTCTTTTTTCCCAAGCTTCTACAATTAAGTTGATCAGTTCTGCTATCATAGCTTCTATATCTTCTTTTACTTCGAACTTCTTTTTTCTCGTCTACTTCTGTTTCTTTATTCCCTCTTCATCCCATATTCTTTTTTCTATTTCTTTTCTTTCGTTTCTTCTCTCTTGTTTTTTGTACTCTTGTTCTTTTCCTTTGATTTTTATTTCTAGTGGCATGTGGTCTGATTCTACCCGTTCCCCCACTTTGAAACTTTTTTTCTTCCCACGCCTATTTGTTGACAATCCCATAGTCTATAATTGATTCTCCCCTAGCCCCTACGTACGTCAATTCTCCTTCTTCATCTCCTTCCTTGTTTCCATTCAAAATTTCCCATCCCATTTCTTCTGTTATCTACCACAATATTTTCCCTTCTTTGTTATTTGCTTTATCTTTTGATCCTCTTTGCTCTCCCTTTTCTTTATCTATTATTCTTGTCCCCTTATCGCCCAATCTTGCGTTAAAATCCCCTCCTATAAGTATTTTTTCATCTCCTTTTTCTTTTCTTTCCTTCTTTATGTTTATCTTAGTTTCCTCCATTTTGTTGCTATACACGGTTATTATTTTCCATCGATTGTTATCCAGCTGTATTACTTTCTTCATCAGTCCGTTTTTATTATTACTTCCCTTTTCCAATTCTTGCATTTCTTTTCGAATTTCCATTACTATTCCTCGGCTTGCTCTCTCCTTTTTCTTTTCCTTTGTCGCCCCTTGACACTCCCACACATATTCTTGTGGTAGTCTTTCTTTAAATTTCTCCCAGTTTTCTGTTTGTGCCCAAATCTCTACTAGCCACACCACATCAAATTTTCCCACGTAGTCCCAGAATTCCTTTTCCTTTTCCTTTGCCTTGTTTCCTTCCATTTTCTTCATTTTCTTTTGTCTCTTTACTAAAAATTTTCTCTCTTCTTGAGTCTGCCCTCTTCTTCATTCCATTCGAAATTTCAATTTTCTTTTGTTGCCTCTCCTTTTATCTATCTAACAGAACGTTATTATTACTATTAATTACTTCTTATCCCATGATTCTTTTTCAAAGCAGTTAATTGATTTCGTTCCAGAGATTTAAAAAGAGGTCCGGCACTACTGATAAAGGCAAAGAATACGAGGATGTGGCCGTCGCCAGTGTTATACTAAATTTACTAAAAGACCAGAAAGTAACGAACTTCCATATTTCATCAAATGATGCAGATTTTGGTGCGTTTGATGACTTAGTTTTGAAACTAGAATCGGATGAGGGAAACGAAGTGCACGTAAAAGCTGTCCAATTGAAGCACACCGCGACGAGAACACTGTCCACAAACAATCTAGGTTCAAAAAAAGGAGAATTTAGCATAAATAAATATTATAAAAGTTTTGGAGAAATTAACGAAGACGCGGATCAATTTATATTGTTTACCAACCGATCGTTTAAGTGTAAGGACAATGCAAAATTTGAATTGGAAGAAGAAGGGTTTTTTGTTAAAACCGTTAAAGCAAAACCGTCCTCAGAACTTACAGAGAAATTAAATTGTACGTATCAATTTGAAATAGTAGAAGAAAATTGGAATGTAGAAATGCTTCTCAAAATTCGAGAATATCAAAAGTTCTTTGCTAAATTCTATCTTTACGCCGATCAAGAAAATGTTGAAAATATGAAAAAAACGGCAGCTGAAAAATTCATCAAAACATATTCTTCGAATGAGGAAATTTTCGACAAATTCCTCAGAACAATATCTGAGTGGAATATCCAAGATGGAAATAAAGAAAAGCTTAATAAAAGGTGGACGCAGCGTGTACTTACGCTGCAGCTTCTGTTTTCCCAAATTGAGTCTTTATCATTTGGTGCAGTTAATGACAACATGAAGATATTTCGGGAGGCGATTTCCTCGTTCACTATTACACTTGTTGAAAAAAAATCTTACGAAACGGTTAAACAACTGTGGGGTGATGTTGGAAAAGAAAAAAACATTGACCTTAAAGAACTAAATATGGTGAGGAAGAGGTATCTGCCTAATATCAGGCACATCACTGATAGTAATATCGGTAACATAGATCCAAAGACATTTGCGCAGCTGCTATGGTTGATGGATAGATGTCCATTAGTATTAAGTCAGTGTGAAAACGTAGAAAAGGCCATTCAGCTCTGTCCCGACACGAAGTTCATCTTGGTTGGCTCAGGTAAACATGAGGACTGGATGAAAACGTATTCAGTGTTCCAACATCTATCAAATTTAAATAAGGAACAAGATGTGCGCGAAAAAATAATGCAAAATTTTACTGTATCAATTCAAGGAAAGGAGGAACTTGATCTTGTGACACTTTTTGGAAGTGATGAAGAATTTTTAAAAAACGTTACAACAGACGATTTGGTGGCAATGCTAAACGGTCCATGTCGTATAGGCGGAGAACAAGAAACACTGCCGGAACCTTATATTCAACGCTATCTTTCGCGAAATATTGTACAGATCACATATTTAGAAACAGTCCAAGAAAACACAATTATTGTTTTAAATTGTGATAATAACTTTGATAAAGTAAAAGACATACTAGGCAAATGTATATTAATTGATATTGATAAGTTTTTAGAGAAAAAAAATGAATCTGTTGAAAATCTAACAAATAATGAACTCTCTATGTTTAGCTCTAGTTCACATCTATGCACAGATAACTTTGACTTTAATAAATCGAATTTGGCTAATGTGGATTTGTTTGACAATAAATTTAATCTTGATAAGTCAAACTTTACTCGAACTATCTACGTAGGTAACCGACATTATAACGATTCTGAACTTCAACAAATTTACAACGAAAACAAAGATACAAAACAGTTTCACTATTTTCAACTTTTAAGTGACGGGAATTTAGAATGGATTCAAAGCAGAGGTGATTTTGGCGACATAGAGGCTTATAAGTTGTCTAACAAGTATTCTATGGAAGAAAACACGCTGTGGTCTTCTCGGTTAGATAATAGCATCAATCTAATAACTGCCGATCCGGGAATGGGTAAATCCGAGCTAATGAAAAGCTTCAAAAATAAATGTCCACCGAAATACTGGACGATTATAATTGATCCTAAAAACGTTAATTCATTCTTTCACAAAGCGAATTTCCCTAAAACCGCAAATTATGCAGATTTATTTGAAAAATTTATCGCGGAGGAAAAATCTCGGTCGCTCAGTAAATTGGATCGAGATTTTTTCGAAATGTGTGTTAAGAAAAACGACGTTATTTATTTGTGGGATGCGCTCGACGAAATTTTAAGCAAAAATTTTGATATCGTGTTAAATATAATCCTTGATCTCTCAAGAAAATATTCCCGACAGTGGGTTACTAGCAGACGACATTTGAAAACATCTCTAGAAAAAAAATTCAGTTTGCCGTCGCTTGGTATAAATCAGTTTAGCGAACAAGAACAAGAACAATACATTAGAAAACGACTGGAATCTTTTATTTCTGAAGACAGAATGAACATTACGCTCGAAAAAATCAAATCGTCGTTTGCCCTTGTCGAACATGTAGACATACTTGGTATCCCGCTTCAAATATTCATGCTCACTGAACTGTTCCGTGAAAATAGCGACAAATATTTGAAACTGATGGAAAACACATTCCTTTTGACTGATTTATACGATCACTTTATTGATGAAAAATGTAATAACTTTTACAAAGACAAAATCGGATTTGATTTTGACAATCCCCAAATAGAAAATATAGTTCGTGGAGAGAAACGAAGGGCTTTAGATTTGTACGAAAATGTGGCTTTTAAAGTAATATTTCCCGAAGAAATTTTGCACCGATTAAAGATTGACTACGAAAAATGCATAGAACAAATTTTAGAAAGCTATGCAGGTCTGGGTCTTGTAAATGAATTCCAAAATAATGTTCCGCATTTTCTTCACAGTTCTTTCGCAGAATTTTTAGTCGCTATATATTTTTCAAAAAAAATTAAAAACGTGAAAGACCTAATTGCGGATATACTGTTCGACGCGAAGTATAATAATGTCCGTTTCTTTTTTGATATGCTTTTGGCAAAAAATTCAAGAGTTCACATTGCCGTGTTGTACAAAGATTATATATTACTCCAAACGTACGACCACGAAATTTTAACTCGCAAAGATGACGGTGGCCGAAGTGCTTTACATTTGCTTTCTTCATGGGGGAAAAGGCATCCAGTTGTAAAAGTGACGGGTGTCAATGGGGAATATATTGTCCACGTAGATATCAATTTCGATAAAAAGGGGGAAAATAAAGTATATTTTGAAACGATAACATATTTGCAAAGGAAGAATGATGTTAGCGAACGTGACATATTGTTAGATGCGACGCCGTTGTCTTACGCTAGAAAAACTGAGAGCTTAGGGGCGGAAATTAAACTACTTCAAACAAACAAAAATGAATTGGAAGAATCATGCGTTCACGAGGAAATAATAAACATTCTGTATTATTCTTCTTTGCTTGGTTACGACGACGTGTGCAAACTATTCACAGTGGAAGAACTAAATAGTCTTTGGTGCGAACTGAATTTTGTTACTACAGACTATGCCACAACACCACTGCTGTTGGCCTGCGAAAATGGTAATTTAAAAATTGTTGAATATTTTGTAAAATCCGGTGTCGACGTCAACCGTGTTAATGAAAACGGTGGAACACCACTTTATATAGCTTCCCTACGTGGTCACCAAGAAGTTGTGGAGTACTTGTGTACAGTTGGCGCCGAAATCAATCGTGCTGACAATCAGGGTGGGACACCACTTTACGCAGCTTCTTTCAATGGCCACGAAAATGTTGTCGAATACTTGGTGACAGTCGGTGCCGAAATCAATCGTTCTGATGATTACGGTGCGACTCCACTTATACTGGCTTGTGTCAAAGGCCACGACAAAGTTGTCGAATACTTGACGAAAACAGGCGCTGAAGTCAATCGTGCTAATAATGACGGTGTCTCACCCCTTTTCGCAGCTTCCTTTAACGGGCATGGAAAAGTTGTTGAATATTTAACGACAGTCGGCGCCGAAATCAATTCTGCTACTAACAACGGAAGGACACCATTTTTCGCAGCTTCCACCAGTGGTTATGAACAAGTTGTCGAATATTTGGCGACAGTCGGCGCCGAAATTAATGCTGCTACCAATGAAGGTTGGACGCCACTTTACGCAGCCTCATATAAAGGCCACGAAAAAGTTGTTGCTTATTTAGCGACGTTCAGCGCCGAAGTCAACCGTGCTGGCAATGATGGTACGACACCACTTATCGTGGCTGCTTCCAAAGGCCACGAAAAAGTTGTCGCATGCTTGGCGGAAGCGGGCGCCGAAATTAATCGTGCCACTAATGACGGTGCCACACCACTTATCGCAGCGTCCCTCAGTGGCCACGAACAAGTTGTCGAATACTTGACGACAGTCGGCGCCGAAATCAATAGTGCTGATAATGACGGTAGGACACCACTTTATCTAGCTTCCATCAACGGCCACGACACAGTTGTTGAATACTTAGCGACGGTCGGTGCCGAAATCAATCGTGCCGATAAGGAAGCTAGGACACCACTTTACGTAGCATCCATGAACGGCAACAAAAAAGTTGTCGAATACTTGGCGACAGTCGGCGCCGAAATCAATCACGCTAACAAGGATGGTGCCACACCGCTATACGTAGCTTCGCGAAACGGCCACGAAGAAGTAGTCGAATACTTAGCGACAGTCGGCGCAGAAGTCAATTTTGTAGCTAATGACGGTGGGACACCACTGTACGCAGCTGCCGTCAACGGCCACGAAAAAATTGTCGAATACTTAGCGACACACGGCGCCAAAGTAAATCATGTTCATAGTGACGGTACGACACCACTTGTCATGGCTTCTTTCAAAGGCAACGAAAAAGTTGTCGAAAGTTTGGTTAAAGTGGGCGCCGAAATCAATTTAGCTGCAAATGAATATACTACACCAATAATCGCCGCTTCCATCAACGGCCACAAACAAGTTGTCCAATACTTGAAGACAGTCGGCGCCGAAATTAATCGTGCTGATAGTGGTGATAGGACACCACTTCACTTGGCTTCCTACAACGGCCACGATAAAGTTGTTGAATACTTGGCGACGGTCGGTGCCGAAATCAATCGTGTTGATAATAAAGGATGGACACCACTTCACGCAGCTTGCCTCCACGGCCACAAAAAAGTTGTCGAATTCTTGACAACAGTCGGCGCCGAAATCAATCGTGCTGAAAAGAACGGTCTGACACCACTTTACATTGCTTCGCGAAACGGCCACGAGAATGTTGTCGAATACTTGGCGACAGTCGGCGCCGAAATCAATTCTGCTACCAATGACGGTATGACACCACTTTACGCAGCATCCATGAACGGCCATCAAAAAGTTGTCAAATACTTGGCGACAGTTGGCGCCGAAATCAATACTGTTACTAATGAAGGTTGGACGCCACTTTATGCAGCTTCCATCAACGGCCACGAGAAGGTTGTCGAACACTTGGCGACAGTCGGCGCCGAAATCAATTCTGCTGCTAATGACGGTATGACACCACTTTACGCAGCTTCCATCAACGGCAACGAGAAGGTTGTCGAACACTTGGCGACAGTCGGCGCCGAAATCAATTTTGCTGCTAATGACGGTATGACACCACTTTACGCAGCATCCATGAACGGCCACGAGAATGTCGTCAAATACTTGGCGACAGTCGGCGCCGAAATCAATTCTGTTACTAATGAAGGTTGGACGCCACTTTACGCAGGTTGCATCAACGGCCACGAGAAGGTTGTCGAATACTTGGCGACAGTTGGTGCCGAAATCAATTCTGCTAATAAGTACGGTAGGACACCACTTTACGTAGCGTCATTCAGTGGTCACCAAAAAATTGTGGAATACTTAACAACAGTCGGCGCCGAAGTCGATCGTGCTGACAATTCTGGTTTGACACCACTTCACGTAGCTTCCATCAACGGCCACGAAATGGTTGCCGAAACTTTGGTGACAGCCGGGGCCAAAATCAATTCTGCTACTAATAACGGTATTACACCACTTTACGTAGCTGCCATCAGCGGTCAGGAAAAAGTAGTCAAATACTTGACGACAGTCGGCGCCGAAATCGATTCTGCTACTAACGACGGTACCACACCACTTTACGCGGCTTCAATGAAGGGCCACCAAAAAGTTGTAGAATACTTGGCGACAGTCGGCGCCGAAATCAACCGCGCTAAAGCAAATGGTGCGACACCACTTTTCATAGCTTCTCACAACGGCCACAACAAAGTTGTCGAATACTTAGTGACAGTCGGCGCCGAAGTTAATTCTGCTGCTAATGACGGTATGACACCACTGTACGCAGCTTCCATCAACGGCCACCAAAAAGTTGTCGAATGCTTGGTGACAGCCGGCGCCGAAATCAACCGCCCTAAAGCAAATGGTGCGACGCCACTTTTCATAGCTTCTCTCAACGGCCACAACAAAGTTGTCGAATATTTAGTGACAGTCGGCGGCGAAGTCAATTCTGCTACCATTGACGGCATAACACCATTGTACGCCGCGTCCATCAACGGCCACCAAAAAGTTGTCGAATGCTTGGTGACAGCCGGCGCCGAAATCAATTCCACTACGACTGAGGGTCGGACACCACTGTACGCAGCTTCGATCAACGCCCACGAGAAAGTTGTCGAATATTTGGTAACAGTTGGTGCCGACATCAATTCTTCTACTAATGACGGTAAGACACCACTTTATGTGGCTTCCCAAAACGGCCATGGAAAAGTTGTCGAATACTTGGTGACAGTCGGCGCCGAAATCAATTCTGCCACTAGTGATGGTTGGACACCACTTCACGCAGCTTCCTTCAGTGGCCATCAAAAAGTTGTCGAATGCTTGGTGACAGTTGGTGCCGAAATCAATCGTGTTGATAATTTGGGTAGGACACCGCTTTATATAGCTTCTTTCAATGGACACGAAAATGTCGTCGAATATTTGGAGGCGGTCGGTGCCGAAATCAATCATTAGCAAAATAAATTTAATCAAAGTATTTATATTTAGAAATAAAGTTATAAAATTTCGCTTGTGAGAGATGCTTAACTTATTCTTTTCGTACACTGTTTTAGTTTTGTTTTATTGGTGTGTCTAAATTTCACTACAATTTCAGATACCTCAAAAAGATTCTTCTTCTTGTCCATTTGGATACATAGGGTAGTTGGGATATAGCTGGTCCAAGTACTTGCTGAGATAAAACTGGTATTGGCAAATGGTATACCTTCGAAAAAAATAAAGGGTGAGTGGGCGGGGCCAATACTTGCCAAGATAAGACTGATTTTGCCAAATGATATACCCTCTACCCTTCATTTTCCTAGAGGGTATGTCATTTGCGAAAATCAGTTTTATCTTAGCAAGTACTAACCCCGCCCACCCGCCCTCTAATTTCTTAGAGGCGTTTCATTTGCCAAAAACAGTCTTTCTCATTTCGAAGAAATGAGACCGAAAATTATTTCTGAATATCAAAATCTACAAGAAAATGTCTAGCTAATTTTCGAAAATAATTGAAAAATAGGCGAAAATGTAGAATGTGTCAAAATCAGTCATATCTTACAAAAAGTTAGCCCCGCCCACCCGCCATTATTTTCTTGGAACATATGTCATTTGCCAAAATCAGCTTTTGTTTGGTTATGTTATATTCAATAATCATATCTGGTTTGTTTTTGTTTTCACTAGTCTTCTGGTCTTGATGCAATAAAATAAATAATGAAAAGAACTGTGATAACAACCAAGACTGTTACATTTCCTGTGATTATTTTAACTCTTATCTAACAAATGTTGCTTCCAGACTATTAAATAATACATATACCAAAAAAAATGTGATAACTTTGATACCCTTTACATTTAATGTCAAATTATAATTAACATTTGTATTTGTCTTTTGATCTAGTCAAATTGTTGTGTTCTGTTAGTAAAGTAAGAGAACTTATCTTTGGATTTAAATGAATTTTAATTGTTATTAGAACAAAAAACAGAATTGTGTTTTCTCTGTTATTAAATAAATAATCAATCAGAACGTAAGCCATGGTACAGTTTACTATTGTCTAGAGATTTGATGAATCGGGTTGTAACTGACAAGAAAATGACAACAACGCAACTATCAAGAACAAAAAATATTTTAGGTAAATAAATTTTCTGTCCTAAAAACAAAATTTAAAAGTTATATTGCAGAATCGATTTTTTTAAAACACATCGTAAATCACTGGGTGACCAAGACCGCGCTACTACAGTCCACTTGGTTTTACGAAATGTAACAACAATGAAGCGAAATAAAGAAGGTAAGGAAAAATCCCCAATATTTTCACTAGTTTTAGTTACAGCACATTATGAACGGGAATACATTACATCGGAAGAATGTCACGTAGACATTTGTTTGATTTGAATGAGTTTATCGCCCCAAAACAGATGACTAAAATTATTCATAAGCCTCCATTGAACAAAATATTCTGAATGTTATTTTTATAAAGACGAGCGTATTCTCACATTTTCCAGAAAATGGGGTAGCTCGTTCTTAATTTGATCAATAATAAATTGACTGATTCATTAATTTTTTTGAGTCACCTATTTAAGCAAACATAAAAAATATGAATGCAGTGATTAAAAGTCATATTTTGCACATTCGCGAAAGAATTTATTCGGCAAAATTTTGAGATGCCGTAATCAATTTTTTGGGGTTGATAAACAGATCCACTTTCATTAAAAAGTTACCATGCTTACAATAACTTCAAAACGTCAAGACTTCAAAGTATTCAGTTTTGCAATTTAATCCCCGTATAAGCAAATCTAAAAAATATTTATGCAGTGATAAATCACAATTACAGACTCATCATACTTTGCACAATACACATTCAAGATAGCATTTTTTCGGAAAAATTTTTGGGTGCCGTGATCTATTTTTTAGGGGGGGATGAGCAAATATATTTTGATCAAAAATTTATCATGCCTGTGATAACTTTAAAACATCTCCAAGATTTCAAAGCATTCGGTTTTGCAAATTCCAAATTAAATGTCAAAATGTTGTTTCCTAATTTGGATTTTTTTCCAAAAATCTGGACGTTTTGAGTAAAATCTCAATTCGGAGTCATACACTACATGTGTAAGACTATGTTATTTGATACAATTTCAAACATCCCATTAGTGGTGGGGATGATTAGACAAATTTTGGTTAGCGTTTTACCATCTACATGATATACCTAGTATAAATACAAAATTTGACAACAATCAGCCCAGTACTTTCGGAAATTGTCTCTCTAATAAAAATCTGGGACGGCAGACGGACGGACAGACAGACTCAGGAAGTAAAAACCAGAGACTCTTTTGTTTTGTCGTCTAATGAGTTGCACAACTTATTTTGGTAGAAATAATTAAGTATGGTTATAACAAGGGTAAACTTGAACCACACACCCTTAAATTTATCTAGTACCGAATCCACAAGTGTTGCAAATACATAGGTCTTTAAAACTGTTTCTTTTTAGGGAAACTGTACATCATATTTATTACAAAGATGTGTATGAGTGGTTTAACCGTTTACAACGTGGACTTGGCAGGGTTGGTTAAATTCTAATAGAAACTTAAGGGAACTCACTAGTAAAGTAAGTCTTAAACATTTTTGAAAATATCCTAATTAAAATGCAGTTTTAGAAAGCAGCGGAAGTTCAATCAGTTTGACTTACACAATTTTTTAAAATCCGTCTAATTTTTATTAATACGAATAGATAATCTACACCCTAATCAGGTAAAACTATGTTTTTTATTTAAACTAAGTATTGTAAAGTTTACTTTCTAGGATGCTTATCCACTGACGAGTGAAGTGATGGAATTTTCTGCAACAACTTCCTTCTAGGCCCGATTAACTCAGGCAATGAAGACAATCATATTTGGGGATCAAGATCATTAAAATAATAAAAGTCTAAAAGGTTGTATTTATTACTTTGTATTTCAATAAATATAATAATTTTTTAAAAGTTAGTTTAATATCACTGCCAAGTAAGTAAAAGGTAGCAAACAGTATATACTAGCAGCTACTATTAGATTGATTATGGTAATTAACTGTCGGATCCTCTACCAATTTCAAATCAGCATTTAATTTTATTAAACATGTGCTGTGAGGTCTAAATATTTCTATTTCATGTAGAACAAAACTGTCATTACCGTTTTGATTTGTCACAGCTAGTTCACTTTGAGTAGACGTAAAATTAAACGACTGTTCGTCTCCAGTTATCAACATTCCTTTGGCTTCACAATTTTCATTATCACATAAGGCTATCTTCAGTCTCACTTGTTTGACATTCTGGAATAAATGCGTAAATAAAGAGAAGCACATTTTTTAGTCAGTGTACTCACTTCATCTGTGTTTAGAATTATCGGAATTATGCTACCCTCACGCACAAATCCTATCCAATCAGTCTCCGAAACAGTCAAACTAATCCATCCATCTTTACCTAAATTGTAATCATAGCTGTCACCGCCCCAGAACTCGAACCATTTATCACCAGGAGGCAAATAGATGGTGACTTGCGTCTGATCCGGGAGTGTAGGATGAACAACTAAAAGATCACTCCCCACCATATACTGATCAACTAACGCAAAAGTATTGTTATCATCGGGAAAATCGTAAAACATTGGTCTCATCAAAGGTTCATTGTTACCCAGAACAGTATTGAAATAATACATCAAGCTGTATCTAAAATCAATCGCCGATTTTGCTTGACTGGCTGCATATTTTGAAGTTAAACTAGCCAAAGAAGTTGGATCACGTCTTGGTTCATCGGACGATATTCTAAAAATGGGTGCTGTGGACGCCATTAGGTACCACCTGATACATAAAGACTCGTGCGAACTAGTAAAAGTACTAGTTGAGCCACAGACTGGAATGCTCGTTAAAGGGTGACCGAAGAGGCTATTGGAAAGAATTGTAACGATAGTGTTGTGAAAATTAGTCCATGAAATATCGACGTTCTGATTGATGATGGGTTGAAAGTTATCGAAGGTGTGAGAGGCTGTCATGATAAAAGCACCGTCGCCTAATGCTGGTCCTATTTTCTCGACATGAAAATAACCATAATTGTTGTGCTCTAAGAACTGAAGCTCGTCATCACTTGAAGCGTTCCATGGTAATGTGGAAGACATAGCTTCTGTTAATTCCTGAAAAATATCGTTAACAGAATGGAGACAATAGTAAGGAGTTTTACCTTTGACAAGTACTTAAATTTGTCGATTTCCTTCATTACAAATGATTGGTCGGAAGGCCAGTTTCTGCTCAGAACAAAATCTGTAGGTAAGTGCGGATCAAACCTTTGTTTTGCTGCTTCTAACAATTTTTGGATGAATGTATCAACTGACGCGTGGTTGAAGTAAGGGTACACCACATCGTTTTTAAAGTACTGACCCTTGTAGTCAGTTTGGTTCAATTTGAAATAGATATTCAAGTCTGCAGTATTCGTATATAAGTCACTATCGTAGGGAACCTAAAATATCGTTATTATAAACATAACAAAATTGATGCGATTTACCTGAGGAAGGATAGAAAGAGAAAATCGATGACTAGACTTTATGATTTTATCTCCAATTAAATCTCTCATTTCACTGGTAACACTACTATCACTTTTCTCATTAATTGCAGCCAAAAATAAATTTTCGTGAAGGCAGTCGGATGTATACCGAAAGTCTAAATTTTGTTCCTTTTTAAAATCTTCTAATATGTCCTTTAATATCAGTGAGCTTCCCTCTCTAAAAGTCAGTTTTAGTAAAAAATCAACACAATCGTCTTCCCTTACTACCTGCAAACATGAACTCCGAATATGTCTGGCGTGACAATCAAATTCGCTGCTTTATTATCGTTGAACTGATTGATCACTTCTTGGATAGTCGGACCAACACTAAGTTCCAAAGTAATTTTTTTCCCCGACAAGCTTTTCAAGCTTACCAGTTTTGATGCAAATACGGTAATTTCTAAAGGGCCACTGTGTCGTACAATCAAACCATGGTACTTCCCGTTTTTGTAAGCCAAAAAGTTTGGTAATGTGTTGTGATCCTTATCATTTCCATAAATAACTTTAGTTAGAGTGGATTTTCCGCTCAAATCGATCAACGTTTGACCTAAACCAAACAGATACTCATCTGTTAGTTGAAATGACCACTCCCAATAATGATCTGAAATGATCATAGGACCTTTTGCAGTGGTTAAAAGAAGTTCTCTTGAATTAGGCCGATAAAATTCAACAAAGAGTGGATTACTATTTATAGTACAGTTGTATTCGGTGGTGTTAGTACAGGTGATCGTTCCAGTAGTACTATTATCATGTAACATAATTTGAACACTCTTGTCTGAAGTAGGGTTAATTGACAAATATACAGTTTTCAACTGGGCTTCAAAAAATGGTGACTGAACTAACGAACTTCCATAGTCCTGATTTTCACTATCACTGAAGTAGTAATATTTGGATGGCAAGTAGTGAAAGCACCGTTTAGTCGTATTGTCAAAACAGCAGTGGATTTTGTTGCACTTGTCGATCGTTGTGTTTTCCGGCTTTCCACACGGTACTCTATAAGTTTCGTCTACCGCACATGTATCGTATAGTTCGTCGCTCGTAGTAACGTTGTCGATTAAAAAATAATACACCAACACTGGCACAACTATCGAAAAGCAAAACAGGAAAAGAATACCCCTTGTCGATCTGCTTCTCCAAACGTTTACTATCGGTGATGTTCGCTTCCTTATTTTGTAGTCATCACGAAGATCATTTTGTTCTTGGATGAATTCTCTCTGTGCAGACATTGTAACACTTTTAAACTAAAATCACATCGCCAAATTTTTACTAACTGCGTCAGATTCTTTGAAAAATTAACTGTAAGTAATCAACAGTCAATCGCTTATCGCCTAGATAAGATAAAATACTTTGATTATGCATCTGCATAGATACGATGAAAAAGGATATGTGTCAACTGCTTACGTATTTTATCACCGCGACAATCGGATCTTTGTATTTTACTTTATAGCCCCCCCCCCCATAAATTGATGACGTCATCCCAGTTTTGCCAAAAAAATCCCCTCTGAAATATGTAAAATATTGTGACTTTACAGTTGTTGTTTATGAATGTATTCATAATCTTTAAAAATACTTACTTTACACTTTACCCAAAATAGCGTGAGATAGCGATAACGGATGTGGTAAAAAGCGTGCGATAAAAATATCAATCAGTTTCACGCGAAACGAAAAATTTGAAAAGTGCTCTAAAATTATTTAAACGGAAATGTATTTGAAGAGAAATACCGTTATTTATGTGTGGGATGCACTCGAAGAAATTCCAAGCAAAAATTTTGATATCGTTTTAAATATAATCCTGGATCTTTCAACAAAATATTTGCGTCAATGGATAACTAGCAGACGACATTTACAACCAACATCATCCTGCTCAAGGGGTGATTACGAGCTAAATTTGTGGCGAACGAACTCATTCTAAAAATTTGCTTGCTTCTGGTGTTTCTAATTTCTGAGGATAGTTTCTCCAGAATGGCGCTATTATCAATGGAACTATTGATGACGCCATGAAGAGATGTTAAGTCACTAGTTAGTCTACGTATATGTAAAGTTTGCATGTTGAGGAAATTAAGAATACTTGAGTATTCTCCCTTCTGATGTTGCTGTCCAACTAGTGGAAGAAGAGTAATCTTGACGACAAATATTATAACCACTCACTACTAATTCTTCACTAAAAAACGTCAGTCAACAGCTAAGTTACAAGAAAGAATTTTTATTTTGTTCGCAGTCCACTGACATTTTGATAGTAAATTGAAAATTTGCCACTATGATTCCTTTTAGGTGGATTATCAAAATTGGCATTTTGATCATCCCCAGCAATATTGTAAAATATAATTAGTTTATCATACATGTTGTCCTCTATATTTGCACGTTCAGAGTGGATAACTTAATTGCATTTTTCACATTTACTTATTAAGTTATTAACCACCGTTGGATGTTTATTCCAGTGGTATTATATCATACTTTCACCAAAGGAAGTCAGATAGCGATAACGGATGTGGTAAAAAGCGTTTAATAAAAATATTAACTGACTTTGAATTTGTGTTTTTGCTTCATACTTTCAATTTAATTTTTTCTTATACCGATACAGGTTTGGTTTTTCTATAGTTCAAAATAAATTATCCGACATAACTTACTGTAACGAAAGAATTCTTTCACTTCTATCCAGTTTAAAAAGAATTCGAAATGAAGATAATTATTTTTCATAGATATATTCTGATGTTAAAAAGATTGCTGATATAGCTCCTCCATCTGTGAAACGGCGTAAAACTGATTTAACGAATGACAATAACATTTCATTAACTAAAAAACGTCTCTTTTTTGAAATTTTGGATTTACTTATCAATCAAACAGAAATTCGATTTAGAGATATTTCATCGCTTGCTTTTTTAGAATTAGTTAACCACACCAAATTTACTGAATATAATACTAAATTTCCTGAACAGCAATTTAATTCTTTAATTAATAATTACAAAGAAATTTTCAACAACGACAAATTAAAAAGAGAACTGCAAAATTTTATACTCCGATAAATCAATTTTTGGAAATTCGTTAACAGTAAAAGACATGACAGAATTTATTTTTAAAAATGATATTATTAATGATGTTTCAGAATTATATAAACTTTTTTGTTTAATTTTGTCTCTCCCACCAACATCGGCATCGGTAGAGAGAAGTTTTTCGGCATTAAAACAAATTAAGTCATATACTAGAAATACCATGTCGCAACCGCGTTTAAACAGTTTATCGATTTTGGCAATTGAGCGAAGCTTAGTAAAAGAATTAATGAAAAACGAAACTTTTTATAACGAAATTATAGATGACTTTGCTGCAACAAAAGTGCGTAGAATCGATTTAATTTATAAAAATGAATAATTTTAAATGTGTCCCCACATCAGGTACCACAATTATCTACCCACGTGTAATGTGCTAATGTCCTATTAGCATTTATTCTTCTCTTTTGTTGTTGAAAACTTTATGATGAGTTTTTATTTAATTTTTTATTAATTTTAGTTATTTTAGATCATAGGTTGTTATTCACAGAGAATATAATTCATGAATCACATGTCCCCATTTCTTCCAATAGAATTTGTCCATGCCCTTAGTTACATGTCTATCACAGCGATAATAATTTTATTGCCTTATTGTGGTCTGTTGCTACCTAAATTTAAAAACTGTCAAATTGACAAATTTTAAAATTTCGTAAATTTTTTTGTCTTTTATGGCTTGCCAACGTTGGGGGCACGCTCAAAACGACGAAATCAATTCTATTATCAAAAAATGTGTTCATTTATTATATTCTCATGTTGAATATAACTCGTGATATGATTAATAATCGAAGATATGGCTCGTGAAACCGAAGCAGCACATTCAACTCGTGCTTCGCACTCGTTGAATCTGCAGCTCGGTTTCACTCGAAATATTATCGATAATAATCATATCACTTGTTATATTATAACTGAAAATATGTTATGTTTAATTATGTTGAATTAATTTTTATTTTGGGTTTTGTTTTTACTTTTGAGAATTTATATTAGTTTTGCTTCTATTCCCCTTTTATTTTTTAGAAATCTATTTTTTTTGTCCTTCCTACAAAATGTTTTTTGCAGAAACCTTTTTTTTTTTTATACATTTATCTTTCTTTATTATTTTACCATGTCCTTTTGTTTTCTTAATCCACGTGTCACCCAATATCCTATATCCTTTCCGTTCCTTTCCCGGCAAGAAAGCTCTAAACCTTCTCGTGGTTCTTGCTGAACGATTTCATTTTTTGTTTTTTTTTTATTGGTTGGATATATTTTCCTCTATTTGATATCTAAAAGTGAATATTTGTAATTGATAACATTGTGTTCTATTGGGATAGAAACAAAAAATAAATCGACTAATTAGAGTTATCCTCATGTTTGGCCGACCCACGTTTTTTTGGCACGAGCCGTCACTGTTCCATAGGTTGTGCTATGTCAGCAATCGGAGATTGCCAAAATGCGACGAAGAAAAGGAATTGTGTCGGCCACTATTTTTAATTAAAATAATACATATTGTTTTCTTTTGATTCTGAAAGAGGTGAAATAGTTTTTCCAATTGAAAAAAAAGTTCTCAAAAGATGACAATTTCTGAAAGAAGAAATATCTAAAACATCTGTTATCACTGAATCTTAAAAAGGACTAATTTTAAGTTGTAAATTTCTTTAATAAAACAGTTTAAATTTTCTTCAAATGATTTGCTTCAGTCAGATCTGTTGCTTCGTAGCGTGAAATAGGTTTAATAATTGTAGTTAAAATTGTAAAAGTACAAAGTGGAGAATAAATTAAAAACACTAAATACAGGTTTTATTATTAGGCTTAATAAACTATTTCATTGTTCACAGGTCCTTGTCAACGATGCCGAGTTTCAGCTTGAAGTAGCCTGCCTCCAATCTTACAATTTGAAGAAGAAGAAAAAAGATAGAGAGCCTTTCCCAACCGCATTTCTTGCAACAGCAGCAACTACAATAAAAGAGGGTCAGGGGGAGGATTCTTGTTCCGAGCTTTATTTATGAGTAATGATAATCGAGTGTCTTTGTATACTTTAAATTAGACACCCTAGATATAGTGCGAGTGTCCATAGTTTATACGACTACGATTAGGTGTGACAGAGGGCTGTTCTAACGCCAAGTTCTCAATGTCATATCTAAAAAGCTGATTTCTCACATTATGCCTAACTATTTGTAATAATTTTTACTGGATCGATGTAAAATTATCCCTGTATTTTCTGATCATTTAATAAACATTTTTTACAGTCTATGTGAATTTCATTTTTTAACGAAGGTTGGAAATGTAGGTGTGGTTGCATTATAAATTTAAAATGAAAAATTTAGGACAACGTGACATCATTAACCCCCCAAGCACTTTAGTAGGTATAGGTGGTGAAGTTTGTACAATAGCAGTACTAAGAAAGAACTCGATCGCTTGTGCTAATACCAAAAGATGTTGGAAAGTCTTTTTCATTCTGGAAGGAATGTCTGCTTGCACCTTTAGTTTTTTATATCCAGTCTTTTAGTTGCCGATTACTGTTTATTGAACTCGTTTTGCATATTCAGAGTGGATAATTTAGTTGCATTTTTTGCAAGAAACGTAATTTTCGGAATAACTGAGAAAACATCTGCATTTTTAACATTTGTTTACCATCATAGGAAGTTTATTACAATGTTGCTAAATCAGACTTTCCTTAAGCGTAGTCAGATAGCGATAACGGATGTGGTAAAGAGCGTGTGATAAAAGTAACAATCAGTTTCACGCGAAAGGAAAAATTAAAAACTGGACCAGGGTTATTTCGACTGAATTTTCCTCGTCTCTGAAGTACTGTCGAACAAAGACACTTGTTCGAAAAATATTGCAAAACGTAAAGGTTCTTACCACGGATTAAAAAAGCTAAAACTTGCAAAACCTGGAAATGAAATTAACTAACTATATTATTGAATGAAATGATTTTATTAGACTCTGATTCTCTCACCGACTCTGGGGAACCGCTTCCAGGCTTTTCTTATTTCGAACGCCGCCGTCACCGATGATGAATCACTGGTCATCGTAGAACAATATTATTGCTGCAATAAATTTAAATCAGTTTGTTATTTTGATTAAATACCTAAAGGATATAAAATTGTTTTTTTTTTAGTTTAAAACAAAATTAAAATCTATCAAAAATTAACGAGTTAAATTTCATTGAAAGTATTTGGCACCATTGGTAGATTCCTGGATGGAACATGCGTTAACAAACTAAAGTTAGTAGGTAAGTATTGGAGTCGGAAGTTGGTTTTTTGCGTCATGTGGCATTTTGTGGTCGGAATCATGGAGGAAGATTACTATATTATAATGTGGTCGGAATGTACAAGAGCAGAGGACGTACCGTTGTGAGCAAGTGTGTTATCGCTGTACTCCTGGTTATTAAATTATCGACTGGAAATTATTGGACCCACTGTGAGTAATAAGTTTTATGTAATAGCGATTAATATCCATACTAAAATTATCCGTCAGTTTCCTCAAACAAGGTAGATAAAGGATGTCTAATTAATAATCACAGTCATTGGGACTGTCCACTTGTGGAATTTCTTGTAAAGTGATACGAAATAAAAAAGAATGAGTGGTTATCGCTGAAAAGTTTTCCAGTGTTTCATATCCTAGTATGGTAGAGGAAGATGTGCTGTATTGCTTTCCAGGCGTTGATGTCGTCTCATCTAAATATAAGCAACAGTCTTTTTCATAGTCTTTAAAATCATTAACTTTTAATAATTTTTTAATTTAAATTTAAATAATAAAAAATTTCTTGTCATATACCTGGGTAGAATTTGATATGTTCTATTTTCCGACGTAATGTACGCAAAGATGGCAATAAATAATTTAATTTTAATAAAAATTCATAGCCTGAAGAACCACAAAAAAATTTAATGGACAGTCCTTTTTCTACAGTCTCGAGACTCCACCTCCTCAATTTTTTTTATTTAAGTGCATTTGTAATTACTTCTTTGTTCACTCGAGATTTACCTGCAATCACCAGTTTGTCATTAATTTTTAATTTCTTAAAATTCAAACTGTTAATTTTTTCTTTTCAACAACAAATTTCGTCTTCTTTCTGCTGCAACAAATTTTGATTGCACTTTCCTTAACCCTCGATTTGCGCAAATGATTCTTTTTCAGTGGCTATTAAATTTTGAATTTTATATTTTGTTCATTAATTGTTTGTTACGGATTAACAATTTTAAATGGTGCTTTATCTTTATAATCTTGAACATGAAAATATTTAGATAAAACGTTTTCTTCTAACTTTAACTCGTAGACGAAATCTCTTTGATTAAAGTGCACCTTAAAATATAATTTTAAAAATACAGAGGAAAGGATTTTACAAAACTAAAAAGTTTTTACTTCAAGAAATGTCATTTTGTGTCCATACTTTTAAAAACCACATATTCTGTCAAGGCACTCTTGTACCCCCTAGATAAATATTCTATTCTTTTTTTAGGTCAAGATCTAGCGTTTTCTTGACTGCACCTTTAAAAATGGAGAAAATCCAGGTGAGTGTTTCTCCACATATAATTTAGACAAAAAAAATAATTGGTCAAAAAATTTTTGAAAATTGTTTGAAACAGTTAGTTTGTAATCAAATTTAATTAGTTGGTTTCTAAATGTTCTAGAATCTCTAGAAATATCTAAATATATAACTGAAGATAGACAGAAGAGGGTTTCCCCATAATTAATAACTAAGCAATTATTTCGTTCCAGAGATTTAAAAAGAGGTCAGGCACAACCGATAAAGGCAAAGAATACGAAGACGTGGTTCTCGCCAATCTTGTACTAAATTTAGTAAGAGACCAAAAAGTAACCAACTTCCACATCTCATCAAATGATGCAGAGTTTGGTGCTTTTGACGATATTGTCATAAAACTTGAACCAGAGAAGGGACACGAACGACACGTCAAAGCAGTGCAGTTGAAGCACACCGATACGAAAACACTCTGCACAAAAAATTTAGGTTCAAAAAAAGGAGACTTTAGCATTAAACGATATTTTCAAAGTTTTCAAGAAATTGAGAAAGACGCAGATGAATTCATCTTATTTACCAACCGATCATTTAAATACAACGACAACGCAAAATTTGAACTGGAAGAAGAAGGATTTTTTGTTAAACCCGTTAAAGTAAAAGCGTCCGCGGAACTTTCAGAGAAATTAAATTGTGCTTATCAGTTTGAAGTAGTAGAAGAAAATTGGAATATAGAAATGCTGCTCAAAATTCAAGAATATCAACGGTTTTTTGCTAAATTCTATCTTTACGTTGATCAAGAAAATGTTGAAAAGATGAAAAAGACAGCAGCTGAAAAATTCACCAGAACATATTCTTCGAGTGTGGAAATCTTCGAGAGGTTCCTCAAAATAGTATCTGAATGGAACATGCAAGATGGAAATAAAGAAATGCTCAACAAAGTGTGGATGCAACGTGTACTTGCGCTGCAGCTGTTGTTTCCCAAAATTGAGCCTTTATCTTTTGGTACTGTTAATGACAATATGAAGGTATTTCGAAAGGCGATTTCTTCGTTCGCTATCACACTTTTTAAAAACAAATCATGCGAAATTGTTAAACAACTGTGGGGTGATGTCGCAAAGGAAGAAAATATTGACTTTAAAGAATTAAACATAGTCAGGAAGAGATATCTATCTAATATCCGACACATTACTGCTAGTAATATCGACAACATTGATCCAAATGCATTCACGCAATTGCTATGGTTGATGGATATGTGTCCATTAATATTAAGGGAATGTGAAAACGTGGAAAAAGCAATCCAGCTATGTCCCAACAAAAAGTTCATCTTGGTTGGCGAAGGTAAATTTGAGGAGTGGATGAAAAAATATTCAGTGTTCCAACAACTATCAAACTTGAATAAAGACTCCGAACTGCGCGAACAAATAATGCAGAATTTCACTATATCAGTCCAAGGAAAGGAAGCACTTGATCTTGTGACGGCTACTGGAAGTGATGAAAAATTTTTAGATAATCTTACAACTGACAATTTAGTGGAAATGCTAAACGGTCCATGTCGTATAGGCGGAGAAAAAGAAACACTACCTGAACCTTATATTGAACGCTATCTCTCGCGAAATGTTGTAAATATCACATATTTAGAAAAAGTCCACGAAAACACAGTTGTTGTTTTAAATTGTGCTAACAACTTTGATAAAGCAAAAGACATACTTGACAAATGTACATTAGTTGACATTGATAAGTTTTTGCAGACTGTTGAAAATCTAACAAATAGTGAGGATTCTATGTTGAAGTCTAATCCATATACGTACTCAGGTAACTTTAACGTTAATAAATCTATCTATGCTAACGCAGACTTCGTTGGTAACAGGAAAAAGAATCAATCTAGTGAGTTCAATGAAAGCAAACTTAATCCTGACAAATCAAAATTTACTAAAGCAATCTATGTAGGTAATCGGAATTATGATGATGTTGAACTTCAACAAATTTTCAACGAAAATAAGCAGTTTCATTATTTTCAACTTTTAAGTGATGGGAATTTAGAATGGATTAAAAGCAGAGGTGATGTTAGCGATCTAGAGGGTTATAAGCTGACTAATCAGTCTATGGAAGAAAACACGCTGTGGTCTTGTCGGTTAGATAATCACCTTAATCTAATAACTGGCGATCCGGGAATGGGTAAATCCGAGCTAATGAAAAGCTTCAAAAACAAATGTCCACCGAAATACTGGACAGTTATAATCAGTCCTAAAGACGTTAATTTATTTTTTCACAATACCAGTTATCCTAAAACCGCAAATTATACAGATTTATTTGAAAAATTTATAGCGAAAGAAAAATGTCGGTCGCTCAGTAAACTCGATCGCGATTTTTTCGAAATGTGCGTCAAAAAAAACGACGTTATTTACGTGTGGGATGCGCTCGACGAAATTTTAAGCAAACATTTTGATTTCGTTTTAAATATAATCCTCGACCTCTCAAAAAAATATTCCCGTCAGTGGGTTACTAGCAGACGGCATTTAAAAACACACCTAGAAAAAAAATTCAATTTGGCGTCACTTAGTATAAATCAGTTTAGCGAACAAGAGCAACAACAATACATTAGAAAACGTCTAAAATCTTTTATTTTTGAAGACGAAATTGACATGGCGCTCGAAAAAATCAAATCGTCTTTTGAGGTTGTTGAACACGTGGACATACTGGGTATCCCACTCCAAGTATTCATGCTCACCGAACTGTTCCGTGAAAATAGCGAAAAATATTTGAAACTAATGGACAACACATTCCTGTTGACCGATTTGTACGATTATTTTATTGACGAAAAATTTAATAACTTTTACAAAGACAAAATCGAATTTGATTTTCAAAATCCTCAAGTGGAAAGAATAGTTCGTGGAGAAAAACAAAGGGCTTTAGATTTATATGAAAATGTTGCCTTCAAAGTAATATTTCCAGAGGAAATTTTGCACCGACTGAATATTGACTACGAAAAATGCGTGGAACAAATTTTAGTAAGTTATGCTGGTCCGGGTCTTGTAAATGAATTCCAAAATAATGTCCCGCATTTTATTCACAATTCTTTCGCGGAGTATTTAGTCGCTATATATTTTTCAAAAAATATTAACAATGTTAAAGATTTAGTTGCGGACATACTCTTTGACGCAAAGTATAATAACGTCCGCTTCTTTTTTGACATGCTGTTGGCCAAAAATTCAGAAGCTCACATTGCCGTCTTGTACAAAGATTATATAACACTCAAATCGTACGACGACGAAATTTTAACACGCAAAGACGAATGTGGCAGAAGTGCTTTACATTTGATTTCGTCATGGGGGCAAAGACATCCACCTGTAAAAATAACCTGTGTAAATGGGGAATATATTGTCCACGAAGATGGCAATTTGGGTAATAAGCCAGAAAACAAAGAATATTTTGAAACCATAACGTATTTGCAACGGATGAACGATGCTGGCGAACGTGATATGTTACTACTAGGGACACCTTTGTCTTATGCTAGAAAAAGTGAGAGCTTAGGGGCGGAAATAAAATTACTTCAAACCAACAAAAATGAATTGCAAGAATCATGCGCTGACGTGGAAATAATAAACATTTTATATTATTCTGCTTTGCTTGGTTACGACGACGTGTGCAAACTATTCACAGTTGAAGAGTTAAATCATTTTTGGTGCGGAATGAAATTTGTTACTGCGCAGTATGCGGAAACACCCTTGTTATTGGCCTGTGAAATTGGAAATTTAAAAATCGTTCATTGTTTTATACAATCCGGGGTCGAAGTCAATCGCGCTAATAAAAACGGTGCGACACCACTTTACGTAGCTTGCTTCCACGGTCACGACAAAGTAGTCAAATACTTGGTGACAGTCGGCGCCGAAATCAATCGCACAGATAACAATGGTTTGACACCGCTTTATATAGCATCTGAAATGGGCTACGAAGAAGTTGTCAAATACTTGATGACAGTCGGTGCCGATATCAATCACGCGACTAACGAGGGTTGGACACCACTTCACGTAGCTTCCTTCGACGGTCACCAAAAGATTGTCAAATACTTGGTGACAGTCGGGGCTGATATCAATCGCGCTAATAATAGCGGTTTGACACCACTTTACGTAGCTTCCGAAAACGGTAACGAAAGGGTTGTGGAATACTTGGTGACAGTCGGTGCCGAAATCAATCGCGGTAACAATAACGGTTTGACACCACTTTACGTTGCTTCTGAGAACGGTCACCAAAAAGTTGTCGAAGACTTGGCGACAATTGGTGCCGAAATCAATCGCGCCACTAAAGACGGTTGGACACCACTCCATGTAGCTTCTGGAAACGGCCAAGAAAATGTTGTCAAATACCTGGTGACCATCGACGCCGAAATCAATCGTGGTAATAATGACGGTTTAACACCACTTCACGCAGCTTCCTTCCACGGCCACATAAAAGTTGTCGAATATTTAGTGACAGTCGGAGCTGAAATTAATCGTGCTAACGACTACGGTTTGACACCTCTTTACGTGGCTTCTGAAAACGGTCATGAAGAAATTGTCAAATATTTGGTGACAATCGGCGCTGACATCAATCGCGCGAATACTAATGGTTGGACACCACTTCACGTAGCTTGTTTCGACGGCCACGAAAAAGTTATCAAATACTTGACGACCGTCGGTGCCCAAGTCAATCGCCCTAATAATAAAGGTTTAACACCACTTTTTATAGCTTCCGAAAACGGCCACGATCAAGTTGTCGAATACTTAGCGACAGTCGGCGCCGACATCAATCGCGGCAGTAATAAAGGTTACACACCACTTTTCATAGCTTCACAAAACAGCCACGAAAGAGTCGTCGAGCACTTGGTGACAATCGGCGCCGAAATCAATCGTCCCACTAACAACGGTTTTACACCACTTTACATAGCTTGCGAAATGGGCCACGAAAAAATTGTCAAATACTTAGCGATAGTCGGCGCCGAAATCAATCACGCCACTAACGACGGTTGGACACCACTTCACGTAGCTTGCTTCGACGGCCACAGAAAAATTGTCAAACACTTGGCGGTAGCAGGCGCCGAAATCAATCGCGCTAATAATAACGGTTTGACACCACTTTATGTAGCTTCCGAAAACGGTCACGCAGAAGTTGTCGAATACTTGACGACAATCGGCGCCGAAATCAATCGCGCTCAGAATGACGGTTGGACACCACTCCATGTAGCTTCGCAAAACGGCCACGAATATGTCGTCAAATACTTGACAACGTTCGGTGCCGAAATTAATCGCTCTAGTAATGACGGGTGGACACCACTTCACGTGGCTTGCTTCGACGGCCACGGAAAGGTTGTTGAGTTTTTGGCGACAGTCGGGGCCGAAATCAATAGTGCGAATAGTGGGGGGTGGACACCACTTTGCGTAGCTTCCCAAAATGGACACAAATATGTTGTCGAATACTTGACTACAATGGGGGCCAAAATTAATCGTGGTAGTGTAGATTGTCGGAGCAAGCAGGAAAATATAGAATACTTGACAACAGCCGGTGCCCAAAGAGAACGTCCGTCTTATCAGATAAAATATAAAAAGAAGAAGATATTTTGTTGCAGTGTAATGTAGTTTCACATTGCATTAACAAATTACATTACAGTTTTAAGTACACTAACAGATTTTTGGTTCATGTTGACATTATCTGTACCATCTCTTGGTATTTGGATTTTATAGCTAAGCAGACTCTAATGAAATCCTAAACTTTGACTATTCCGTGAACTTTTCCAAAAATTAACATTATTATTAAATAGTGCTAAATTAAAATTATATGTATACAAAACTCACTTGACATGCACCTAGTAAAACTTTTATAATTATGACTTAAGTCATAAAAGTTTTACAAGTGAGTTTTGTATATGAAATTTTTGTAACTTTTGTAATTTCTTTAACTATAATTTTAACTTACTGACTGATTTGTGACTATAGAGAATGTAATGAAGTCGCACCTTTATAGCAAATAATATAATTAGTTGTTACATATAAAAAAAACAGAACTGTGATTTCTCTATTATTAAATAACCAGAACCCGATGCATGGTACCGTTTAGTATTGTCTAGAGATTTGCTGCATCGATTTATAAGAAACCTGAGAAAAAGAAAAAGATAACATAATATAATAATAAAATAAGGTATTTATTTAGCTAAAGCTACAATTTGTACATAGGAGCTTAATACTATTTAAGTAACTATACTATATATAAAATGAACACAAGAAGGCAATAATAAGGCATGAATGTATCCTAAATATAAAATAAAGAAACAAAATTATATTGTAAATTATTACTAAAAATATGAATTAATTTAAACAAAGTTAACAACTATTAATTTCTTCGAAAGATTTGTTGTATAGTAATTCCCTTACCTGACGCTTGAAATTTTTTAAAGTTGGTTGGCTTTTTATACTCTCTGGTAACGTGTTATATAGTCTGATGACCTTGCAAAACAATGAATTTATTGAAGACTGTTTGGTTTTTGACGTTAGATACAAATTTCCTTTTTGTCTCGTATTATAACTACGTTTTGCCTTCATATTTTGAATGCTTTTGTTCAAATACTCAGGTCCTATATTGTTAATTAATTTATGTACTAAAATTAAGGTCTGCAGCTTTATGATATCAGATACATCCAGCCACTCCAAGACTCTCCTCATATCAGATATTCTTGTATATCTACTGCACTGCAAGATAATTCGCATTCCTCTATTTTGCATTTTTTTGCAAGCTTCCCATGTCCGTTTGGCATAGGAGATACAAAATGGGCGGGCAATACATAAAATGTGGTGTGATGTCCTCTGTAATAGTCTCGACGGTGGTTGGTTAATAACACCACTACATATTTATTATTCATTTATTTACCCATATTACCACTACAAACCCAGACTTAACACTTCTTTGTTTTAGCTATCACTTACACTTTTATACACTATTGATGACCTAGTTCCTTGCAATGGACAAGCATTTGCTGACTAACGAATTCAAACTTACTCATTCCATTACACCTCCCCCGGTCGGGAGAAAAATTTTTTTTCCGTGTTCTCACGTCTCAAAAAAAAATTTTTCCTTACATTATTCATGATACTTCTTAACTCTATTCTTATGCACTTCTATTAACTTATTACCTATATTAATTACAATATTTGGTGCTTTGTCTACAACTACAGTATATGGTCCTTTATACACTGGTTCACTCTTATTTCCTACATTATTTCGTAACATAATTTTCGAACCAGTTGGATATCTTACAATTTTTGAAATTTGACTATCGTACAATTTTTTCCTTTTTACTTCCCGAGCGTAAGCAAAGGAAGTATTGTAATCGAGTCCGTCGGCCGACTCTCTACTTTTACGTTTTCTCGATCTTTCATGACTTTCATTTCCGTCTGTCTGTCCGTCTGTCCGTCTGTCCGTCTGTCCGTCCGTCTGTCCGTCCGTCTGTCCGTCTGTCCGTCTGTTGTCCCGGATTTTTATTAGGCAGATAATCTCCGAAAGTACTCGACCGATTGTTGTGAAATTTTGTACTTATATTAAGAATATCATGTAGATGGTAAAACGCTAACCAAAATTTGTCTAATCATCCCCACCACTAATGCGATGACGTCACTTCAAAATTGTACATAGTAAATGGGTTTTCAATTGTATAAAATAACATAGTCCTACACATGTAGTTTACAACTCTGAATCGACTTTTCACCCGAAACGTCCAGATTTTTGGAAAAAAAATCAAAATTATAAAACAACATTTTGAAATTTAATTTTTAATCTGCTAACCAGAATACTTTGAAATGTTGCAGATGTTTTAAGGCTATAAAGAGCATCATAAATCTTTAGTCAAAAAATATTTGCTTATCCCCTCCAAAAACTTGATGACGTCAGCTCAAAAGTTTGTGGAATAAATTATATCTAAAATGTACAAAATATGATGAGTCTGTACTTGTGATCTATCACTCCATTCATATTTTTTGGATTTGCATATACAGGGTGACTCAAAAAAATTAATGAATGCGTAAATATATTTTATTGATTTAATCAGGAACTACAAAACCGAATGCTCTGAAATCTTGCAGATGTTTTAAGGTCATAAAGAGCATAATAAATGTTTAGTCAAAATATATTTGCTTATCCCCTCCAAAAACTTGATGACGTCAGCTCGAAAGTTTGCCGAATAAATCATATCTAAAATGTACAAAATATGATGAGCCTGTACTTGTCATTTATCACTCCATTCATATTTTTTGGATTTGCATATACAGGGTGATTCAAGAAAATAAATGAAAGCGTAAATTTATTTTACTGATTTACTCAGGAACTACAAAACCGAATGCTTCGAAATCTTGCAGATGTTTTAAGGTTATAAAGAGCATAATAAATATTTAGTCAAAATATATTTGCTTATCCCCTCCAAAAACTTGATGACGTCAGCTCGAAAATTTGCCGAATAAATCATATCTAAAATGTACAAAATATGATCAGTCTGTACTTGTGATCTATCACTCCATTCATATTTTTTGGATTTGCATATACAGGGTGATTCAAGAAAATAAATGAAAGCGTAAATTTATTTTACTGATTTACTCAGGAACTACAAAACCGAATGCTTCGAAATATTGAAGATATTTTAAAATTATCATAAGCATGGTAAATTTTTGATCAAAACGTATTTGGTCGTCCCCCCTAAAAAATTTATGATGTCAACACAAAATTTTGCTGAAAAAATCCTATCTAAAATGTACAAAATATGGTGAGTCTCTTCTTGTGATTTATCATTCCATTCATATTTTTTGGATTTGCATATACAGGGTGACTCAAAAAACTTAATGAAAGCGTAAATTTATTTTACTGATTTACTCAGAAACTACAAAACCGAATGCTTTGAAATCTTGCAGATGTTTTAAGGTTATAAAGAGCATAATAAATGTTTAGTCAAAATATATTTGCATATCCCCTCCAAAAAATTGATGACGTCACCTCGAAAGTTTGCCGAATAAATCCTATCTAAACTGTAAAAATATGATGAGTCTGTACTTGTAATTTATCACTCCATTCATATTTTTTGGATTTGTATATACAGGGTGACTCAAAAAAATTAATTAATGCGTAAATATATTTTAATGATTTAATCAGGAACTACAAAACCGAATGCTCTGAAATCTTGCAGATGTTTTAAGGTCATAAAGAGCATAATAAATGTTTAGTCAAAATATATTTGCTTATCCCCTCCAAAAACTTGATGACGTCAGCTCGAAAGTTTGCCGAATAAATCATATCTAAAATGTACAAAATATTATGAGTCTGTACTTGTCATTTATCACTCCATTAATATTTTTTGGATTTGCATATACAGAGTGACTCAAAAAAATTAATGAATGCGTAAATATATTTTATTGATTTAATCAGGAACTACAAAACGGAATGCTCTGACATCTTGCAGATGTTTTAAGGTTATAAAGAGCATAATAAATGTTTAGTCAAAATATATTTGCTTATCCCCTCCAAAAACTTGATGACGTCAGCTCGAAAATTTGCCGAATAAATCATATCTAAAATGTACAAAATATGATCAGTCTGTACATGTGATCTATCACTCCATTCACATTTTTTGGATTTGCATATACAGGGTGATTCAAAAAAATAAATGAAAGCGTAAATTTATTTTACTGATTTACTCAGGAACTACAAAACCGAATGCTTCGAAATCTTGAAGATATTTTAAAATTATCATAAGCATGGTAAATTTTTGATCAAAATGTATTTGGTCGTCCCCCCTAAAAAATTTATGACGTCACCACAAAAATTTGCTGAATAAATCCTATCTAAAATGTACAAAATATGGTGAGTCTCTTCTTGTGATTTATCATTCCATTCAAATTTTTTCGATTTGCATATACAGGGTGACTCAAAAAAATTAATGAATGCGTAAATTTATTTTATTGATTTAATCAGGAACTACAAAAGCGAATGCTTTGAAATCTTGCAGATGTTTTAAGGTTATAAAGAGCATAATAAATTTTTAGTCAAAATATATTTGGTTATCTTCTACAAAAAACTGATGACGTCAGCTCAAAAGTTTGCCGAATAAATCGTATCTAAAATGTACAAAATATGATGAGTCTGTACCTGTGATTTATCATTCCATTCATATTTTTGGATTTGCATATGCAGGGTGACTCAAAAAAATTAACGAATGCGTGAATTTATTTTATCGATTTAATCAGGAATTACAAAACCGAATGCTTTGAAATCTTGGGAATATTTTAAAGTTATTATAAGCATGGTAAACTTTTGTTCAAAATGTATTTGTTCATCCCTCCTAAAAAATTGATGACGTCACCCTTAAATTTTGCTGAATAAATCCTATCTAAAATGCAAAAAATATGATGAGTTTGTACTTGTGATTTATCATTCCATTCATATTTTATAGATTTTCTTAAGAGGTGGTTCAAAAAAATTAATGAAGTTCATTTATTTTATTGATTAAATTAAAGGCAACACTTATTATTAGTATTACACCCCAACCAACCCAATTTGGTAGACACAAAATTTGTTAAAGGAAAAACTCGGTTGAAACATAAGGGTAGCACGCTTATTTACATCGACTTTAACATTACAGACCTGCATTTGTTTTATGCGCTCACTTGGTTCCGCGAATGTGGAATAGACATGTTTATAATCAACCAATTGTGAATTTCACCGTCAAGAATTAAAATAAAACCCAATGTTTTATATAATAAGCGGAAGTCGAAGCAATAAAACCGATGGTCGTTTTGTTTACAGTTTCTCTGTTTGACTCTCACGTATGCTGTTACGCTTGTCATCTTAAATTAAGAATGTTTATACATAAACGATTTTCAGTTGCCCCTCATATTACTAGACACCGGATTTCTGTCGGGCTACGTCACGATTATAGGGGGGGACGTGCTGGATCGCCGGGTTATAGATAATCACTGAATTTAATCGGTACTAATTCCATAAATATAATTAACGATTTATTAATCAAACGGTTAAGTAAATGAGAACGGGAATTAACAGCAGAGTGCAACGAAACAGCGTTATTCTAATCTCAAATAAACGAAGTGCAGTCCGCAACCGCAATGAATTCGCATCCCGTACGAGCCGTACCGAGTTTGGCCTTGCCTAGCCCGACAGAAATCCGCTCTCTAGATATTACACACCGGCGCCGTATACGTGAGTAAATTGTTTCGTTATTTTATTGATTATAAGAAATCAATATTCAAAACGACCCAATTCATTTTCCCGAAAATTTGGGAATACAATAATTTTATACTTAGTATTACACTACATCTATCCCAACTGATATACGTGTCCTTGCAAAAATGTTGATGACGTCATCACAATTTTTTTGAAATTCCCACTACAAAAATGTAATGAGAAAAAAAACACAATAGGCATGCAGTCGTCAAGTTTCCGACAGCGAGGGAAGTACTGTCTAAACTCTTTAGACCAATTTTTTTCTCTTTCTTCCGATTGGCAGGGTCGTCATGTGATGTCCTCTCTAATAGTCTCGACGGTGGTTGGTTAATAACACCACTACATATTTATTATCCATTTATTTACCCATATTACCACTACAAACCCAGACTTAACACTTCCTTGTTTTAGCTATCACTTACACTTTTATACACTATTGATGACCTAGTTCCTTGCAATGGACAAGCATTTGCTGACTAACGAATTCAAATTTACTCATTCCATTACAGTGGTAATGCAATTGTTTTGTAAACTAAACATCGACAGTTCATTCCTGATTCGTCTTAAAAAACCCATTTTTTTTGACAATTTTGTAATAACGTACCTGGCATGCTCTCTGAATTTCAACTCATCGTCCATTTGTATTCCTAAATATTTAATTAGCTTAACAAGATTTATATTTTGGTTTCCAATTTTTACATGTCGCGGATAATCTGTATAATTTTTGTTGCTTATGCTCATATATTTTGTTTTATCGATATTTAACTTGAGTCTATTATAATTCAACCAATCCGTTAACACTAACATTTCCTCATCTAATGAATCTAATATTTGATTTAAATATTCCCCTGACAGGAGAACTAAGATAGATATCATCTGCAAATAGATGGATCGTGCATTTGTCTACAGCGTTTATTATGTCATTAATCTATATGAATAATATTGGACCTAAAACGCTTCCTTGGGGAACCCCATATTTTACATCTACTGAATCAGAAAGAATATTATCACATTTTACTCTTTGTGTTCTGTTTATCAAATAATTTTCTATCCATTTTTCTGCATTTCCGTCTATTCCTAACTTTTTTAACTTTTGCAATAAAATTTTTCTGTCTATTTTTGTCGAAAGCTCTACTGAAATCTAAGAAAACTGCAACTGTGGTTCTGGTGTTTTCTTTTGTTCTTTCATATCTGCTATTACATTTTGTAGTGCTGTTTCGCAGTTGTGTTTTTTTCAAAAGCCAGGTTGATTTGCAACTAGGATTTTGTTGTACTCGATAAATTCTAGTAACTGATTGTACACTGCCATCTCAATTATTTTTTCAATTGTTGGTAACATATTTATAGGTCTAAACTCATTTTTATGTTTGATTGTTCCTTGTACTTTTCTTATGGGTACAATTGTTGATAATTTCGGTTTTTTTGCTATCACACATTCCAATAAAGAATTCGAAAACAATTTAAAGCAAACGAAAACTGAAAATATTTGGCTGACTGAAATAATTTGTCATAATTTAGGTTCTATCTATGCGTAAAATAAAAATTAATCAAAGCTGTTTACGAAACGTAAAATGGGTTGCCTATGCAGAAATATTCAGGCGTGAACAAATAAAATGAGCAACCTGTATGTCTTAATTTGTACAATCGCTACCGACAAGTGATAAATTCAACTCGTCCTTGATTCGAATCATCTGGCAACGTTGGTGGACTAACTATACATTCTAATAATAAACTAGGAATGGCAATTTGCTGTTTTGCATGCTTGTGGTCGCAAGTCAAAGTGAGAACGTGGCGGACTGAGTGTTTTCTCTCTAGTTGACTGCCATTTATTGAACCCGATGTGAGTGATACGTCTATATTAAAATCCCTCAACTCCAGTTACTAATCCCATCCGATTGGGAAAATATCGTATTGTACTTGTACATAGTGCGGCACTACAGTCAACTCAATTTGGCTTAAGAAGTGAATTGAAAATCATTTAAAGAATTTAAAGAATATTAGTATTTATTTAGTTCCAAAATTTTACAGACTGTGCAGTACCAAAAGCAGCAAGTTGTTATTAAATTATAACACAATTTTGTTACATTTATTTTATATCATATTTTACAAAATCGTATCTCCAAATGCGGTTTTCTTGCACATATTGCACAATATGTTGTTGTGTTGTTGACCTTATACCAGAATTGATAATAATCGCACAGCGGTTAACGCCTTATCTCATTTTGTGTTTATTCTTATTTATAACGACGGTGTAGTACAATTGCTGGGTGCCTATACGAGTACCGTCAAATCCAGTATAGAGATCATTACCTCTATTCTATAGAATATATATTTTAAAAACAATGAATCCTTTAATTAAAATCTGAACTACTGGTTATCTATCTCACCGGTGATAGTATATTAGAGTTAAGGCTGTATGTCCCCAGTATCAAGCCCTATACCAAATACATGCAAACTTTAATGACTTCTCATTCGAACAATGTTGAACTTGAAGCGATGCTGATTTTTTTTTTAGAATAGCCAGTGTATAACTGTATAGCAAAATAATTTTATTATAACAATTAATGTATCAGGTTATTAGAAAAAAAAATATCGAAATTTTGATTACCTTTTTGGGCGTTATAACATATTTTTTTCTAGGGAATTTTATGTCCAATCGATAAATAAATAAAAACACTACTGGAATATAACTTTATAACGAAATCAAAGAATTTTAGAAGATAGGCAATCAACAATACATCCAACCGGCCACAAATAGTATATTATTAACTAAGGTTGTGAAGACAGACATTCTAGACCGAGCGCAAATTAGAACCTGAGACGCGCAGCGTCGAGGGCTCTAAAGCGCGAGGTCTAGAATTGGCTTCACAAACGTGGTTAATATACTATTTTTTCCACTAGTAGCCCATTTGAGGTTTGCGAATTTTCAAAATGTTTTTTCTGAAGTGCATCAATAAAAACGTGTACTCACGTCATTTTAGTAAGCTTTGGAATTTTATTATTTTTTGACAATCCAGAAATGGTCCAGAACTTTTGTTTTAATTTCCTCCATATTTCCCGTTTTTAATAAATTTTTGTGTGAAAAATGTTGTAAAGTGAACCATCATGTACCCCTCCTCATTCCGTCGTACTTACGCGACCGCGACAAATTTGGCTGAAAAAGGTATGGAACTTTTATCGTTAAAGCGACACGGGGAATGGAAATCCTCCAGCATAGCAGAAGGATACAACGACGGCTCGATCTTCAATAAAAAAAAATCGCCGAAATCGTCCAAAGCCTATGGTCCAAAGCTCATCTACGGCAAATCAAGTCAAACCAAATCGGAACCATGATTCAGTTTCAGTCCCGTAAACTTCATTTTCACTCCCATCAACTTCATCAACTTAGTTTCACCAATTTATCCTCAATTTATAATCAATTCAGGGTTTGGAAATCATTCCAGGGCATAATTTAAAAGCAAATTTTCCAAAATGATCGTTTTCAGGTTATGTCTCAGTTTTTCTGACAGTTGTGGACAGTTGTCACATTAGGTGGCCAACTTCACGTTTACATTATTGACCAAGGTTCACAATTTTCCAAATTACAGACCTCTAGACAAGTCGACAATTAGCCATTGTAATGCTACTAGTGGAAAAAAGTGATTTATTACCCTAGAAAGTGTAGTGCGGCTAGAATCGCCCGACAGTGAAATTTTTGTTTCAAGAAATTGAAAATATGAAAGGCTTTGGCTTTAAACACCATTTTTGAATTTATTTAATTTTAGGTAACTTTTTTTTAATATATTTACTTCCTACCGGCAGATAGCGACCACATCCGGAATCAAGGATTTCGGGTAACACTGCATATAAGTAAAACTGTTCTAAGTGAGATACCATTTTTTCATGCCAATCAATTATTCAGTATTGTAGATCACATTCTGTTTCCACAATAAAATATATCTATCTATAGCTACTTTTATATTTTCTTTTCTGGCATTAAAAGGGCATTTCATCTTTATTATAGTCTTCTCCAATTAAACCATTTGGAGACGCCCCCAAATTATTTTTTCTGTCAACAAAAAAACCACATGATTTTACAATCAACCCTATAGATTGTATACATTTTTCTCTTGCCACTTCTTCGTTGTCAGTACCCCATTGGAGTGAATTCAAAACTATTCAAAAAATTGGAATATTCTATTGGATTTTCAGTTTGTCCAAATTTTGGACACAATAAAATTATGTGGTGCAACTAGAGTGATCACCAAAAATGATGACCGTTTAAAATATCTGCTTTAAATTTTCTACTTTTTTTTTTATAATAATTATACACTCTGTGCTAAATTTTTCTACCAAACCACAAATCTTACACTTGTAGATAAAAATGCTTTTGAAACCAAAACGTGTTTCATTAGTTATGTCAACATCAGCAAAAGTGCATGAACAAGTTTTATCCAGAATATTCTTTCAACTGTTCAACAAATGACCTATGTCAACAATTGGACGACAATTCGAACAACTTCGTTATTTGAAAAGCTTTTTTTCTGAAATTTGCTTTAGATATATAGTTAAACATGGCGACTTGATTACAACATTGTTTCTTTTTTTATCGCTCTCGGTTTGACAGATAGGGCCGCCTACTTTTTTTTTAATAGAACACCCTGATTTTTTTGACATTTTCTAAAACAGAATAAAAAACTGCTTTCAGAAATTATCAGCATGTTTATACACTGATACAAAAAATAGAAAAAAAAATCACAAAAAAACATCTTATTATTGTAAAATCACACATAATTTATTGAGACATTTTGTTGATCGATTACAGCACTGCCAAATTGTTTTTTGTGAATTTTTTTCTATTTTTTGTATCGGTAGAAATAAGCATGTTGATAATTTCTGAAATTAGTTTTTTATTCTGCGTTAGAAAATGTCAAAAAAATCTGGGTGTTCCATTAAAAAAAAAGTTGTTGGCCTTGTGTGTCAAACTGAAAGCGATAAAAAAAAGAAAAAATATTGTAATCAGGTTTAATTTTATACCCACACGAAATTTCCAAAACGAAGCTTTTCAAATAGTAGAACTAATAGGACTACCCATTCTTGAAATATTAAATAACGAAGTACAGAAACTACTTACCCAGACTTCACAAACAAAATCCAAAAAGAAAATTTTTGATCAAATCGAGATCTAAACTAGAGCAAAAAATTGGTCGAAACTTGTTTCGACAGAACTTCCCTAGCTCCTGAAGTACTGCAATGAAACATATCCAGCATTTTCGTGTTAGTCTTTTCTTACACAATTTTGTGATGACGTCATCATCATTTTTGCAAGGACATAATTGCTAAAATAGGACTGATTTTGGCAGATCCCGCACATTCGAAGAAAATAAAGGGTGGGTGGGCGGGGCCAATACTTGCCAAGATAAGACTGATTTTGCCAAAAGATATACGTTCTACCCTTCATTTTCTTGGAGAGTAGGTCATTTGCCAATATCAGTCTTATCTTAGCAGGGACTAGCCCCGCCCACCCACCCGCACTTTTCTTAGAGGTTATGTAATTTGCCAATATTAGTCTTATGAGTGGCCCCGCCCACCCACCCTTACTTTTCCTAGAGGATGTCATTTGCGAAAATCAGTTTTATCTTAGCAGATACTAATCCCGCCCACCCGCCCTCTACTTTCTTAGAAGGATCTCATTAGCCAAAATCAGTCTTATCTTAGCAGGTATTAGCTCTCTAAGAAAATAAAAGGCGGGTGGGTGGAGCTAGTACTAGCCAAGATAAGACTGATTTTGGCAGATGACATACCTTTTAAGAAAATAGAGGGCGGGCGGGTGGGGCTAATAATTGCTAAAATAAGACTGATTTTGGCAGAGGCCATACATTCGAAGACAATAAAGGGTGGGTGGGCGGGGCCAAAACTAGTACAGTCTAATACTAAAAATAATGGTATTGTATTCCAAAATTCTGGGAAAATGGAGTTTGCCGTTTCTGATTTAATTAATAAAATAAATTGATTCATTCATTAATTTTTTTGAGCCACCTGTATAACCCAATGTAAAAAATATGAATGCAGTGATAAATCACAAGTAAAAACTCATATTTTGCACATTCAAGGTAGAATTGATTTTTTGGGGGAATGAAGAGATATATTTTGATTAACAATTTACTATGCTTACAATAACTTTAAAACGTCTGCAACATTTTAGAGCATTCAGTTTTGCAATTCTTGATTTACTTAATAAAATAAATTGAGTGATTCAGCAATTTTTACTTCCCGATCGTAAGCAAAGGAAGTATTGTAATCGAGTCCGTCGGCCGACTCTCTACTTTTACGTTTTCTCGATCTTTCATGACCCCTAGAAGACGAAGAAATGGGTCTCCCATTTCCGTCTGTCTGTCCGTCTGTCCGTCTGTCTGCCGTCCCGGATTTTTATTAGACAGATAATCTCCGAAAGTACTGGACCGATTGTTGTGAAATTTTGTACTTATATTAGCAATATCATGTAGTTGGTAAAACGCTAACCAAAATTTGTCTAATCATCCCCACCACTAATGCGATGACGTCACTTCAAAATTGTACATAGTAAATGAGTCTTAAATTGTATAAAATAACATAGTCCTACACATGTAGTTTACGACTCCGAATTCAGTTTTTACCCGAAACGTCCAGATTTTTGGAAAAAAATCAAAATTATAAAACAACATTTTGCAATTTAATTTTGAATCTGCTAACCCGAATGTTTTGAAATGTTGCAGATGTTTTAAGGCTATAAAGAGCATCATAAATCTTTAGTCAAAATATATTTGGTTATCCCCTCCAAAAACTTGATGACGTCAGCTCAAAAGTTTGCCGAATAAATCCTATCTAAAATGTACAAAATATGATGCGTCTGTACTTGTGATATATCACTCCATTCATATTTTTTGGATTTGCATATACAGGGTGACTCAAAAAAATTAATGAATGCTCAAATTTTATTTTACTGATTTACTCAGGAACTACAAAACCGAATGCTTTGAAATCTTGAAAATGTGTTAAAATTATCATAAGCATGGTATATTTTTGATCAAAATGTATTTGGTCGTCCCTCCTAAAAAATTTATGACGTCACCACAAAATTTTGCTGAATAAATCCTATCTAAAATGTACAAAATATGGTGAGTCTCTTCTTGTGATTTATCATTCCATTCAAATTTTTTCGATTTGCATATACAGGGTGACTGAAAAAAATTAATGAATGCGTCAATTTATTTTATTGATTTAATCAGGAATTACAGAATCGAATGCTTTGAAATCTTGGAGATGTTTTAAAGTTACCATAAGCATGGTAAATTTTTTATCAAAATTTATTTGCTCATCCCCCCCTAAAAAAATTGATGACGTCACCCTAAAATTTGGTGAATAAATCCTATCTAAAATGTGAAAAATATGATGAGTCTGCACTTGTGATTTATCATTCCATTCATATTTTTTCGATTTGCATATATAGGGTGACTGAAAAAAATTAATGAATGCGTCAATTTATTTTATTGATTTAATCAGGAATTACAGAACCGAATCCTCTGAAATCTTGGAGATGTTTTAAAGTTATCATGAGCATGGTAATTTTTTTATCAAAATGTATTTGCTCTTCCCCCCTAAAAAATTGATAACGTCACTCCAAAATTTTGCTGAATAAATCCTATCTAAAATGCAAAAAATATGATGAGTTTGTACTTGTGATTTATCATTCCATTCATATTTTTTAGATTTTCTTAAGAGGTGGCTCAAAAAAATTAATGAAGTCAATTTATTTTATTGATTAAATTAAAGGCAACACTTATTATTAGTATTACACCCCAACCAACCCAATTTGGTAGACACAAAATTTGTTAAAGGAAAAACTCGGTTGAAACATAAGGGTAGCACGCTTATTTACATCGACTTTCACATTACAGACCTGCATTTGTTTTATGCGCTCACTTGGTTCCGCGAATGTGGAATAGACATGTTTATAATCAACCAATTGTGAATTTCACCGTCAAGAATTAAAATAAAACCCAATGTTTTATATAATAAGGGGAAGTCGAAGCAATAAAACCGATGGTCGTTTTGTTTACAGTTTCTCTGTTTGACTCTCACGTATGCTGTTACGCTTGTCATCTTAAATTAAGAATGCTTATACATACACGATTTTCAGTTCCCTCTCATATTACACGCCGGCGCCGTATACGTGAGTAAATTGTTTCGTTATTTTATTGATTATAACAAATCAATATTCAAAACGACCCAATTCGTTTTCCCGAAAATTTGGGAATACAATAATTTTATTCTTAGTATTACACTACATCTATCCCAACTGATATACGTGTCCTTGCAAAAATGTTGATGACGTCATCGCAATTTTTTTTTAAATTCCCACTACAAAAATGTAATGAGAAAAAAAACACAATAGGCATGCAGTCGTCAAGTTTCCGACAGCGAGGGAAGTACTGTCTAAACTCTTTAGACCAATTTTTTTCATTTATTACGACAGTAAATTAGCTTAAACCACATATCAAAAATTTCTCTTTCAAGGGACTATCACTTTATGCTAAAAAAAAATAGGAGGTGCTATTTAAAAAAAATATGGATGACGCCATACATCTGTCAAATATAGCTCAAAAATGTTGAAATTAATGTTACAAAATGGCAATTTTTATATACCCAGCGTAAGCTGAGAAATACTGTTTTCTTTCGTAGTAGATAAAATATTTTAGTTCAGTACTCTGCTCTACCTGCACGCCGAGAAATACCCTTTCTCAGCTGACAATAGGAGTAATAAAACTATTGCGAACGAAGCGAACAATTTTAACCCTTAGAGATGAGTGGCAGCTGTCATAACGTGGTAGCATGGGTTGTTTTACAAGTTGCATATTTCCCAGAGATGAAATTTACTCGGGTGCCGTACAGCCTTAATTGCCAAGCTGTTATTTACTACTAAATATCTTCCAAGGTTAAAACACATAACAGTAAATTTCTGTCAAAGTTAATTTTTGAAGTTTTTCTATGCTAAATTTTTAAAAACGGATAGACAAATCGAGGTTGACTAACTTCTTCAATAATTATTATATTATTAACAAACACATCTGCATCTTGTGCCAAATTTTGTTCTGTTTTGTTTTCAAGGGTTTTGTTCTTATTTTTTTTAGTTAAACATTTAGCCTTCACTAGTGGCTGCATCTTCATAAATGGAACAAATCGAGGTTAGTATTTTTTCACATATAACTATCTAATGAATTAGGGACTATCTTTTAAGTGTTTAAAATTTTTTGAAATAGTTATTTTAACTTAGTTAGCTTCTAATTGTTCTAAACAGATAGAAAATGGTTAGACGATATATAACTTAGTAGTTACTTTACTGCGATTGTTTTTCAAAGCAGGTGTTCGTTGATTTGGTTCCAGAGATTTAAAAAGAGGTCCGGCACAACTGACAAAGGCAAAGAATACGAAGATGTGGTTGTCGCCAGTGTTGTACTAAATTTAGTAAACGACCAAAAACTAACAAACTTTCACATTTCATCAAATGATGCAGATTTCGGTGCTTTTGATGATATAGTGATAAAACTTGAACCGGATGAGGGAAACGAAGTACACGTAAAAGCGGTGCAGTTGAAGCACACCGCGACGAAAACTTTATCCACAAAAAATCTAGGTTCAAAAAATGGAGACTTTAGCATAAATAGATATTACAAAAGTTTTGAAGAAATTAAGAAACACGCAGATCAATTTATATTGTTTACCAACCGATCGTTTAAGTGTACGCACAATGCAAAATTTGAATTGGAAGAAGAAGGGTTTTTTGTTAAACCCGTTAAAGCAAAACCGTCCTCAGAACTTTCAGAGAAATTAAATTGTACGTATCAATTTGAAATAGTAGAAGAAAATTGGAATGTAGAAATGCTGCCCAAAATTCGAGAATATCAAAGGTTCTTTGCTAAATTCTACCTTTACGCCGACCAAGACGATGTTGAAAATATGAAAAAAACGACAGCTGAGAAATTCACCAAAACATATTCTTCGAGGGAGGAAATCTTCGACAGATTCCTCAAAACAATATCTGAGTGGAACATCCAAGATGGAAATAAAGAAAAGCTTAGTAAATGGTGGACGCAACGTGTGCTTACGCTACAGCTTCTGTTTTCTCAAATTGAGCCTTTATCCTTTGGTGCAGTTAATGACAACATGAAGATATTTCGAGAGGCGACTGCCTCGTTCGCTATCACACTTTTGGAAAAAAAATCATGCGAAATTGTTAAACAACTGTGGGGTGATGTTGGAAAAGAAAAAAACATTGACCTCAAAGAACTGAACATAGTGAGGAAGAGGTATCTGCCTAATATCAGACACATTACTGATAGTAATATCGGCAGTATAGATCCAAAGGTTTTCACGCAACTGCTATGGTTGATGGATATGTGTCCATTAATATTAAGGGAATGTGAAAACGTGGAAAAAGCAATCCAGTTATGTCCCAACAAAAAGTTCATCTTGGTTGGCGAAGGTAAATTTGAGGAGTGGATGAAAAAGTACTCAGTGTTCCAACATCTATCAAACTTGAATAAAGACTACAAACTGCGCGACAAAATATTGCAGAATTTCACTGTATCAGTCCAAGGAAAGGAAGCACTTGATCTTGTGACGGCTATTGGAAGTGATGAAAATTTTTTAGATAATCTTACAACTGACAATTTAGTGGAAATGCTAAACGGTCCATGTCGTATAGGCGGAGAAAAAGAATCACTACCTGAACCTTATATCGAACGCTACCTCTCGCGAAATGTTGTAAATATCACATATTTAGAAAAAGTCCACGAAAACACAATTGTTGTTTTAAATTGTGCTAATAACTTTGATAAAGTAAAAGACATTCTGGATAAATGTAAATTAATTGAGATTAATAACTTTCTACAGGAAGAAAATCAAAATGTTGAATATCTAACAAATAATGAAGTTCCTATATTTAAATCTAGTGTGTATAGATATACAGGTGAATTATTTAACGTTAGTAAATCGAGCTTCGTTGGTAACAACGAAAACATGTTTAAACTTGATGAATCAAAATTTACTAAAACTGTATTCGTAGGTAACCGTCATTATAGTGACTCTGAACTTCAACAAATTTGCAACGAAAACAAAGAAATAAAACAGTTTCACTATTTTCAAGTTTTGAATGATGGAAATTTAGAGTGGATCAAAGGCAAGGGTGATGTTAGTGATGTCGAAGCTTATAAATTGTCGGAGAAATATTCTATGGAAGAAAACGCGTTGTGGTCTTCTCGGTTAGATGATAACATCAATCTCATCACTGGCGATCCGGGAATGGGTAAATCTGAGCTAATGAAGAGTCTTAAAAATAAATGTCCCCCGAAATATTGGACAGTCATAATTAGTCCCAAAGATGTTAATTTATTTTTTCACAACACCAGTTTTCCAAAAACCGCAAATTATACAGATTTATTTGAAAAGTTTATCGCGAACGAAAAATATCGATCGCTCAGTAAACTCGATCGCGATTTTTTCGAAATGTGCGTCAAAAAAAACGACGTTATTTACGTGTGGGATGCGCTCGACGAAATTTTAAGCAAAAATTTTGATATCGTTTTGAATATAATCCTCGATCTCTCAAAAAAAAAATTGCGTCAGTGGGTTACCAGCAGACGACATTTAAAATCATTTTTAGAAAAAAAATTCAGTTTGCCACCACTTAGTCTAAACCAATTTGGCGAACAAGAGCAACAAGAATACATTAGAAAACGTCTAAAATCTTTTATTTCTGCAGACGAAATTGAAATCACGCTCGAAAAAATCAAATCGTCTTTTGCGATTGTTGAACACATAGACATTCTGGGTATCCCACTCCAAATATTCATGCTCACCGAACTGTTCCGTGAAAATAGCGACAAATATTTGACACTTATGGACAACACATTCCTGTTGACCGATCTGTACGATTATTTTATTGACGCCAAATTTAATAACTTTTACAAAGACAAAATCGGATTTGATTTTGAAAATCCCCAAGTGGAAAATATAATTCGTGGAGAAAAACGAAAAGCTTTAGATTTATATGAAATTGTGTCCTTTAAAGTAATATTTCCTGAAGAAATTTTGCACCGATTAAATATTGACTGCGAAAAATGTATAGAACAAATTTTAGAAAGTTATGCAGGTCTCGGTCTTGTAAATGAATTCCAAAATAATGTTCCGCATTTTCTTCACAGCTCATTCGCCGAATTTCTCGTCGCTATATATTTTTCAAAAAAAACTAAAAACGTTAAAGACCTAATTGCCGACATACTGTTCGAGGCAAAGTATAATAACGTCCGTTTCTTTTTTGACATGCTGTTGGCCAAAAATTCCAAAGCTCACATTGCCGTTTTATACAAAAATTATGAACTACTTAAAACGTACGACGACGAAATTTTGTCACGCAAAGACGAAGGTGGCAGAAGCGTGTTACATTTGATTTCGTCATGGGGGAAAAGACATCCGCGTGTAAAAGTAATGTATGCAGAAGGGGAATACAACGTGTACGAAGATGGCAATTTCGATAAAAAAGCGGAAAGCAAAATATATTTAGAAGCGATGACGTATTTGCAAGGGAAGAACGACGTTAGCGCACGTGACATATTGTTAGATGCGACGCCTTTGTTTTATGCTAGAAAAAGTGAGAGGTTAGGGGCGGAAATACAACTACTTCAAACAAAAAAAGTTGAATTGAAACAAACATGCGCCCACGAAGAAATAATGAACATTATTTATTATTCTGCTTTGCTCGGTTACGACAACGTGTGCAAACTCTTCACAGTTGAAGAATTAAATAAGTTTTGGTGCGAAATGAAATTTGTTACTGCAGAATATGCTAAAACACCTCTGTTGTTGGCCTGTGAACTTGGTAATTTAAAAATCGTTGAATATTTTGTAAAATCTGGCATCGAGGTCAATCGTGCTAATAAAAACGGGGCGACACCACTTTACGTAGCTTCCAAAAACGGCTACGAAAATGTTGTCGAATACTTGACGACAGTCGGCGCTGAAATTAATCTAGCTCTTACTGACGGCTGGACACCAGTTCACGGAGCTTGCAAAAACGGCCACAAGAAAGTTGTTGAGTATTTGGCGAAAGCCGGCGCCGAAATCAATAGCTCTAATAAAAACGGCGCGACACCACTTTTCATAGCTTCCCAAAACGGTCATGAAAAAGTTGTCGAATACTTAACGACACTCGATGCCGAAATCAATCGTGCCACTGATAACTGTTGGACACCAATTCACGTCGCTTCCCTCCACGGCCACGAAAAGGTTGTCGAATACTTGGCGAAAGCCGGCGCCGAGGTCAATCGCCCTCTTTCTGAAGGCTGGACATCACTTTATTTGGCTGCCCAAAATGGCCACAAAAAAGTTGTCAACTATTTGACGACAGTCGGCGCCGAAGTCAATCGTGGTAGTAATAAGGGTACGACACCACTTTATATAGCTTCCCAAAAGGGTCACGAAAAGGTTGTCGAATACTTGGCAACAGCCGGCGCCGAAATCAACCGTGCCACTAATAACGGTTGGACACCTCTTCACATAGCTTCCCAAAACGGCCACGAAAAGGTTGTTGAGTATTTGACAACAATCGGAGCAGAAGTCAATCGTGCTACTAATAGCGGTTTGACACCACTCTATCTAGCGTCCCACAACGGCCATCACAAAATTGTTGAATATTTGGTGACAATCGGCGCCGAAGTTAATCGTGCCATTAATAACGGCACGACACCACTTTACATAGCTTCTCAAAAGGGCCACAAGAAGGTTGTCGAATACTTGGCAACAACCGGCGCCGAAATCAATCACGCTAATAAAAACGGTGCGACACCACTTTACATAGCTTCCGAAAACGGTCATGAAGACATTGTCAGATACTTGACAACAGTCGACGCCAAAATCAATCATGCTACTAACGACGGTGCCACACCACTATTCATAGCGTCCCAACATGGCCACGACAAAATTGTCGAATATTTGGCGGCAGTCGGCACCGAAGTCAATCGTGGCATTAATGACGGCACTACACCACTTTACATAGCTTCCCATATCGGCCACGAAAAAATCGTCAAATCCTTGATTGCCTTCGGTGCCGAAGTCAACCGTCCTAACAAGAACGATACGACACCTCTTTACATAGCTTCCCAAAATGGCCACGAACATATTGTCAAATACTTAACGACACTCGGCGCCGAAATCAATCGCTCTGATAATGAAGGTTTCACACCACTTCACATAGCTGCCGAACATGGCCACAACAAAGTTGTCGAATACTTAGTAACAGTCGGCGCCGAAGTCAATCGCGCTACTAATGACGGTTGGACACCACTTCACATTGCGTCCCAAAACGGACACAAAAAAGTCGTCCAATACTTGGCGAGCGTCGGCGCCGAGGTCAATCGTGCCGCCAAGAACGGTACGACGCCACTTTACATGGCGTCGCAAAACGGCCACGAAGACGTTGTCCAATACTTGGTGACAGTCGGCGCCGAAATTAATCGCTGTGTTAGTGGCGGTTGGACACCACTTCACATAGCTTCCGCGGATGGCCACGAAAAAATTGTCGAATACTTGGCGACAGTTGGCGCCGATGTCAATAGTGCTACCGATGACGGTTGGACACCACTTAACGTAGCTTCCCAAGACGGGCACATAAAAGTTGTCGAATACTTGGTGACAGTCGGGGCCGACATCCATCGCAATCAGAATGACGGGTGGACACCACTTCACATAGCCTGTCAAAACGGCCACGATAAAGTTGTCGAATACTTGGTAACAGTCGGGGCCGAAATCAATCGTGCCACTAAGGACGGTACGACACCACTTATAGCGGCTTCCCGACACAACCACGATAATATTGTGGCTTTCTTGACATGTGCGCAAACAACTCTATAGGAGTAAAATGTAAGGTTATAACATTTACCCGTAAATCTAACTTTATTGTATTTCCATATACTTTGAATAATGTTACTCTCGAACGCGTTTCTGAAATCAACGACTTGGGTGTAATCTTACGGTTTGCTAGTCATTTTGATTTTGTTCTGAATAAGTCATTTCGAACTTGTGGCTTTATCAAACGTCAGTCTATTGATTTTTGGAATATTAGTGTACACAAATTGTTTGTAACTTTAGTTAGACCGATTTATTCTTGAATATTGTTTTGTTATTTGGTTCCCATTTTATAAAACCTACGTTGATCGTCTTGAAAGAGTACCACGTAAGTTTGTCAATTATCTACTTTTTAAAATGAGAAAATAAGGATAACTACAGCTATGACCAAAGGCTTGTACTTGTAAACCTGAAACTACTGGAGAGTAGAAAACAAAAGGCTGAAATTCGTTTGAGTTATAAGTTGTTCCAGAATTGCATTGACTGCCTTGGCATAGTTACGTTGTTTGATATTAGAGTACCTGGATTAGGTTCTCGTTGCTCTGAAACTTTTATACCTAGATTTCATCGTACCAATTGTACGTTTCATCCACATATGGATAATATAGTTAGATCTATAAACAAAATTTCAAATAATCTGGATTTTTTTTATGTAACTTTATCTTCTTAAGCAGCTACCTGAAAAATCTTTAAGTTGTATGGATTAGTTCGTTTTAGTTTTTATGTACTTCTTTTTTGTAATTACTTTGCACAGTTTAGTTCTATTTTCGATGTCATCTTATGGATCTTGTATCTTTTTCGACATTTATATTAAAAGTACAAATACTACAACTCTGGAAATTAATCATTCCTATATTAGTAACAATAGTGCTAGATATATTAGTAACGTTGTCTGTGACAATCCACTGATTGAACAGTACTTGTCGTCAGGGGCGGACTGGCACTTTGAAAGTGGCCCGGGCAAAAGATTTAACCGGCCCTGGAGGCGACCCTCATTTACTACTTATAGTAAATTTTGTCTGTGATATTTTGTAAAATCAACAATTTTACATTTATGTATTAATTAATAAGGTTAAAATAACTAATTTTATTTAGAAATACGCTCAGGAAGTAAAAAGTTGTAGCAATTTTATTATTTATATTCATTATACCTATATTATACAGATTATTTTAATAATTTGGCCATAACGGCACTTTGACCCGACAGTGTATCTATAACAATATTACAGTCAATGACATCTAACATGATACTTTCAACAAACATCATTGTAAATGCTTCCAAATGATCATCCGTCAAACTATGTCGTAATCTGTTTTTGACAATTTTAAGCTTCGAAAAACTCCTTTCACAACCAGCAGACGAAATAGATAGAGTTAACAAAAATTTATACACAAGAAAAAGATTTTCATAAGCACTTGAATAAAGATTGTGTTTCATTAAAAATGTATAACAATACAAAGCACACTGTTTGCAGGATTTGCAGGATTTTTGGTTACCACAATCGTCACTAAAAGTTGACTCTTCGGATACTGTTTGTTTTAATTGATCCCATTTTGCAGCAAAATCTAAAAGTTCTTCTCGTATTTGAGACGGAGTAATTTCGGTATTAAATTTTATTAAAATATTGCATAGTGGAACAAATAAATCTGAATTTAAAGTTTCAGAACTTATATTGTTGAATTGTCGGGGATTAAATACAGCAAGCATAGTATAAATTTTTTCGTTTTTAGTAAATCTTGTACTAAAACTTTGCGCAATAACGTCCATAACTACATTGTATACATCAATTTTATATTTTTCATAGGGGTTATCAATACAATAGTCTGAAGTTTTTCCACCCGACAACATTTTTTTTTACGAATTCGCAGAATATCTAACTGCGAATTGATTATTACCGTAGACGCGTCGTTTTCTTTTCCCAATTCATTATTTGCCCATTCTACAAATTTATCTGTTGTTGACTTTAAATGATCAAAATCTCTGGATATTGCAGTTAAAGAATTTTTTGTTCCAGTAATCATTGTTTGCGCTGTAATTAGGTCTAGTCCAGATGTTTGTAAATATTTTGATGTAGGTGAAGTATCCTGAAAAATTCTCAAATACATATTGGCGGTTAAAATGGTTTCATATTTTGAAAGTGAATTTAAGTAGGAAGTTGCTTTATATCGTGTGTCAGAATTTAAAATTTCTGATTTTGATATACCTTCAAGAACCTCTATAATTGTAACAAAAAGGGCATTACTTGTGTAACCATAACTTCCAAAAATTTTTAACACTGCAATAAATTTAGAATTCCATCTTGTTTCTTCTATTGTACTTAAAACTTTTCGAGAAGACTCTTTCCAAATGTCCATTCTAGTGTGAGATTCTTTAAAGAAAACAGCAATACCATTTAACAAACCAAATAAAGATGTACACTGATGTGGTTTTTGTGTAATATCTGTTATTACTAAGTTTAAAATATGAGCATAGCACCAGAAATGTATGTGTTCAGGATTAGAAGTAGCCATCCAAGAACTAAAAGCATTATATTGCCCTTGCATATTTGCAGCACCATCGGTGCTACTACCTACACAATATTTTAAATTGATATTATTGTCGGCCAACACTTTTGCTATTAACTCATAAAGAGCTTGGCCTTTTGTAGAACTTGTACTTTTTAATGCAAGCAATGTTTCATGCACAGATTCATCATCTACATATCTAATAATAATAGAAGTTTGATTTGTAACTGTACTGTCTTGTGTTGTATCAATTTGAATTGAATACATTCCGATATTGGTAATTTTTTCTGAAATCTTACGCGTTATTAAATTTTTGATAATATTTACAATGGAATTTATAGTTGTTTTGGACAAAAAAGACACAATATTACCCCTACCTTTCTTGCCACGTGTATATTGCTTTTGCTTTTCTAAAATAACACGATTAATATGTGAATTTAATAAGGGGTCAAATTTTTTTAGCAGTAAAATAAGTTCCAAAAAGTTACCATGATTAATTTTTGAATTGGCCAAAGAAAGAATATCCTGATTTCTGTGACCTCTGTAGGCAATACCACATTTACCAATTACTTTTATTACTTCTATAATTCGCATTAAAATATCTCTTCTCTTCTGAACTTGACTTAAACGAATATTTTCTTGTTTTGGTACGTAAGACAGTATATTTAATTTTTTCAATAGCATCAAATATGCTTCAGCAGAATTTTTGTCACTTTGACTTTTTTCATGCTCATCCACTCTACTGTAAATATGTTTAGGATGAATACTTTTTACACCACTTTTAAATATACTAGATTCTTTGCTGTAAACCATACAAACTGTACAAAATAAAGTTTTTGAGTGTTCATTATAAGTTAACCAAGTACGCCGCACCCCACTTTTCCTGCGAAAGAGTGTAATCGGATTGAATGGTAAATCTTTTACATCACATGGTTGAATTGGATGAAATTTAAAAAAGCTATCAATGTCACTTGTTGCTGGGATAGAAAAAAATTTATTGCTTTCGACGGGTGGCAGAAACTCTTGTTCTGATACTTTTTGTTGTGAAGAAACATCTTCCAGAATCGTTGAAGTGGTAGGTTGCTTCAATCCAAGTTGCACCGCTTCAACAGGTTCAATAGGAGTAGTGCTTGTAGATTGTGCAGGTTGACTGTCACTTTCAACATTTTCTTTACGCAATTTAATAAATGAAGACAAGGGCTTGTAAAACTTGGCTTGTTCATCCAAAGCTTTTTTTTTCTTTTCGCGTAATTTTTCCGCACCGCCTTTGACCACTTTTCTTTTAACACCCTTCCCACTTGTGCTTGGTTTGTCCATTTCGACAAACTAAATAGTTTTGAAAAAGCCATAATGCAAATACTATTTTTACAGATAAAAAAAAAGTAATTTACCTTACAGTGATGATTATAAATTGTCACTTAATGGAAACCTCACGATCTACGTACACCCGCAATGGTTAAGCAGAGACATAAGACTGATTCTTAGAGAAAGATAAGTTTTCGATTAGGCCGATTGTATATTTTGTTAAGCATTAATTAAAAGAGTGTGAAAATAGTACGTGCTTAATTACCTAAACGTGCTTTTTGCATTTCATGCTTTGTTAATGTTATTTAAACTCGATACATATCACGGTGTATCATATTTCGTCGGCGGTGCCGCCAACATTGTTAAACAAAATTTAAAAGTTTGACTTTGAGAAATTATTATTATTGTCTATTCAGCGTAACCGGCCTACCGGCCCATCAGTTCGACGGCCCATCGAGCGAATGCCCGGTAGCCCGCCTGGCCAGTCAGCCCCTGCTTGTCGTTGTATGTATTTATTCGTTTCTAAAAATAACTATATCAATATAGACCATAATTTTTACAAGGAATAATAATATAAGCGACAGACAAAAAGAGAAGAGTTATTAATAACAATACATTTACAATAACAGACAAAATCAAGTTTTATAAAAAACTACTTGTGTTTTCTCTATTATTACTTAAATACGCAGAACACGAACATGGTACCGTTTAGTATTGAGTACATATTTACTGATCCGATTATTAAAAAAACTGAGAAGAAGAAAATTCCAAAAACACACAACAACCAAGTAAAGGAAAACTTGTTCAAGGTAAATAAATTTTTTATATTAAAAAATAATAATAAGTATATTGCAGAATCAGTGATGGTACTACAAACTACTGACTTTTACGAAATGCAACACAAATAAGTAAAAAACGTTCGTACAGAGTATTAAATACTCCAATATCAAGGATTATTTTCAATGTTCGTTTGTTGTTGTAGTGATGCCTTCCTGAGACATGTAAGTAAACTCCTAAAACCTGAACAAGTAGTTAGCACCCTCAAAAATTTTTAAGCAATCAGCCATGTTTCTCATTTTTCTTCTGAAGAAATCGACTTGTTCCGATGAATTGTGGAAGAATATTACAATATTAACAGAAAGTGGACGTTTGGTTATGTGTTTAGGATGGGCTTGGAAAACTTATTGACGAAGAGTTTGGAAACATCGGCAAGATGATAAACAGAGATTTCTAGAAGACAGATTTAATGTTTTTCCCTGACGACTTTCCAACGTAGTTGTCTTCGTGGAGCATGAAAAAATGACAAATTTTTGTAAAAATTGACACAGGTATATTTTTTTATATTCAAAAGCAGTAAGTCTATGTCTAAAAATCGATCAACAATTACGATTTTATTCTGAATTAAGTATAATTTGTATAACCACAGTACTTTGTAAATATTAAACATCAATGTATTAATAAATTTCTGTTTGCAGGACTCGAAGACACACCAAAAGTCAAAACGCTTCATCAATCCATTCCCCAAATCAAATATGTAAATAGATGGATTCAATAAACATGTCAAATATACAGTGTGTTTTTGAAATACATGTACAAACAAATCTAAGCTGTGTAGTGAGCCCAAGAGATCTGAAACGTTTCCTTCTATAATTGATCATTGGCGGTGTTTGTATTCCACGTAACCCGGCAGTGGAGATTTAAAAAAGTCACTTCGTGGATGTTGAAAGTGTTTACAACATAATCCCTGATTCTAACGTCATAATTGCAGGCGACTTTAATTTACTCATGTATCAAGCCAATAAGGTCCCCAACAGCAGAGGTATATTTTTAGATATAATATTTTCCAATTTTTGTGACCTGGAAGTCAACACTGTGATTGATTTACACTATACTCCTTACTCATGGTTGATTACTGGCTCAATTGGAGATACTTTAAGTATAGAAGTTTTTGATCTTGCTAAGGGCAGTTATATTCTCATTAACAAGTTTTTTGCATCTGTTTCTTGGGATATTTATTTCCGTGATTTGAACCTTGATGACAGGATAAATTTATTTTATGAGATTCTTGACTGTGTCATTGACCAATTTATACCAAAGATGATCATTAGATCAAACTCCTCAAGATTTCCTATATTGTTTAATAAAGATCTTAAATCTTTAACATTTAAAAAGAAAACAGACCATCAATTTAAGCAAACTGGAAACCTATATAATTACGACTATTTTAGCTCACTAACAGCTCAGTGTAAAGAACTGAGTAGTAAACTTTATAATTCTTATATTATAAAAAATTAATACTAATATTTATAATAATCCTAAATTTGTTTCGAAATTTATTAAGGATAGAAAACGCTGCAATGAAGTAAGTGTTTTTTTTTACCGTACGGGCTTAAAAGATTATTGATTTACAACACTACATTTTTTTTCCTAATTAACCAAAACCAAATAACTCCTTTCCTTTATCCCATCCCCCCTTGCCCCAGCCTTACTCTTGTCCTCTCCACTTCTTTCATCCATTCCACCCCTCTTCCGTCTTCATTCAATATCTTTGTCACACTCTCCTCTCTTTTTACTTCCCGAGCGTAAGCAAAGGAAGTATTGTAATCGAGTCCGTCGGCCGACTCTCTACTTTTACGTTTTCTCGATCTTTCATGACCCCTAGAAGACGAAGAAATAGGTCTCCCATTTCCGTCTGTCTGTCCGTCTGTCCGTCCGTCTGTCCGTCCGTCTGTCCGTCCGTCTGTCCGTCTGTCCGTCCGTCTGTCCGTCTGTCCGTCCGTCTGTCCGTCTGTCCGTCTGCCGTCCCGGATTTTTATTAGACAGATAATCTCCGAAAGTACTCGACCGATTGTTGTGAAATTTTGTACTTATATTAAGAATATCATGTAGATGGTAAAACGCTAACCAAAATTTGTCTAATCATCCCCACCACTAATGCGATGACGTCACTTCAAAATTGTACATAGTAAATGGGTTTTCAATTGTATAAAATAACATAGTTCTACACATGTAGTTTACAACTCTGAATCGACTTTTCACCCGAAACGTCCAGATTTTTGGAAAAAAATCAAAATTATAAAACAACATTTTGAAATTTAATTTTTAATCTGCTAACCAGAATGCTTTGAAATGTTGCAGATGTTTTAAGGCTATAAAGAGCATCATAAATCTTTAGTCAAAAAATATTTGCTTATCCCCTCCAAAAACTTGATGACGTCAGCTCGAAAGTTTGCCGAATAAATCATATCTAAAATGTACAAAATATGATGAGCCTCTACTTGTCATTTATCACTCCATTCATATTTTTTGGATTTGCATATACAGGGTGATTCAAGAAAATAAATGAAAGCGTAAATTTATTTTACTGATTTACTCAGGAACTACAAAACCGAATGCTTCGAAATCTTGAAGACATTTTAAAATTATCATAAGCATGGTAAATTTTTGATCAAAACGTATTTGGTCGTCCCCCCTAAAAAATTTACGATGTCACCACAAAATTTTGCTGAAAAAATCCTATCTAAAATGTACAAAATATGGTGAGTCTCTTCTTGTGATTTATCATTCCATTCAAATTTTTTCGATTTGCATATACAGGGTGGCTCAAAAAAATTAATGAATGCGTAAATTTATTTTATTGATTTAATCAGGAATTACAAAACCGAATGCTTTGAAATCTTGGGAATATTTTAAAGTTATTATAAGCATGGTAAACTTTTGTTCAAAATGTATTTGTTCATCCCTCCTAAAAAAATTGATGACGTCACCCTTAAATTTTGCTGACTAAATCCTATCTAAAATGCAAAAAATATGATGAGTCTGTACTTGTGATTTATCATTCCATTCATATTTTTTAGATTTTCTTAAGAGGTGGTTCAAAAAAATTAATGAAGTCAATTTATTTTATTGATTAAATTAAAGGCAACACTTATTATTAGTATTACACCCCAACCAACCCAATTTGGTAGACACAAAATTTGTTAAAGGAAAAACTCGGTTGAAACATAAGGGTAGCACGCTTATTTACATCGACTTTAACATTACAGACCTGCATTTGTTTTATGCGCTCACTTGGTTCCGCGAATGTGGAATAGACATGTTTATAATCAACCAATTGTGAATTTCACCGTCAAGAATTAAAATAAAACCCAATGTTTTATATAATAAGCGGAAGTCGAAGCAATAAAACCGATGGTCGTTTTGTTTACAGTTTCTCTGTTTGACTCTCACGTATGCTGTTACGCTTGTCATCTTAAATTAAGAATGTTTATACATAAACGATTTTCAGTTGCCCCTCATATTACTAGACAGCGGATTTCTGTCGGGCTACGTCACGATTATAGGGAGGGGCGTGCTGGATCGCCGGGTGATAGATAATCACCGAATTTAATCGGTACTAATTCCATAAATATAATTAACGATTTATTAATCAAACGGCTAAGTAAATGAGAACGGGAATTAACAGCAGAGTGCAACGAAACAGCGTTATTCTAATCTCAAATAAACGAAGTGCAGTCCGCAACCGCAATGAATTCGCATCCCGTACGAGCCGTACCGAGTTTGGCCTTGCCTAGCCCGACAGAAATCCGCTCTCTAGATATTACACACCGGCGCCGTATACGTGAGTAAATTGTTTCGTTATTTTATTGATTATAAGAAATCAATATTCAAAACGACCCAATTCATTTTCCCGAAAATTTGGGAATACAATAATTTTATTCTTAGTATTACACTACATCTATCCCAACTGATATACGTGTCCTTGCAAAAATGTTGATGACGTCATCACAATTTTTTTTCAAATTCCCACTACAAAAATGTAATGAGAAAGAAAAACACAATAGGCATGCAGTCGTCAAGTTTCCGACAGCGAGGGAAGTACTGTCTAAACTCTTTAGACCAATTTTTTAGTTACAGTCAGTTTTCTTTCAATCGTGCCTTCCATTTCTATCGCCCCCTCTTCTATTTCTTTTATATCTTTCTTTACTCCCGTTATGATTCCACCTTTTGCTCTACCCTTGCGTTTTTCTTTTTTTGCCCCTTGGAATTTCCACTGAAATTCCTTTGGGAACACGTCTTTCAGTTTGTTCCAGTCTCTCTCTAGTATTCATGTTTCTTTTAGTCCCACAAAATCAAAATTTTTCACGTAGTCCCAAAATAAATCATCTTTCTTTTTCAGACCCGCAATATTCCAAAAGAGTAATTTTAAACCACATTTATCTTTCCCATTCTTCTTTCCTATTCCCCTATTATGTACAAAATCTATATTCTTAAACCCAAAGTCTTTATTTGTCCTATCATTACTACACCTACACTACACCCTTGTTGTGTATCCTTTTTTTCTTTGTTCTTTAGCTGCCTCCCTAATTTCTTTTTGAATTTTTTGCTCTTGTACTGTCCAATCATTATCAATATTTCCTTTCAGTTTATTTTTATTCTTCATCACCTCTTGTTTTTCCTCCCAAAGCGTTTTAATCAGGATTTTCTTGCTTTCCTCTTTCCCTATAATTATTGTTTCCAACACTTTTACTTCTACTTCAATTTCTTTTTTCAAAAATTCCTCTACTTCTTTTGCATCTGTTTTTTCCCTTATTTCCATACCCGTAATTATAAAATTGTTTCTTCTTTCTTGCCTATCTTTTTTTTCCAACTTCTTCTCTAAATTATTGATTCTTTCTTCGAAGCTTCTCTCCTGCAATGATATTCCAACAGAAATGATGTTGAACCATAAAGTTGCTAAATATGGCCATGACATCGCGAAACTATTTGCTGAATATTTTTCATCTGTCTATTCCCATGATAACCTTAGGGATTATGATTGTTCTTCATTTATTAGCAACAGTATTAACGACCCTCTGTTACATGTCTTTATTACTCATGTCTTTGACAGTATTTTGAATCCGAAAGTATCATGCGATCCTGGTCCAGATGGTATTCCAAGCCTGTTTATATTTAGGTTGTCTCCTCTCATGTGTAACTTATTTAAGTTGTCACTGATTTGAAATTTCCAGATGCATGGAAAATTAGTTATATTGTCCCTATACCTAATCAAGTTGATAATTATCGTGGGGTGTGTAATCAAATGACGTTACCGAGTTAGTCTCGTCCTTGATTCGAAGCATCTGGCAACACTGGCTGAGCCATCCACTGATAAACCAAAGTGCAGGAATCGGAAGTCAGTATTTGCCTAGTTTTGTAGTCGAAGTCGAAGTGAGAACGCGGTATGGTCAGGAAGTGTGAATTCCTGGTTATTAAATTCAGTGCCAATTCTTGGCCCCTCTGTAAGTAATATGTAATACGTTTTATATAATACTGGCGTACCCTTATAGAGAACGTACCATAATTAGTATAATAGCTTTTATTTAATTTTTTATATAAAAGTAGGTAAGCAACGGTTAACGCGTTATCTTAATTTGTGTTTACTCTTACGTGTGACAACGATATTGTACAAATACCAGCTGCCCACACGATTATCCACTAAAAGTGCCGTTTTTTAAAAAACAATAAACGCCTTTATTAAAATCTGAATTACTGGATATCTACTCTACAGGCGCTATTGCAGTTAATTAACATAAAGTTTTTTTTTCAGATGAACATTTCCCCTTCAGCGGTGTTTGCACCTTTATAAATGGAAGAAATAGAGGTGAGTGTTTCTGAACCTAAAATGCAATAATTTTATTAATTAAGATCTTGTTTTCAAAATCTAACCATTACAATTTAATCAATTGGTTTTTAAAAATTCTATACATATACACATTTAACAATAAAGATAAATATAAAGGTGTTCGACCACACAACTAAGTTCTAAACTTTTAAACGCCTTCTTCTTTTTCAAACCAGTTCGTTAATTTCGTTCCAGAGATTTAACAAAAGATCCGGAACGACCGATAAGGGTAAAGAATACGAGGATGTGGTTCTCGCCATTGTTGTACTAAATTTAGTAAATGACGACACATTAAAAAAATTCCATATATCAGCAAGCGACGAGGACTTCGGCGCATTCGACGATATAGTTATGAAACTTGAATTGAATGCCCCAAAAACTAAAGTTCGAACACGCCGAGACGAAAATACCGTCCACAAGAAATTTTGGTTCAAAAATGGAGATTTCAACCTTAACAAATATCTCCTGAATTTTCGACAAATAAAGGAAGACGCTGATGAATATGTCCTATTTACAAATCGACCATTTAAGTGTAAGGACAATTTCTAGTTAAATAAAAAGTGGACCAAGTGGGTGCAACTTTTGGGTCATGAAAAGATGAAAATCTTTCGAAAAGCTTTTTCTCTGTTCGAGATCGCTCTATTTGAAAGAAAATCGTGCGAAATGATTAAAGCTCTATGGGGTGAGGAAGAGGCAACATTAGACATGATAATGATAATAATAATATAAGCAACATAGATCCAAAGGCATTTATGCAACAGCTATGGATAATGGATAGATGCCCATTAATAATACCTGAATGTGAAAACGTGGAAAAGGCCATCCAGCTTTGTCGCGACAAAAGTTCATTTTAGTTGGGGAAGGTAAAAATGAGGAAATCTAAGGAAAGAACGATTGATCTTGTGACAGCTCTGAATCTTATATTGAACGGTACCTTTCGCGAAATGTAAATATCACATATTAGAAGAAGCTTACGAAAACACAATTGTTGTAAATAGTGCTGACAACTTTGATAAAATAAAAGACACACTCGACAAATGTAAATTAATTGACATTGACAACTTTTTGCAGAAAAAATCAAACCTTAATGCTAATTATGTAGGTAACAAAAAAAATCTGTTCATGAAAAAAAAACAATTTCATTATTTTCACCTTTTGAGTGGTGGAAATTTAGAGTGGATCAATAGTAGAGGTGATGTTAGTGATCTAGAAGGTTATCAATTAACTAATAAATATTCTAGGGACGAAAACTCACTGTAGACAATAACATCGATCTAATAACAGGCGGTCCGGGAATCGGTAAGTCTGAGTTAATGAAGAATTTCAAAAATAAATGTCCACCGAAATATTGGACACCAAATAACGCAGACTTGCCGGTCGTTCATAAAACTAGATCGATTGTGTTTCGAAATGTGTTTAAAAAAAACACCGTTGTTTGCGTGTTGGACGCACTTGACGAAATGTTAAAAGAAAATTTAGACGTCGTTTTGAGTATGATTCTCCATTTCTCAGCAAAAGGTTTCTTTTAGTGGGTTACTTGTAAACGATAACTGAAAACTCGTGTTCAGTTTGCTTTCATTAAACATAAATGAACTAAACGAACACGAACAAAAAGATTACATTAGAAAATGTTTACATACCTATAATTCGGACAAAATTGACTGTAGAACATGGAGACATACTGCGACGTCTGGGTCAAATATTCAGGTTTCGTCAAAATAACTAAAAAATATGCTTATTTTATTGAAGAAAAATTTAATCGTTTTTACAGAGACAAAATCGGATTTGATTTTGAAAATCTGTAAGTCTACTATATGGTCCGTTGAAAAACCAAAAAGTTTTATATAAGAACGAAAACATCTCTAAATCGCAGTGTTAAAACTGTAATAAGTAGTGTTTGCTTAAGTAAAGTCAGATGAGAATGAATCCGAAATTTTCTACATCACTACATCACATTTACTCTGTATTCGGCTTTTTAACTTGTAATTTAATATAAAAAACAGAACTGTGCTATTAAATAAAAGCTATTATTAATAATGCATGGTATCGTTCAGTATTATCTAAAGATTTGCTGAATCAATTTATAACAAAACTAAGAAAAAGAAAAAAATCTACATAGGTAAAAGGTAAACAATGAGTTTAAGCGACTTCGGCAATTTTTGACGAAACTTAAACTTTTCAGTAACAGCGATTTATTTTTGAAACACTTGGTATGGATTAGGCATTACCTCGATACATTATCTACCAAAAGAATTGAATGGTTTGCGAACTGATGTCACTCATGGGAATATCTAGACAACAAATTTATGTTTATTCCCTAAAGATTAACAGCGAGTTTATCTTCGTGAAGCATGAAGTTTAGGATTTTTGTAGAAATTGTCACAGGTATTTATATTTTTAATGTTCAAAATGTAGAGTTCAAAAATGACGGTTTTAGTCTTGATTACTTGTTATTTGTAGAAATTATCCTTTGTGAAAATTAAGGTTCTAATAATAAATGTATGTTTGCAGGAATCGAAGGAAAACCAAGGAACAAAGTGCTGCCTCAGACCATTCCAGTACCAAATGAAATATGTTGTTAGGAGGGTTCCTTGAACATGTAAAATACATAAATTTTTTTTAACTTGTGACTTATTCATACTTATTAAAAAATTAAAAATGTTAAAACTGTAATGATTAATTTTTTTCTTATAACATTTGTTCTAAATACATTTCTAGAATTCATTATTAACTTCTTCCCAGGATAAAAATCCTGTTTTAATTTGCAATACCTTCTAAAAAAGTTGCTCTTTTTGGGGATGATACGACCGTATGTACTGCAAATTCTAGTTCAAATCAATTGAAATTATATTCCACTGAAATAAAGTGTAGTATTTATACCTGATACTAGAAGTAAGAAATGACCCTATCAAGTTACTCGGAATCTTTCTTGATACAAAACTGACTTGGGAAAAAAATATGTATCATAAGACAATTATACTATGAAATTATATACTATTAAATTCCTCTTGAAGCCTATTTTGCTTTTGTTCAAAGCCACATGCCATGTTGGTGTGGGGCCATTCTCCTCACATACAAAAAATCTTTAAACAACAAAGGAAATATATAGTGTAACATTTTAACAGCTCCAATATTTTACAATGTTTATTACAGTGGCGTAACTACCGGTGTTCCATGTGTTCGCCGAAACACGGGCCCACTGCATCAAGGGGCCCGGTCCGGTCACACGAACATTTTTTTTATTAGATTTTTTATATTATTCGAAAATGTGCGGTAATCCCAGGATCGATGGTTCATTGCTATTTACGAATTTTTTGCTGCAAAGGGCTGGACTTTTGGCGGCATCTCAATATCATAGACTCAATAAACTCGGGTTTTAGCGACCGGCACCAGCGGTCGAAAATGCATCAGCATCTGTTTCTAATAAACCTGCCGCAGTGTCGCAATCCCATTGGTGCAAATCTAACACCCCATGTAGTAAATTACCAATCTTTATCCGACAAAAGTATGGCTAATTTATGATGCAAGACAACAAAATACTTAAATTTTGTCCTCAGATCTACAGTAAAACTTCATGCTGTAATAAGACGTGAAAAAAAATTCAGTTTCAGTTGTGTTTTATGAACACTTTCGTATTTTCAAAACTATTTTAATTTTGTACTTGTGGTGCTCTTTTGGAATTATAAAATATATCTGATGTATGTTACAACTAATTTTTTAAGTAGAAAAGAAACTGGACTGGGTAATTATTACAGAATGACCTACCCGCACTAGTTTCACTGAAATTATCACAGCATGTTTCACTTTTCTTACAATACCTCTTTCGGTGGCTTCACCGGAAAGATCTTTTTGGAAATTAAAAATGACTAAAAATTTTTTAAGAAACACAATGGTCCTATGTAGATTATCTTCACTGAATCTCTCAATTGGAAATCAAATTGGTAGAAGCTTAGATGTGTCAAATTTTGTATCAACTTGTGCCCATTGGAAAGCAAGAAGAAAACAATTTTGAGATTAAAAAAAAATGGGCATTTTTATCTATACTATTATACTTACTTATATTATAAAGTTGAACAGTTTGTTTGGTTGAACGCGTTGAATCTCAGAAACTACTGATTCGAATTAAAAAAATATTTTTGTGTTGGATAGTCCATTTGCCGAGGAAGGTTATAGGCTATATAACATTAATAGAAGCGGAGCAGCAATGAAAAATATCGGAAAAACAGGAAAATTATTCCTCCTTTGACAGCTTCCGTTGCTTACGCTGCTTAAACGGTTAAAGTTACATAAAAATCCTGTATGATGGAATTGTTCCCTGCTAAAAGTTCTAAAAAAAAGTCCGCGACAGCATATGTCTACCTTTTAAGGTCGACTCAGTATAACCTTTTATATGGGAATGAAATTTGTTATACCCCTAAGTGTTAAGGGTGGCCCACCAAGTTTTTTTTTTATATTTTTGACAACAATTTTTATTTTAATTTTTTAAGATTTGGCATTAAAAATACATATAACTCTAAATTTTGACCCTTCTACCACCAACCCCCATTTTTTAATAACGATATGAGTATCTTTGCTTTCATACACAGATGCGCAATAGGGTTGCAAGATGGCTATTGAATATAATCATTGTCGTACGATAAATTTTTATAATTTAATCTTTATATATAAAAGGCAATGTCCCGACTGACATATCAACGCCCAGCCCAAACCGCTAATGATAGAAAGTTGAAATTTGAAGAGAATGTTCATTTTATACTGGAGGCATCGTTTAAGAAGGGATTTCTCGAAATTCATCCCCTAAGGGGATTAAAAATGGGTGATAATATTTGTATAGGACCAATATATCTACTGTAAATTTAGATCGTTACGTGAAACCTGGTACATTTTAATTCTCTTCAATACAAATAAGGAAATACGTATTTAAGCATTTTCGGAGATTCGAACCCTAAGGGGGTGAAAAGTGGTGTCTAAGTTTGGGCGGATAAGTTTGTATAGGAACAATATTTCTAATATAAATTGAAATTTTTACGTGAAACTTCGTATTAATGTTCTTCAACACAAATAATGAAACCCGTCTTTAAGTATTTTCTCAAATTCAACCCCTAAGAGGGTGAAATATGGTGGCTAGATTTGTGTGGGAATATTTCTATTGTAAATTTAAATTTTTACGTGAAACTTGGCACTAATTGTCTCCAACACAAATAATGAAACACGTATTTAAGCATTTTCCGGGATTCAACCCCTAAGGGGGTGAAAAGTACTGGCTAACTTTGTGCGGAAAAAAATATTTCCATTGTAAAATTAAATTTTCACGTGAAACTTGGTATTAGTGCTTTTAAACACAAATAATGAAACACTATTTAAGCATTTTCCGAGATTCAACCCCTAAGGGGGTCAAAAGTGGTGGCTAATTTTGTATCCGAAAAATATTTCTATTGTAAATTTTGAGGTGATGTTTATTTAAAACGGGGTATTAATGCTCTTCAACACAAATAACGAAACACGTATTTAAGCATTTTCGGAAATTCGAGCCCAAAGAGGGTGAAAAGTGGTGTCCAAGTTTGGGCGCCTAAGTTTGTATAGGAACAATATTTCTACTATAAATTGAAATTTTTACGTGAAGCTTGGTATTAATGTTCTTCAACACAAATAATGAAACCGGTGTTTAAGCATTTTCTAAAATTCAACCCCTAAGGGGGTGAAATGTGAAGGCCAAATCTGAATGGGAAAATATTTCTATTGTACGTATATTTATATTTTTACGTGAAACTTGGTAATAATGCTCTTCAACACAAGTAATGAAACACGTATTTGAACATTTTCCGAAATTCAACCCCTAAGAGGGTGAAAAGTACTGGTTAAGTTTGTATAGGAAAAGTATTTCTACTGTAAATTTAAATTTTTGGATGAAACTTGATATTAAATTAATGCTCTTCAACACAAATAATGAAACACATATTTAAACATTTTCTGAGATTCAACCCCTAAGGGGGTAAAAAAGGGTGTGGCTAAGTTTGTATGAGAAAAATATTTTTATGGCGATGTTTACTTAAAACTTGGTATGAATGCTCTTCAGCACTAATAATAAAACACGTATTTAAGCATTTTTCCAGATTCAACCCCTAAGGGGGTGAAATATGATGGCTAGATTTGTGTGGGAATATTTCTATTGTAAATTTAAATTTTTACGTGAAATTTGGCATTAATTGTCTCCAACACAAATAATGAAACACGTATTTAAGCATTTTGCGAAATTCAACCCTCAAGGGGGTGAAAAGTGGTGGCTAAGATTGTATGGGAAAAATATTTGTAAATTTAAATTTCTACGTGAAACTTGGTATGAATGGTCTTCAATACAAATAATGAAGCACGTATTTAATTATTTTCCGAGATTCAACCTCTAAGGGGGTGAAAAGTGGTGGCGAAGTTTGTATGGAAAAAATATTTCTACTGTAAATTTAAATTTTTACAGGGGACTAGGTATTAATACTCTTCAACACAAATAATGAAACACGTATTTCAGATTGTTTCGAGATTTCCCCCTTAGAAGAAAATTCTTATTGAAAATGCTTTTCATTTCATTTATTCATTATATTCTAAATAAACATTTTCTTTCCTTCTTTATGTATACACATATTTTCCTTAAATTAGTTGTATTATGATAATTTCATTTTTAGTTATAAGTATTTTATGCAATTCCATTTTCTTTTTCCTTCTTTACAAATATATTCATTTGATACTGACTTATGTAGATCTGTATAGATTTTAATATTAATATTAAATATATATTATTATTATCAATATTGCCCAAGACTTTTTAAAAAGTTGACATGAAAAAATCCTACGTAACTCAACTTGTATGGAGTAGAATTCACCAAAAAAATAAAGTTCAACTACTTTTAAAACATTTCGTACGTCAAAAATAAGCTTATTTTTGCTCAAATTTTCTGTTAAAAACGTTAAATGAGTTTATTTTAGAGGAAATTTTGTCAGTAAAAGCACAAAAATGATAAATAAATAATTAAATAAACAGTATTAAAATAAATAGAATGTCCGCTCCCAGTGTTTGGATAGGCTGATAACCCTAAAACGAAACGGCTATAAAGTTATTTGCTAAACGTTTGCAAACTAAAATTCCCACTAAATATTTGATAACATCCGAAGTTTCCTAAAAAAAGGTTCACTTAATAAATATGTATCTGTATGAGAAAAAACATTGGCGTGGCTCGGGTCACGTTTTGAAGGGCAAAGCAAATACTATCATACGCTTCGAATCAATTTTTCACTGTAAAAGGCGTTGCCAACACCTAAAATCAAACATAAAAATTTCGCTAAATATTAGATATAGATTTTGTTTACCGTTTCCAATCAACCATCAAATATTTGAACAAGGTAGATACTATTGCGTTATTAGTAGGTACACCATTTTGTAAACAAAATTGAGATTGAGGTTACAGCATGCTATAATTTCGGAGGCTTCCACGGTCGGAATCAATACATGATAATTTTCCGGGTTGGAACCGTGAACCTGAAGATGCCACCTACGAAAGTGTGCGAAACGTTGAGCCCTAAACTTAATTAACACGGTTCCAACCCGGAAAACGATCATGTACCTACAACATGATATGTACTAACTCAAGATTATTTTTTGTCCGTTATCAACAGTTAATTTTGTGTAAATACTTATAGATTTCCCAAGAAAAAACACTAATAAAAAATTAAGTACATTTACCTCATAAAAATTACGAAAACATGTGAAATTATTTCAAGAGTTTAAAAAATATTTAATAATAGATATTCCAAAAACATTGTGTCCTTAACATTTTATACAAAAGGGCAGACATGCATAGAATGATTCTGGATTTGTTGTGCATTACACAAATTGCAACATTCCACAGAATCAAGTTTATATTTGTATAGAAATTAGACATATTATGTCATGGGAAACGAAAGCCAACCATGTCTTGTTTGGGAAAATTTACGTTGGTCACTGTTTAAACAGCCTCTGCATCATTATACGTGGGTTCAAAAACGTTCAGAGTACGAACATCTTACTCATCAAAGTCCCTTAAATAGTAAAAACAATATTTGCAGAAAAATAATTTTCAGAACATACACTGCCGAGCATTGAAATCGGGCCACTACTCACATCTGACTTTGAATCAAATTTTCCACCGAACTATATTACACTTACAGAAACTAAAAAAGCCATTAGAAAGACCAGATATGTGTCTTTATAACAGAGTAACGAAAAACTTCATGAAATTGTTTTGCAATATTCTTTTTTGGGCAAAAAAGAAAATTGTTCAATAACAAATTTTTTTATGTTAGCAAAATCAGCAATTTAAAGAAGAAAATGATGTTAATATTCGGTGTTGCCACCCCTACCTCTAATAACCGGTCGCATTCGTCAATTCATGGATTCAATTAAGGTGACGACAACTTCTTGTGGGATATTAGCCCATTCTTCTTCACTGGTTATTCTGAGCTCTTGGAGTGACCCAGGAACCGGGATCCTATCTCTAATTCTTCGTTTAAGTTCATCCCATAGATGTTCTATAGGATTCATATCCGGGCTACGTGCTGGCCAGCCCAAACACGCTAGACGCTATATTTGAAGTGGCCGAATTTTAATGCTCGTAAGTTTATTTTCAAAAGTCTGCTTAATTTTCATGATCTGGAACGCTGACAAAAGGGCCGGTCAAGTAAGTTCACCAAAATTTTTTGCATATTTTTAAATTTTAATGAAGCTGTGGAGGTGGAGATTTTTGTATTGTATTCAGTGTTGAGTCCGTATGCCAATTTTCACAGTCTAAAACATACACTGAGGAGTCGTTCAGCAACAGTTATCAAAATTTTTCTCATATTTAAACATTTAGACGAAGTTATAGGGGTAGAAATTTCTTTTAGGAATTAAAGAAAATGTTCGAAGAGAGAATTCATGTCTAAAAACAACGTCAATTACCTTATTAATTTTTGTTTTTATGAACAACACTTTATAAAAATTAAGTTTTAAAATGTGTAATACCTACACGTTGGAGTAGTTTTTTTTTCTAGGTTTGTGATCTTATTTTCAAATTTTCGTGATATTTTCGTCACGTATCTGTAAAAATCAAGATCTGAATTATTTATGGAAATTTCGGAACGTGGTTTTCACCACTGTTTTCGGCTACAAACCCAATTCGTACCAAAATTATTGTCGAGTTTCTTTAGGAAATGATATACACTAAAAGGTGGTTGTGACAAAACAGCTTCTTTTTATTTTCGACATTTCCGACAAAACAAGAGTTGGAATACTGTTTACTTAAAAGTTTACTAATTCTGGGCATGGCATCTGAAGTATCAGATATAAAAAATTGGTCGAAAGTTGTTTCAACAGAACTTCCCTCGCTCCTCAAATACAATGATAATTTTTTTGAGTCACCCTGTATATGCAAATCCAAAGAATATGAATGGGATGATAAATCGCAAGTACAGACTCATCACATTTTGTAGATTTTAGATAGGATTTATTCGGCAAACTTTTGAACTGACGTCATCAATTTTTTGGAGGGTATAAGTAAATATATTTTGTTTAAAACTTTATCATGCTTGTCATAACTGTAAACCATCTGAAAGATTTCAAAGCATTCGGTTTTGCAGATTCAAAATTAAATTGCAAAATCTTGTTTCATAATTTTGATTTTTTTTCCCAAAAATCTGGACGTTTCGGGTAAAAACTCAATTCGAAGTCATAAACTACATGTGTAGGACTATGTCATTTTATACAATTTAAAACCAATTTACTATGTACAATTTTGAACTGACGTCATCGCATTAGTGATGGGGATGATTAGACAAATTTTGGTTACCGTTTTACCATCTACATGATATTCCTAATATAAATACAAAATTTCGCAACAATCGGTCCAGTACTTTCGGAGATTATCTGTCTAATAAAAATCCGGGACGGCAGACAGACGGACAGACGGACAGACAGACGGAAACGGGACATTTATTTCTTCGTCCTCTAGGCGTCATGAAAGGCCGAGAAAACGTAAAAGTAGGCCGTAGTATTGTTACTTCCTTTGCTTACGCTCGGGAAGTAAAAATGATAGAAATCTGGCAATTCGCGAATTCAAAATAGCAACAATTACATTTACAACACGCCTACATTTAATTGTTAATTCATGTCCTTGCTATGCATAATTCTCAAATATTTTCCTGTGTAAAGAAAAATTTACAAAGCAAACAAGGATTGTATAATTTATTTGCAGATACTCTATATTTTATAAATATCTTTCATTATGTTATGTTCTCCTAATATTTTATCCACGTTTTTCCCTACCCAGTTGTTGCAATTCTTGTTTTATTGACGTGCATCAGAAACAAATTTAAATATAAAATATATGCATCTCTAACAATTTTCAAAAAAACGTAACTTCTAGCTAGGTTTTATTATCTATTTCAGGACCAGAGGTGTTTTTCTTTTCTTCTTTCTGAAAAGATTGCTACAGTTTTCGAGGTTAATTGAACATTGAACATTGAATTTCTAAGAAAATCGGTCCTTTTGTGTAATCTATGTTTAAACAATTCGTGTGAGCAGAAGGACATTGGAAAATAAATATTACATACATTAAACCAAAGATATATTTATGTCCACATTTTACTTTCGAATTATTTTTACAGTTTTTTGGAAACTAAACTATTGTAAACAACAGATTAAAAATTATATTTGTTTAAACTCTATCGCAATATATCGATTTGAAATAAATTTTTAGTCAACTAAATAAGCCACATATGTAGTTTTAAGTTGCGTATTTATTATCTTATCAAAGGCTGTAAATATACTCAATTTAATGTCGCCTACATATATAAATGGTCTCTTGCCACACTTTTATTTTAAAATTTTTAGTTGAACATCTTGTGTCTGTTACTCTTACTACATCTTCAGTAATGGCGGAATTCGAGGTGAGTGTTTTTCCACATATGCTAGTTAAGTGCAATGATTAGTACTATTTTAAAATTTTTGATCTGATTCTGATGTACGAATCAAAGTTATACTAGAGCGATGTATAAAAAAATCTGATTCTCCTTTAAGAAAATTTTCAGACGTACAATAAACAAGAGCATGAATTTCCAATACTTAGGGGCCAAAGGTTTCTTTAATTTATTCACGATTTGGATCCTAAATATCTTTTCGCTCTTCGCGTTAATTAAAATGGCAACTTAAATAACGTTACCATTTTATTTTGAAATTAACGTGAAAGAAATTGTCGCAATCGGGTTACTTTGAGGACTGTTGATGAGTCAGTCATAATAATTTTGATAAAATTATATTGGACAAACAAGGATAGCAACCACCACTAATTCCGCGGAACACATGACATCCTAAATTTCAAGATATGAAAAACCGAATGTTTGTCAATGCCAGCTGTTGTAAATTTCTAAATTCTTGTTGATTAATAATAATACAGGGGTCGCTAGAATGTTTGGAAAGGGTTAAATATCTTGAGAACAATTGTACAAATCAACTGGAAGTAGCTATAGGGGTACAGGAAGTTGTGCTCTAATTATTCGTCAAAAATTTTTTTTGCTTTATTTGTTTTCGAGATGCAAGACCAACCTGATTTTTTTAAATGGTGAATGCATTTTTGAGTAGCGCTTTTTTCTGAATTCGTTGATATAGCACAATCACACTTTCTTTCTGCTTAAATGGCAAAATAAATTATTAAACAATAAACAAATTAACCAATGACAACCAAAACGAAAATTAAACTTCTGCTTTCTACAAAAGATGCTTAAAATGCTCTCCATTTACTTCCTGGTAGTGAAAATGACGCTGAATAAAATGTAATAAGTTAATGAGAATTTCTGGAGGAATGCTAGCAATTTCGTTACGTATGCGTAATGTAAGTGAGTAAAGTCTTCAGTGTGAACCGGTCTTCGGTCTATTCATATAAATGCGATTCTTTAAAACGCCCGACAAGAAAAAGTCAAGCGGTGTCAAATCCGGTGATCTGGCAGGCCACTCAATAGTACCCCTTCGGCCTATCGATCTGCCAGGAAAAGTTTCATTTAAGTACTATCGCACTGACGTCCAAAATGGGGTGGAGCACTGTCTTGTTGAAACCAAATAGTTTCCGCTGATAACTCCGGGTTTTGGTACTTGGGAAACAATCCTCTAAGCCTTAAATCCCCCAGAATTTAAATTCCCATTAATAAAAAAAGATCAATTACGTGGTAACCAATAATACCGCACCAAACATTCAGTTTTTCTGGACGCTGTGTGCGGATTTGCCCCATCCAGTATGGATTTGTGTCAGACCAGTACGTGCAGTTCACATGACTATTTAAATAAAACGTAAATTTGTCAGAAAACAAAATCCTGTTGATAAAATTTCCGTCTTGTATTCTGTTCATAATAATTTCGGTAAATTCAACTCTACGATGAAAATCATCTTCGTTTAGCTCTTGTACTAAATTGATTTTGTGTGGGTGAAACTTTTCCTTGTTCAGTATCGTTTGAATTGATTGATCCATTAATTATATGGTAGTGCTATTTAAAAAAAAAAATTTGCCGAATAATTAGAGCACAACTTGTTGTACACCTATACTTAATTTCAGTTGATTTGTACAATTGGTTCTCAAAATATTGAACCGTTTCCTTACATCACTAGCAACCCTGTATACACATTACCTTCAAATTCATTTTCTTTCTCCGTGGTCAACGATTACATTGATTTAGAAAAAGGTTTCATGAAAAAAATGGTTATAAATTGATAAGAACTTTAACTTAAGTGATGAAAAATAGATATTTCGTTTTTTTTTTGTCTAAATTGAATGAAGACCATATTTACAAGATATGAATAATGAAGAATCGATTAGTATATTTAACAACAACTATTAAATTAACAAAATCTGTTTATTTGAAGCAATTTTTTAAATAGATTAGTTTTTAATGTTGTTAGTAAAGAAACACTTGGTAGTTATTTTAACTAAAAAATAGAAATTAAATAAAGTACTTAGATGTCGCGTGTCCGAGGCAAACTTTCTTCTCTAAGATTAAATAAAATCTTATTCGTTTGATTGTAGATCTTAAAGAAAAGCAAGCAAATAAAACAAAATTTGGATTATTAATGTATTATTATCCTATAACTTTTCAAAACAGTTGTTCGTTTATTCCTTTCCAGAGTTTTAAAAAAAGGAGCGGTACAACAGATAAAGGCAAAGATTATGAGGATGCGGTTCTCGCCAGTGTTGTTCTACAACTAGTAAATGACCCAGCTATCGAAACATTTCATATATCATCAAACGACGAAGAATATGGCGCATTTGATGATGTAGTTATTAAATTTATGTCATCTACAGAAAAAGTAGAACGAATAAAAGCAGTTCAGTTGAAGCACTCAGAGAAGAAGATACTGATCACACAATACTTGGGTGCAAAAAAGGGAGATTTCAGCATAAACAAATATTTCCAAAGTTTTCAGAAAATAAAGAAAGACGTTGATGAATTTATATTGTTTACCAACAGATCGTTCAAGTGTCAAAACAATGCACAATTTAAACTAGAAGTAGAAGGATTTTTTATTAAACCCGTTAAAGCAAACACCACTTCAGAACTTACAGAGAACATAAATAATGTGTATCAGTTTGAAATAATAGAAAAAAGTTGGAATACAGAAATGCGTCTAAAAATTCGAGAATATCAGAGATTTTTTAGTAAATTTTATTTATATACCGATCAAGAAAATGTTGAAAACCTAGAAAAAATTGTAGCTGAAAAATTCACCACAAGATATTCTTGTAGTGAAGAAATGTTCGACAGATTCCTCAAAAGAATACATGATTGGAACATGCAAGAAGACACAAAAGAAAAGCTGAACAAAAAGTGGATTCAACGTTTAATTGCACTGCAGCTTCTGTCCCTTCAAATCGAGCCTTTATCATTTGCTTCGTTAGTTAGTGATAAAATGAAAATACTTCGAGAAGCCATTTCCTTATTCAGCATTACACTATTTGAAAAAAAATCGTGCGAAGCAATTAAACAACTGTGGGGTGATATTGCAACAGAGAAAAGTATTGATTTGAAAGAATTAAATGAAGTAAAAAGCAGGTATCTGCCTAATCTCAGATGTGATGATATCGGCAACAAAGACCCAAAAGCATTTACTCAGTTGCTATGGTTGATGGATAGATGTCCATTAATAGTATGTGAATGTGAATACGCTGAAAAAGCCATTCAACTATGCCCCGACAAAAAATTTATCTTGGTTGGTGAAAGTAAAAATAAGGAGTGGATGAAGAAGTATTCCTTGTTCCAATATTTATCTGACGTGAAACCTGACGTTCGCGACAAGATTATGCAGAATTTTACTATATCGGTCCAAGGGAAGGAAGAACTTAATCTTATGACCGCTTTTGAAGATAACGGGGAATTTTTAGAAAATGTTAGCACTGACAATTTAGTCGAGATGCTAAACGGTACATGTCATGTAGGCGGAGAAAGAGAAATACTCCCTGAACCTTATATCGAACGCTATCTCTCGCCAAGTGTTGTAAAGATTACCTATTTAGAAAAAGTCCACGAAAATACAATTATTGTTTTGAACTGTGCGAATAACTTTGATAAAGCAAAAGATATACTCAACAAATGTAAATTAATTGACATTGATAACCTTTTGCTTGAAAAAAATCTATCAAATAATGAAGTTCCCATGGAAAAATGTATTAAACCTAATCCATATAGACGTACAGGTAACTTTAGTAATAAATCGAACGTTGGTAATACAAATTTCGTAGGTGACAAAAAAAAAAATCCTTCTTATGAATTCACTCTAGGTGATAACAAAAATAAATTTAATTTTGTTAAATCAAAGTTTGCTAAAACGATTTTCGTAGGCAACCGGCATTATAACGATTCTGAACTTCAAGAAATTTACAACGTAAACAAAGATACAAAACAATTTCACTATTTTCAACTTTTGCCTGACGGAAATTTAGAATGGATTAAAAGCGAAGGTGTTGTAAGCGATCTAGAGGGTTATAAGTTGACTAATAATAAATATTGTACGGAAGAAAATACGCTATGGTCTTCTCGGTTATCTAACTTTAATCTAATAACGGGTGAACCTGGAATGGGCAAATCCGAGCTAATGAAAAGTTTCAAAAATAAATGTTCGCCGAAATACTGGACAGTTATAATTAGTCCTCAAGATGTTAATCTATTTTTTCACAATTCTGATTTCCCTAAAACGGCAAATTATACAGACTTATTTGAAAAATTTATCGCGAACGAAAAATATCGATCGCTCAGTAAACTCGATCGAGACTTTTTCGAAATGTGTATAAAGAGAAACAACGTTATCTACGTGTGGGATGCACTCGACGAAATTCTAAGCCAACATTTTGATATCGCTTTAAATATAATCCTCGATTTCTCAAAAAAATATATCCGTCAGTGGGTTACTAGCAGACCACATTTAAAAATATCTCTGGAAAAAAAATTCAATTTGCCGTCACTTAGTATAAACCAGTTTAGCGAAGAAGAACAACAACAGTACATTAAAAAACGTCTAAAATCTTTCATTTCTGTAGAAAAAATTGACATCACGCTCGAAAAAATCAAATCGTCGTTTGCCCTTGTTGAACATGTAGACATACTGGGTATCCCACTTCAAATATTCATGCTTACCGAACTATTCCGTGAAGATAGTGAAAAATATTTGAAACTAATGAACAACATTTTCCTCTTGACTGATCTGTACGATTATTTTATTGATGGAAAATTTAATAACTTTTACAAAGACAAAATCGGATTTGATTTTCAAAATCCCCAAATAGAAAATATAGTTCGTGGAGAAAAACGAAAGGCTTTAGATTTATATCAAAATGTGGCCTTTAAAGTAATATTTCCAGAAGAAATTTTGCATCGATTAAATATTGAATACGGACAACGTATAGAACAAATTTTGGAAAGCTATGCAGGTCTCGGTCTTGTAAATGAATTCCATAATAATGTTCCTCATTTCCTTCATTGTTCTTTCGCAGAATATTTAGTTGCTACATATTTTTTAAAAAACATTAATAGTGTTAAAGGCTTAGTTGCGGACACACTGTTCGACGCAAAGTTTAATAACGTTCGTTTCTTTTTTGACATGCTGTTGGCCAAAAACTCCAAAGCTCACATTGCCGTTTTATACAAAGATTATGCGTTACTTAAAACGTATGACGACGAAACGTTAAGACGCAAAGATGAAGCTGGCAGAAGTGCTTTACATCTGATTTCGTCATGGGGGAAAAGACATCCGTTTGTAAAAGTGACAGGGGTAAATGGGGACTATATTGTGCACGAAGACAGCAATTTCGATAGAAATCCAGAAAACGAAGCATATTTTGAAACGATAATGCATTTGCAACGTATAAACGAGCTTGGTGAACGTGACTTATTGCTAAATGCGGTGCCTTTGTCTTATGCCAGGAAAAGTGAGAGTTTAGGAGCAGAAATACAATTACTTCAAAAAGAAAAAAATGAGCTGAAGAAATTGTGCACACGCGATGAAGTAATAAACATTATATATTATTCTGCTTTGCTCGGCTACGACAGCGTACACAAACTGATCACAGTTGAAGAGTTAAATAAATTTTGGTGTGAAATCAAATTTGTTACTGCAGCATATGGTGAAACATCGCTGTTGTTGGCCTGTGAAAATGGAAATTTAAAAATCGTTAAATATTTTGTAGAATCTGGTGTCGAGATCGATCGTGCTGATAATGGTGGTTATACACCGATTTATGTAGCTTCCCAAAGCGGCCACGAAAAGGTTGTCGAATTTTTGGCGACAGTCGGCGCCGAAATCAATCGTGCTGATAACGAAGGTTATACACCACTTGACGTAGCTTCACAAAACGGTCACGAAAAGGTTGTTGAATGCTTGGTGATAGTCGGCGCCGAAATCAATCACGACAGTAAAAACGGTACGACACCTCTTTTTCTGGCTTCCCAAAACGGCCACAAAAAAGTTGTCGAATACTTGACGAAAGTCGGCGCCGAAATCAATCGCCCTACTAATGACGGTACGACATCACTTTCCATAGCTTCCCAAAATGGCCACGATAACGTTGTCGAATACTTGGCAACAGTCGGCGCCGAAATCAATCGTCCTGATAACGAGGGTTATACACCACTTCACGTAGCTTCCCAAGACGGTCACGAAAAAGTTGTCGAATACTTGACGAAAATCGGCGCTGAAATCAATCACGCCAATAAAAACGGTACGACACCAATTTTACTAGCTTCCCAAAACGGCCACCAAAAAGTTGTCGAATACTTGACGAAAGTCGGCGCCGAAATCAAACGCCCTAATAACGAGGGTTATACAGCACTTCACGTAGCTTCCCAAAACGGTCGCAAAAAAGTTGTCGAATACTTGACGAAAATCGGCGCCGAAATCAATCGCGCTACTAATGACGGTACGACATCACTTTCCATGGCTTCCCAAAATGGACACGATAACGTTGTCGAATACTTGGCAACAGTCGGCGCCGAAATCAATCGTCCTGATAACGAGGGTTATACACCACTTGACATAGCTTCCCAAAACGGCCACAAAAAGGTTGTCGAATACTTGGTTACCGTCGGTGCCGAAATCAATCACGCCAATAAAAACGGTACGACACCACTTTTTCTAGCTTCCCAAAACGGCCACGAAAAAATTGTCGAATACTTGACGAAAGTCGGCGCCGAAATCAATAGCGCTACTAATGACGGCACGACATCACTTTCCATAGCTTCCCACAATGGTCACGAAAAAGTTGTCGAATACTTGGTGACGGTCGGCGCTGAAATCAATAGTGCTAATAGCCATGGTTATACACCACTTCACGCAGCTTCCGTCAACGGCTATGAAAAAGTTGTCGAATACTTGACGAAAGTCGGTGCCGAAATCAATCGCGCTGCTAATGACGGTACGACATCACTTTCCATAGCTTCCCAAAATGGCCACGAAAAGATTGTCGAATACTTGGCTACAGTCGGCGCCGAAATCAATCGTCCTGATAACGAGGGTTATAGACCACTTGACGTAGCTTCCCAAAACGGTCACGTAAAGGTTGTCGAATACTTGGTGACAGTTGGTGCCGAAATCAATCGTCCTGATAACGAGGGTTATACACCACTTGACGTAGCTTCCCAAAACGGTCACAAAAAGGTTGTCGAATACTTGGTTACCGTCGGTGCCGAAATCAATCACGCCAATAAAAACGGTACGACACCACTTTTTCTAGCTTCCCAAAACGGCCACGAAAAAGTTGTCGAATACTTGACGAAAGTCGGCGCCGAAATCAATAGCGCTACTAACGACGGCACGACATCACTTTCCATAGCTTCCCACAATGGTCACGAAAAAGTTGTCGAATACTTGGTGACGGTCGGCGCTGAAATCAATAGTGCTAATAGCCATGGTTATACACCACTTCACGCAGCTTCCGTCAACGGCTATGAAAAAGTTGTCGAATACTTGACGAAAGTCGGTGCCGAAATCAATCGCGCTGCTAATGACGGTACGACATCACTTTCCATAGCTTCCCAAAATGGCCACGAAAAGATTGTCGAATACTTGGCTACAGTCGGCGCCGAAATCAATCGTCCTGATAACGAGGGTTATACACCACTTGACGTAGCTTCCCAAAACGGTCACGTAAAGGTTGTCGAATACTTGGTGACAGTTGGTGCCGAAATCAATCGTCCTGATAACGAGGGTTATACACCACTTGACGTAGCTTCCCAAAACGGTCACAAAAAGGTTGTCGAATACTTGGTTACCGTCGGTGCCGAAATCAATCACGCCAATAAAAACGGTACGACACCACTTTTTCTAGCTTCCCAAAACGGCCACGAAAAAGTTGTCGAATACTTGACGAAAGTCGGCGCCGAAATCAATAGCGCTACTAACGACGGCACGACATCACTTTCCATAGCTTCCCACAATGGTCACGAAAAAGTTGTCGAATACTTGGTGACGGTCGGCGCTGAAATCAATAGTGCTAATAGCCATGGTTATACACCACTTCACGCAGCTTCCGTCAACGGCTATGAAAAAGTTGTCGAATACTTGACGAAAGTCGGTGCCGAAATCAATCGCGCTGCTAATGACGGTACGACATCACTTTCCATAGCTTCCCAAAATGGCCACGAAAAGATTGTCGAATACTTGGCTACAGTCGGCGCCGAAATCAATCGTCCTGATAACGAGGGTTATACACCACTTGACGTAGCTTCCCAAAACGGTCACGTAAAGGTTGTCGAATACTTGGTGACAGTTGGTGCCGAAATCAATCGTCCTGATAACGAGGGTTATACACCACTTGACGTAGCTTCCCAAAACGGTCACAAAAAGGTTGTCGAATACTTGGTTACCGTCGGTGCCGAAATCAATCACGCCAATAAAAACGGTACGACACCACTTTTTCTAGCTTCCCAAAACGGCCACGAAAAAGTTGTTGAATACTTGACGAAAATCGGCGCCGAAATCAATCGCGCTACTAATGACGGTACGACATCACTTTCCATAGCTTCCCAAAATGGCCACGAAAAGATTGTCGAATACTTGGCTACAGTCGGCGCCGAAATCAATCGTCCTGATAACGAGGGTTATACACCACTTGACGTAGCTTCCCAAAACGGTCACGTAAAGGTTGTCGAATACTTGGTGACAGTTGGTGCCGAAATCAATCGTCCTGATAACGAGGGTTATACACCACTTGACGTAGCTTCCCAAAACGGTCACAAAAAGGTTGTCGAATACTTGATTACCGTCGGTGCCGAAATCAATCACGCCAATAAAAACGGTACGATACCACTTTTTATAGCTTCCCAAAACGGCCACGAAAAAGTTGTCGAATACTTGACGAAAATCGGCGCCGAAATCAATCGCGCTACTAATGACGGTACGACATCACTTTCCATAGCTTCCCAAAATGGCCACGAAAAGATTGTCGAATACTTGGCTACACTCGGCGCCGAAATCAATCGTCCTGATAACGAGGGTTATACACCACTTGACGTAGCTTCCCAAAACGGCCACAAAAAGGTTGTCGAATACTTGGTTACCGTCGGTGCCGAAATCAATCACGCCAATAAAAACGGTACGACACCACTTTTTATAGCTTCCCAAAACGGCCACGAAAAAGTTGTCGAATACTTGACGAAAGTCAGCGCCGAAATCAATCGCCCTAATAACGAGGGTTATACAGCACTTCACGTGGCTTCCCAAAACGGTCGCAAAAAAGTTGTCGAATACTTGACGAAAATCGGGGCCGAAATCAATCGCGCTTCTAATGACGGTACGACATCACTTTCCATAGCTTCCCAAAATGGCCACGAAAAGGTTGTCGAATACTTGGCTACAGTGGGCGCTGAAATCAATCGTGCTGATAACGAGGGTTATACACCACTTCACGTGGCTTCTCAAGACGGTCACGAAAAAGTTGTCGAATATTTGACGAAAGTCGGCGCCGAAATCAATCGCGCTACTAATGACGGCACGACATCACTTTCCATAGCTTCCCACAGTGGTCACGAAAAAGTTGTCGAATACTTGGTGACAGTCGGCGCTGAAATCAATTGTGCTAATAGACATGGTTATACACCACTTCACGCAGCTTCCGTCAACGGCTATGAAAAAGTTGTCGAATACTTGACGAAAGTCGGCGCCGAAATCAATCGCCCTACTAATGACGGTACGACATCACTTTCCATAGCTTCCCAAAATGGCCACGATAACGTTGTCGAATACTTGGCAACAGTCGGCGCCGAAATCAATCGTCCTGATAACGAGGGTTATACACCACTTGAGGTAGCTTCCCAAAACGGTCACAAAAAGGTTGTCGAATACTTGGTTACCGTCGGTGCCGAAATCAATCACGCCAATAAAAACGGTACGACACCACTTTTTCTAGCTTCCCAAAACGGCCACGAAAAAGTTGTCGAATACTTGACGAAAATCGGCGCCGAAATCAATCGCGCTACTAATGACGGTACGACATCACTTTCCATAGCTTCCCAAAATGGCCACGAAAAGATTGTCGAATACTTGGCTACAGTCGGCGCCGAAATCAATCGTCCTGATAACGAGGGTTATACACCACTTCACGTCGCTTCCCAAAACGGTCGCAGAAAAGTTGTCGAATACTTGACGAAAATCGGCGTCGAAATCAATCGCGCTACTAATGACGGTACGACATCGCTTTCCATAGCTTCCCAAAATGGACACGATTACGTTGTCGAATACTTGGCAACAGTCGGCGCCGAAATCAATCGTCCTGATAACGAGGGTTATACACCACTTGACGTAGCTTCCCAAAACGGTCACAAAAAGGTTGTCGAATACTTGGTTACCGTCGGTGCCGAAATCAATCACGCCAATAAAAATGGTACGACACCACTTTTTATAGCTTCCCAAAACGGCCACGAAAAAGTTGTAGAATACTTGACGAAAGTCAGCGCCGAAATCAATCGCCCTAATAACGAGGGTTATACAGCACTTCACGTGGCTTCCCAAAACGGTCGCAAAAAAGTTGTCGAATACTTGACGAAAATCGGGGCCGAAATCAATCGCGCTTCTAATGACGGTACGACATCACTTTCCATAGCTTCCCAAAATGGCCACGAAAAGGTTGTCGAATACTTGGCTACAGTGGGCGCTGAAATCAATCGTGCTGATAACGAGGGTTATACACCACTTCACGTGGCTTCTCAAGACGGTCACGAAAAAGTTGTCGAATATTTGACGAAAGTCGGCGCCGAAATCAATCGCGCTACTAATGACGGCACGACATCACTTTCCATAGCTTCCCACAATGGTCACGAAAAAGTTGTCGAATACTTGGTGACAGTCGGCGCTGAAATCAATTGTGCTAATAGACATGGTTATACACCACTTCACGCAGCTTCCGTCAACGGCCACGAAAAAGTTGTCGAATACTTGACGAAAGTCGGCGCCGAAATCAATCGCCCTAATCACGAGGGTTATACAGCACTTCATGTGGCTTCCCGGAACGGTCACGGAAAAGTTGTCGAATGCTTGGCGACAGTCCGCGCTGAAATCAATTGTGCTAATAGCGAGGGTTATACACCACTTCACGCAGCTTCCCAAAATGGACACGAAAAGGTTGTGGAATACTTGGCAACAGTCGGCGCCGAAATCAATCGTCCTGATAACGAGGGTTATACACCACTTGACGTAGCTTCCCAGAACGGTCACGAGAAGGTTGTCGAATACTTAGTGACAGTCGGTGCCGAAATCAATTACGCCAATAAAAACGGTACGACACCACTTATTCTAGCTTCCCAAAACGGCCATGAAAAGGTTGTTGCATACTTGACGACAGTCGGCGTCGAAATCAATCGTGCTGATAACGATGGTTATACACCACTTGACGTAGCTTCGTTCAACGGTCACGAAAAGGTTGTCGAATGCTTGGTGACAGTCGGGGCTGAAATTAATCACGCCAATAAAAACGATACCACACCACTTTTCCTAGCTTCCCAAAACGGCCAAGAAAAAGTTATCGAATACTTGGCGAAAGTTGGCGCCGAAATCAATTACGCCAATAAAAACGGTACGACACCACTTTTTCTAGCTTCCCAAAACGGCCACGAAAAGGTTGTTGAATTTTTGGCGACAGTCGGCGCCGAAATCAATCGTGCGGATAACGAAGGTTATACACCACTTGACGTAGCTTCCTTCAACGGTCACGAAAAGGTTGTCGAATGCTTGGTGACAGTCGGCGCCGAAATCAATCATGCCAATAAAAACGGTACCACACCACTTTCCATAGCTTCCCAAAATGGCCACGAAAAGGTTGTTGAATACTTGGCGACAGTCGGCGCTGAAATCAATTGCGCTAATAGCGATGGTTATACACCACTTCACGTAGCTTCCATCAACGGCTATGAAATAGTTGTCAAATACTTAACGAAAGTCTGCGCCGAAATCAATCGCGCTTCTAATGACGGTGCGACATCGCTTCATATGGCTTCTCAAAATGGACACGAAAAAGTTGTCAAATACTTGGTGACAGTTGGCGCTGAAATCAATCGTGCTGATAACGAGGGTTATACACCACTTCACATAGCTTCCCAAGAAGGTCACGAAAAGGTTGTCGAATATTTGACGAAAGTCGGCGCCGAAATCAATCGCGCTACTAATGACGGTACGGCATCACTTTCCATAGCTTCCCAAAATGGTCACGAAAAGATTGTCGAATACTTGGCGACAGTCGGCGCTGAAATCAACCGTGCTGATAACGAGGGTAATACACCACTTCACCTAGCTTCCCAAGAAGGTCACGAAAAGGTTGTCGAAAATTTGGTGACAGTCGGCGCCAAAATCAATTGCGCTAATAAAAACGGTGCGACACCACTTTACAGTGCTTCTCAAAACGGCCACGAAAAGATTGTCGAATACTTGGCGACAGTTGGTGCCGAAATCAATTGCGCTACTAATGACGGCAGAACACCACTTTACGTAGCTTCCCAAGAAGGTCACGAAAAGGTTGTCGAATACTTGGTGACAATTGGTGCCGAAATCAATCGTGCTGATAACGAGGGTTATACACCACTTCATGTAGCTTCCCAGGAAGGTAATGAAAAGATTGTCGAATACTTGGTGACAGTCGGTGCCGAAATCAATCACGTTAATAAATACGGTGCGACACCACTTTATATAGCTCGCCACAACGGCCACGAAAAAGTTGTTGATTATTTGGCGACGGTCGATGCCGAGATAAATCGTGCTGAGAATGAGGGTTGCAGCTTACCAAAACGGCCACATAGATGTCGAAGCCCCCCAAAGTAAGAGATAATTTTTATCATTATTCGAATCTTCCTACCTACATAGACTTTAAGTGTAAAATAAAAGTTTGTTTATATATTTTTTTGTCAATAGACAGAAATTTGTTAGCCTTTTTTTTAAAATCAAACTTTCCTGAAATGAAAAATTACAATCGTTGGTTTAAAAAGTGAATAATATTACCTAAATTATTGTCAAATGTAGTTCCGTTTCGAATGATAATACAGCTTGGAATACAAAAGGAACTACCTATTTGATTCAAGATTCAACTAACCACCATTAAAGAAACAAATTAAAACCAACAAATTCATTGTCATAACCTACGTCTAGTAAAATTTCTGCCCTTCCGCTTAATACTCGCCATGGAGCTTTCATCCTTACACCTCGTTAAAATTTTGTACATTTCGTCCATTGTTTAATAAAATCAGCAGGTGAAGTAACTTCGCTGAATTTGTTTTGCAATTTTTGCTTCATATTAACACAATATTTTTTTGCGGGGGAAACTACGAACAATTGTGTGGATCACATTCTCAAAGAACAAATTCTACCGATTTTTTTTAATTGGAAAGGGTTCAGCTTCCAACTCTGGCTTGTAGGCGTAGATATTTTTTCCTTAAATTTGTGCGTTAAACTATTATATTGATTGTCCTGAACTGCCAGCAAATGTCTATTTTAGGGTTCCAACTCTAGAAAACACTGTCTTTTGCATTGTAATCCTCAACATTTATTCAAAGACATCTTCTAAACAAACACACGCAATCTCTTCTCGGTTCTCAGTTACGACATCTAATAAAGATTTCTGCTTCAACTGTGTCTTGAATACTTCCTAATAAAGAACCAATAGAATTCTTCTAGCTACTTAGAACAATTAAGATGCTTCTCATTATGTTGGCTTATAACTGGACTTAGGTCTGTTAGCCAAGATATCCACAATAATAATATTATTAATAATAAGTATGATTTTCCGCAACTTGCAAAAAGTGGCATACGACATAATGTAAACAATACAGTGTATTCAGTTTTCCAGTAAAGATAGCGTACAGTTAACGAGGAAGTTTTGTCTAACGAACACAATTTGTAACTTCTACGACGAGCAATATATAAACTCACTGCAAAGAAATTGTTAACGTCGAAAACCTAATAGTGCTAGCTACTCTAAAAACCGAGTTCAAAAACATTTTGGAACAACATGAATATTATTTGAAATCTGCATACAAATAGTCTACGTTTAAATACGAATAATGTAACTATTAAAAATATCTTCTACCTATAAAATTGTTTCGTTTGAATTTCCTTAACTGTAAAATCGAACCATTCCAATACTCATTTTTTTTTTTAATTCTCATACATCACTTCATCACCTTTGCTTTGCCTTATATTCTTCTTAAAAAACTCGCTGTTTTTTTAACTGCCATTACAAAGAAAATGTTAGAATTGCCTGTGAGACAAATTTATTTTAATTTTTTATTTAAGTACCTATACAAAAAGCAAAAAGTTATCAATGACGATACATTTACAATAACAGACAAAATAAGACTTTCTAAAGAAAGAAAAGCAGAATTGTGTTTTCTCTATTAATAAATAAACTAACCGCGATGCATGTACCCTTTAGTATTGACCAGATTTTTGCTGAATCGATTCTTAAGAAAACTGAGATGAAGAAAATGATAACACCATAGTTAAGAAAAGGAAATAATAATTTAGGTATGTAAGTTTTATACCGTAAAAACTAAATTTAAAAGCAATATTGCAGAATCCATTCTTCCGAGACATCTTAAATCTCTAGTTGTAGCAGACAGTTCCACTGCACTAAAGAAAATGTACTTTTACAAAATCCAACACAAATGAAGCAAAATATAGAAGGTAAGAAAAAACAAACATCGCCAATCAAATGATTCGATAAATTGGTGTAATACATGTGATTCCAGAAACCAACCTTCCTATACAAAACAAATTCTCCACGATGAAACATCCTTTTTTTAATTTAATATGCTGACTTCCTATAATGTGTAAGTAAAAACTATAATTTTCATTCTCACAATCTAAAAGTAAATCACGCAAAACGACTGAAGAAAATATCTAAAAATCACGGTCTCAGAAAATTTTTACGCCATTTTTCTAAGAAATTTAACTAATAAGGTAAATTCTGAAAGAATAAATCTAAGGGAGTTCGACAACTTGGTAACAAAAAATTAACTTTTCAGCAATAACGACAAAAGGTGTTTCGATTTATTTTTGAAGCAGCACAACCAGATATATATTTTTGGAATAGCCACAACAAGTGACTGATGAAAACTTTGAAAAGATCACCAAAAAACTGATCCCTCGACCAACGACCTTGCCACGTAGTTGTCTTGGTGAAGCATAAAGTCGATTGAAGAAGCTGTCACAGGTATATTTTTTTATGTTCAAATTCAGTACTATATCTAGAAGGTCAAACATTACGATTTTAATCTTAAATTTTTTATTGGTATTTGTAAAGCAGTACTTTATAAACATTAAGTTTCTAATAATTAATTTATGTTTACAGGAATCAAAGGCAAAACAAGAGTCAAGACACTCCGCTCAGTTCTTTCTCGTAGCAAATGATATATGTTAATAAAAGTGTTCAATGAACATATAAAATGTATATATTTTTAAATACTTTTTTGATTTATTTTTATTAAAAAGATCTTAAAATTATAACTATTTTTAATATACGTGCAGTTTTTGAAATTTCTGTAGCTATTTTTTTCATTGTAATAATTATTTTTTCCTAAACTAAAATAAAACTTTTATCATGTAACACTTGTTCTTCTAAATGCACTTCCAGAATTTACTCCTAACTTGTTTCCAGAACAAAAATCCAGACACAGTCTTAAAACGAGAGAGGGAATAATGATATTCTCACGTCATCTACTAGATGCATACGAAGCAATTTTTTTTCATCTTGAAAAAGTTCATTTCTTCCGTCATATTTACTTTGCTTCAACAATAGCATCTTCATTAACAATTAACTTATCTGCTTAAACAGATAAAAGTGAAACTCAGCGTCCAAAAATGTTATGTATCATCAAATTTATCATTTTTTCAAATTCTGTTATTGCTGTCTATCTACTAGCAGCAGCAACCTCAATATTTTCGTTAAAATGCTGACCACCATTGGAATTTCCCTCTCTGGAAGTTCTACAAAATTTTAAATCTGAAATTGACTTTCAATTTGCGAGTTATGCAGCCAACAATACCCTACAAAGAGCTCAAACAATACACATTTTATTAACAATTTTAATATTGTACATTCTAGACTTTTCAAATTTTTCACACACTCTAAACACACTTCAAAAAATGTACTCAATGGACGCACACAAAAAGCAAACAAACATAAAGCCAACGGAAAAAAATGCAGAACAGAAAAACGATACAACCGGAATTTGGGTCAAATTAGTTCGAATGTAAAGAAGACTGACTACAAGATTACTTATGTGTTATAATGTAACACTTACGTATTAGCATCCAGAAACTGATTCATAATTAGACAAAAAAAATCAAACGAGTCGTGACTAAGTGAATTTCATGAAAACTCTAAGCAAATGTCTGTTAAATTGTGTTAGAACCCGTTAACGATTAAAATCCTAACCTGATCGGTGAATTTACAAATTAATTAATTCATTAATTAAATTTACCCGTGTTGGCGTCGTTTACAAATTCGCCTTTTCCGATTACAAAGCCGCAAGAATTAGCTGCGCTTGTTGGGGAAAATTGGACGTAGACGTTACGATTAATTTTCTTTAAACAAAGGCTTCCATCCTTTTAACACAAAACAATAATGGCGCTTTCAACATGCTTTCGCCATGCCGCCATCTTCTAACCATCTAACCAAACCGCCCTCTCATCACCACCTCTATAACTAAAATCTCAAGCAGACTATACACTACTCAATAGCGTCTACGTGCACATGGTTGCCTATTTTTTTTAATCAAATTAGTTACCACAGTGATGACCTCGAAAGCACGAAAAAATAGGTCTCTAGTTTCCGTCTGTCTATCTGTCTGTCTGTCTGTCTGTCTGTCTGTTTGTTAGACAGATAATCTCTGAAACTACCGAACCGATTGCTGCCAAATTTTATATGTGTATTATGAATATCATCATGGTTATAATAAACATACTAATTTTTTACCAAAAGAAATCTGTTTATTCTAGATCTAGATTCTTTCATATTGTAAGTAAGTCAAAAGTCGAAAATGAGCCATTAGTCAAAAAGAGCTTATTGCAATACCGTCTATGCATTTCGCTCCGATATTTCTTCCATGGACATGAAAAAATTGCTAATTTTTTATTTCGGTTTTAAGCGTTAACGATAATATTGACTATATTTGTTTCCATGTATCTTTATTTTCGCAACATTTTCTTCTTATCTGTTTATTTGTTTGCGGTTTATTAGGGTTATAAAAAATGTGTGTTCAAATTTGATGACGACATCTCAAAATTTTGCCACATAAACCCCATTTAAAATGTGTAACATAATGTAATACTCCCTAACGTTTAACCTTATGTATAAAAATTTTACAATTATCTTAGAAACTACAAAACCGGTTGATTTGAAATTTTGAACACGATTCAAGGTTATCGAGAACATGGTAAATCGTTAACCAGACTTTCTTACTGAAAATTTATATTGTCACTTTATCTGTATTTTAATAATGTCCAAATTGTTTCGTAAAAAATATGCTGGCAATTACAACGTTCTGTATATGAAAAATGTTTTAAAAAAAATTAAGGAAGAAGTATGTAATTTACTGTATCGATAAAATCGAAATCAAAATTTTTCCGAAATTCTGGAAATATAGTACTCTAACCGTACCTTTATTTATAACTTTTTGTCTTACCAATTGGGTATTTTTTTATTATAATTAAAAAGGTCAGGCCCTTAGATATTTACATTAAGCACTGATAAGGGAATTCAAATGACATACCCATCCAACAAGTAGAGGGGAGTGGAACTAGAGCAAAATAAAAAGTCGCTGAAACTTCTCTCATCCTCATTCTTTTTAGTGTTCCTGATAACAAAGTGTCGACAAGTTGGAATAGGTATGTCAAATTTTAATGACTAAATTTTATTATAAAGTAAATTTTTTGCTAATCACATACACCACAGCTACCCGTAAGTGCAATTATGAAAATCTACTTTGAGATCAGTTTATTATTATTATTATTATTATTTTAATCTTATGTGTTGCGACATATTGCCCGATTCAAGAGTGCTTGTATTTTTATAACCTTTTGCAACCACAGCTTGCTCATCCAGTGCCAACTTGAAGACGTTTTTTGTTAATCGTTATTACATCATTCACTAAATGTGTTATGCAATAATTGACTAATATTTGAACAATACCCACAGTTCAAAAATGTTCATAGTTCATATTCAAGTACGGTTTTTACAAATTTTTGAAAATTAAAAATCGTAGTGTCATAGAACGTCACACAAAATTTTATTTATCGCCTCAAATATTTCCGTTTCGCAGAAACACGTAACTAAATATTTCACATCCTTTCAAATAGAGCATTGTTATCTTATCAGAAAAAAATAATCCGCTTAGTGCGAGGTATAAATAAACATTTCCCTCTTATCGCATTTTATTCTGGAAATTCCATAGTTAAACGTTTGTGTTTATGCGTCGGTGATTAGGTGAGTGTTTCTTGACATACCTACACAAAAACCTAAACGGATTTCAAAAAATATTTTACAAGTGATAAGAAGCTTATCTTTCCCGTTAAAACTGCCGCTTGCATTACGCAGGGTTGAAGAATGATTCATTATGCAAAATTAGAATGTCAAGGTAAAAATTTGCAACGTTTTGTTGATTATAATAAATACATTTTTGCCAACGGCAAGTTGAACTGTTAGCCATTTTCAACAGTTTTGATATGTCTTCGTTGTATCTTGAAATGACTTATAATATGTCAATAAAAGTATATTCTCTTTGACTTAATACAAAGTCCTTAAATTGTCCAAAATTGTACTTGGAAATTGAGATTATATGATTATATCGGTTTATTTAATTACAGATTCAGTTACTTTAAATATACAGATATCAGATATTTGTAAAAGGATCAACACTTAAATGATAAAAATACACCATTTATGAAGTAATAAACACTTCAAATTGATATATGAAAATCTGTCAAAAGGTTTGGAAACCATCAAGATATCAAACAATAGATATCCTAGAAAAATTAGTTATTCAGTATAGTTGCTATTTTCATCCAAATCTTATTTTTATCTTTATTCTATTAACAACATTGTTTTACTTTTTGTTTTAGCATTTAAAAAGTTTTTTAATGTAGAAAGTAGCACTAAACGGACTTATTAAAAATTAAAACTACAATCTCCCTGTCAGCAATATTTTACTAGATCACTTCACGAGAATACAGAATTTCAACTTGAAGAAGATTTTTAGTGACACAAAACTTCTCTTCAAATTTAAATTTTGTAACTGTCAAGAGAAATAGAAGATCCATCCAATATAGTTCCAAAATTCAAAAATATAAAAAAAAGATTTTTTAATGAATTTTGTCCGTACACCGTTTAAGAGACTCAAATACACAACTGATAATAAATTCAGGATAAATGTTGTTGCAGTGGACACATCTACAAACTATTTCACCTTAAGTTGGCAGCATATAACACTCTTTAGCAATGCATGTTAAAACAGAGTCCTCACGGCCATGTTGTCGACTGTTAAAAGCGCATCGTTTTCTAAAGAAATCACTACAATTTATGATGAAGTTTTTAAATTTGCATTGATTTTTTTTAAATAAAAAAACTTCATCTGTGTAAAATTCATAGCGACTTCTTTAGAAATTCGGTGGGTTTTTAACAGTTTGCAACACCGCCGCGACTTCTCTCACATGCGATGCATTACTAATGGGTTTTGTGCATTACCAACTCAAGCTGGAGTAATTTCTACAAAAATCACTGGCCCTGAAAATCGACGGATCCTTGGAACCATCTCACCTTCCTTTACAAGCCTCGAGGACAACTGTTGAACATTTAGCGAAAGTCGCCGCTTACGTGTAACGCCGGCTTTCACTAAGTGTTCGACAGTTGTTCGTTCGAGGCAAACTACAGTACCTACCATTCAAAATCCCCCAAAAATTTTCTGATGTTGATGAAGATTTAGAAGAAAGAAATGGCACGCCCCACTACAACGGATAAATGAAGAGAAATAATGAAGGTAAAAAATTGAAAATAGTTTTATATTGATTTTAGCATTCTCATGAAGTTATGGTTCTGAACAACTACAGAACAAGCGATGAAGACTGTATATTTCTAGAATTTTGTTGAGAGTGTGAGTAAAATTTATAATTCTGGTTTCCTAACTTTTTATGTTTTTTGTTTTCATTTTTTTAGTGACAACCCAGCCACCTAAAAGAGACAACCGTCTTCAAGAAATCAAGGACCTTTTGGGACCCTTGAAAGAAACCCAGCCCCCAACTCTCAATGGAATGGTCGTGGGAATATCGTTCGATTAATATTTTAACAAAATGTTAGTTTTGTAAGATTTTTTTCTTTGTGTTACTGTAAAAGAATGAACTAATATATTTTGTGATGAGCATAGATGTTTCTGTCTCTTAAAATCTAGAATGTGATTCTTATGGTCATTAGTTGAAAAAAATGTTGAATAAAAATTAATTAACAAGTGAAATGTGACGGTGAATGTAAATTTAAAAAACAACAAAAAACCTGTACTTAATCACCAATGAGACTCAAATAATTTGCCATTTTAAATTAAACAAATTGAAATTCTGAAAATTTCAAAATCATTAACAATTAACCGGTCGCGGATTTTATTTTCAAAGTGTCTTCATAAAATATAAATGCCCAAAGTTAACACATATCAGAGGCAGAAACTCAGCGGTTAACGTTATAATTAAACATTTTAAATATAACCTGTGTGTTTACACCGAGTTGGCGAGTATTATGTCTCAATCTGCCCTCGAAATATTTCTTTTTCCACCACATTAAAAATTTGGTGCCCGAATCCCGAGTGGAACATCTTCGTATTAGAGCGAAGACGGCTTGTGATTGAACATTAGGCAACACTGAATACACTATATACAGACCACAAATTATACAGAGGGATACCAACAGATAAACATTTATCTTCGAGCAGTAGAATAAACAACCCTTATCGCTCTTAATACTGAGTACAATCAGATCGGTTAGCAATAAAACTAAAACCATGTGGAAAATCATTGACACATCGTGGAACCGACACCACAATCGAAACAAAGATCTTAACAATAGCTGTGATACTTCTAATTTTTATCGTTAATATCTAACTCTAACCTAATATTGTAAACGTTTTTATGTCGTCTGAGGCATCCGGTACTAAAGTCCAAGATACGATCATAAATATAAAAAACAGTAAATCATTTGACATTTAGTGTCCCGGTTTAAATATTAAATTTAGCGCCAAGAAAAAAGACATAAATCCTTGGAGCACGGTAAACAACTCTTCATGCTTTTAAAGGTTTTTTCTAAAAGTAATGGTTGGTAGAAACTAGAGAATTCAAAGCGCTTAGGGTCCAAATGGTTTATCATAGAGCCTATAGTAGCTAGAGAGCCCAAAAAATTTATAAAATCTAGCAAGTCTACATTATAGAGAACTTATCAGAGAATATGCAGATTTTAGAAAGTCTACACAATTTAGGGATTAAGAACCTAGAGAAAATAATCTACAGAGTTTAGCAGATGTCCAGAGCATAGAGAATCTAAAATATTTAGAAACTTTACAAAATCTGTAGCACCTAGAGGGTTTAGAAACTGTAGAGTCCAAAGAAGCGGCAGTATCAATCTATAGAGTATAATATCTGGAAACTAGAGATAGCCTAGAGAAACTAGAGAATTCAAATCGATTAGACTCTAAGTTTAGCCTATAGAAGCTAGAATGTCCAGAAGATCTATAAAATCTGTCAAGTTTAGGTTATAGAGATCTTAGAGAACATTGATATCTTTAGAAAACCTAGACAGCCTAGACAATCTAGGGAGTGGTAATCCAGAGAAAATAATGTAGAGAATCTACGGAGTTTAGAGGACATCTAGAGCATAGAGAATCTAAGTCACTTTCCCGCCGTTTTGTTAACCGCTGATCGATGGGTGGAATTTAAATTGATTTCTATATTCCTAATATTCGACAATATTGTGGACAATCTAGGGTATCCATATTCATCTATTTTCTTAGAGGGTTCATTATTTGCCAAAATCAGTCTTATCTTAGCAAGTAGTAGCCCCGCCCACCCGCGGACTTTTCACTCTAAGACTAATTTTGTTTCTGTTCAGTATAAGGTCCACCGTTCATTCTGACCAGATAAAACCAATCATTGAAATGGAGGCGGGGCGGGTGGGTGGGCTTATTTATTTTCTTCTGTTATGTGGGAGTGGAAACTAATTTGGTCTACGATGTGAAAAAAGTAAAAAAGCCATAATCGTACATTTTTATTATATTATTTGCTATAAAATTTACTTTTGTAGTTCAGAAGAAAATAAAATGAGAGAACGGGTGGGTGGGTGGGCGGGGCCAAGTTTTACTTTTTCGTGCAGAGTCTTATAAGCAAGCAATAGGCCCACCCACCTAACAACATTATTATTAGAATGTTAGGAAAATCCATTAAAGTGTTGATGAGAAAAGAGATAAATTGTTCAATAAGGTATCCAGAAGTATTAAACTGGTGTTAAATCAGCATACCAGACATGGGAATCATATTTAAAAAACAATATAACCGATACTCCTCCCACTCGCACTAGCTCCACCCACATTAATAAATCATTTCACTATCCCCGAGGTGAGGGGCGGTGATTGTAATTGGGTTACTTTATGTGATTTTTTATCATTTAAGTGTAAACGTTGACGGCAGAGCCGCTTTTCGAAAAAAGAATTAAAATTTTGTAAAAAATAAAATTAAAAAAAAAAATAGATTATGTATTATTTGTCAATATAAAATCCAACCTCCATCGCAGAACCAATAAACTGAGTGATCAAAATGGAACAGGGGTGGGTGGGCAGGGCCACTTTTTACATTGTTTTAAGTCTTAGATTCCACCGCTTGTCAAATTGGATTTCAATTCCTATTTTACAGTAAATAAGATAAGTCAGTGAAATGGATAAATCCGGTGGGCGGGGCTGAGTTTAGCTTTTTTCTACAGAGTCTTATAAGCAAATAATTGCCCCACCCAGTGACTACTCTTAATGCCCCGCTCGCCCGCCCTTTATTTTTTTAGAGGGTAGGTCATTTGCCAAATTCAAGCTTACCTTAGCAAGAATTAGCCCCGCCCACCCGCCCTCTACTTTCTTGAGGATATGTCATCTGCCAAAATCAATTTTATCTTAGCAAGTATTAGCCCGGCCCACCCGCGGACTTTTCACTTTAACGACTAATCTTATTTCTGTTCAATATAAGATTCACCGTTCATTCTGATCAGATCAAATCAATTATTGAAATAGAGGTGGGGTTGGTGGGCGGAGTTAATTATTTTCTTCTGTCGTGTGGCAGTGGAAACTTATTGGAAAAAAATGTAAAAGTAAAAAAAGCCATAATCGTATTTTTTTATTATACTATTTGCTATAACATTTATTCTTACTGCAAAAGTAAATTTAAATGAGAGAACGGGTGGGTGGGCGGACCTAAGATTAATATTTTCCTACACAGTCTTATAAGCCCTGTCCACCCGCCCGTCCCCTCTTCAATCTAGTGACTACTCTTGAAATCGATAGTCGACGACAACGTTATTTTCCTATTAGAATCTTAGGCAAATCCATTAAACCGTCAGTAAGAAAATAGATTAATTGTTCAATAGGGTATCTAGAAAGTATTATACTGGTGTTAAATCAGCCTACCAGACGTGGGAATCATATTTAAAACACAATATAACCGATACTCTTCCCACTCGCACAAGCTCCACCCACTTTAATAAATCCCGGAGAAGGGCGGCGTTTGCAGTTGTCGTTTTTGGGAAAAAAAAATAGTGAAAAATAAAACAAAAAAAACGTCATCCTAGGTTCTATTATTATTTGTCAATATAAAATTCAACTTTTGTCGCAGAGCCAATACAATGAGTCATCAAAACCGGAAAGGGGTAGGTGGGCGGGGCCACTTTTGACTTTGTTTTAAGTTTTAGACTCTACCGCTTGTCAAAATGGAATGCAATTTCCATTTTACAGAAAATAAAATAAGTCAGCAAAGTGGGATAAAGGCCGTGGGCAGGGCTGGGTTTAGCTTTTTTCTACTGAGTCTTATCAACAAATAGTGGCCCCGCCCACCCACCCGCTCTTCATTGCAATGACTACTCTTAATATTGTTCAGTCTTATCTTAGCAAGAACTAGCGGTGAGAGACTGAGTGACAGGAAAGTCATTAAATCTACCCGAAGAAAAGTGTACCATCCGCGCGAAATTTGAAATTTCAAAATCATTCTGATCTTAAGCGCTACAAAACATAAGTTTTCCATTACTCGAGAATTTTTGTGGTGTCTCTTAATAACAAAAAACGATGACTATTATCATTATACATCTGTCTTCTCCTGAAAATTGTTTCAAATATTTCCTAGAACGTTCATCTTTAGGGTACGTGTCCACGAGAGCAACTCTCACGAGAGTTCTGGTTGTGATTTTATACCATCTTTAGTCTTTAAGTTGTCATTTCACATTTCAGAGGTCTATTATTGCAATTAATTGAGTTATTTCCAAAAAAATACGTTCGTATTGTTATATTAAAATTTAATATAAAATCAATCTCTGAAAAGGAGACAGGGTGGGTGGGCGGGGCTCATTATGTTCTTCTGTCGAGTGGGAATGGAAACTATTAGAGTCTAGGATGTGAAAAAAATTTAAAAAAAATTGCTAATCATATTTTTTTTTATTATACTACATATTTGCTATAAAATTTATTTCTTATTTCATGCACCTGACCAGACTCTGGATAATTTTCGAAAATAATCGAAAAATGATTGAAAATGTTAAAAATACCAAAATCCGTCTTATCTTAACAAATACCAGCTCCGCTAAGATCAGTCTCATCTTAGCAAGTACTATTCTTCTTATTCTACCGACTAATTTTATTTCTGTTCAGTATGAGACCATTAATTTCATTCACATCGGATAAAATCAATCTCTGAAAAGAAGGCAGGGTGGGTGGGCGGGGCTAATTATGTTCTTGTGTCGAGTGGAAGTGGAAACTAATAGAATCTAGGATGCGAAAAAAGTAAAAAAGTAAAAAAAAACGCTAAACATAAATTTTTTTGTTATACTATTTATTATAAAATTTATTTCTTATTTCATGCACCTGACCAGACTCTAGATAATTTTCGAAAATGGTTGAAAAGTGTCAAAAGTGCCAAAATCTGTCTTATCTTATCAAATACTAGCCCCGCCCTCCCACCCTCTACTTTCTTAGAGGATATCTCATTTTGCCAAAATCAGTCCCATCTTAACAAATACTAGAGAATAATGAGATGCTAAATGTGGCATGCGACAATAGTCGTATGTAGAACCCCCATTCATATAAAAACAATCTTTAAGTGAAATTTTTGTGTTTGTTCCTTACATATGAATAAACACTTACAAAAAGCCGAATAACTGTTTAAAATAGCGTAAAGTTTTATGCTTTCTAAGAAATTGATTCCGTTAACTTGGTCATTCCTACTGAAAACTGAAAGTATCGGCAACAATGTTTATATTTCTGGCATATTTTTTAACCTTTAATCTAATAAAACATAACCTAACGAAAAAAGTTCAGGGAATTTTTATTTTTCTGCATCGAATACCAACAAACTCACTAGATTTTCATGGCCAACCCTACTACTTATATAAAGATCGTGAACGGATAATAGTGAGGAAATTTTGTTCGTCGGGCAGAAACGACGCACTCTCAAGTGTGTGTTCTTGTGGTGTTTTAACTGATACATTATTCTTACATTATTATTGAAGTATTTTTTATTAGGAAAAAAAACAACGAAAAATCGGTAGAAACATTACATTTTTAACATCCTCCAACATATAAAATAATATTGAAACAAGTTATACATCGAACAATACAACAAAACAACATATTATTCAGAAAACAAATTCTACTAGTACGAAAATAACTATAAAACTGTAAAAAGGATCAATTTCATTTGGTAACCGGATTTATGGTGTGCATACGCTGAAAATGAACGGCCAAAATTCTCTTACTCGCCGCTTGATATTCGCAAAGGGCACAATAAACCCATTTCTGCAAATGTCGCTCCACAATGTGCCTTTGTAACGTATTCTTTCTTTTCGCTTTATAATCGCACCGAGTACAAGAAAACCAACTAATATTTTCAGGACTTGTATGCGTCAAACGGTGATCTCTCAAAGTGCTTGGTCGCGTAGTTCTAAAAGGACAATGCTCGCAGTGGTACTTCTTTTCAGCTACTTTTTGAACTTCACCTTCGATTTTAACAGGATTAACATTTTCTGCATTTTCATGCTGTCTTTGCTGGTGCCTACGCAAATAGCGAGAATTATCACTAAAGTATGCACAATATTCGCAATAAAACTTCGTATTATTAGTTTTTGGGTCGTGTTTTAGGGATTTGTGGTGTCGTAAATTCGCACGGTATTTAGTTTTGAAAGGGCACGTGTCGCATTTTAACCAATCCGATGAGTGTTTTTGACTGTGCGTTGCAAGATTGCTCCGAAATTTAGTGTGGTAGGAGCACTGAGTACATTTATACTTATCACTGTGTTCACTTTTGATCGGTTTGTTAAATAACTCAGTTTTTGTTTTGGATTCAAGGGCACTATTTTCGTTTTGATGTGAGGCCGACTGCTTAGTTTTCAAGTCCCTGTTTACATCTAAAATAAAAAAAATATTATGTATATAGACAACTTTGTCTTTATCTTCATTTGGTTCTTACATAACGCAATAATAAAATTTAAATAATTCGCTATTAACAATGATCTAGTAGACGTGAAAAATGGCATTTAAATCGTCAAAAATCACCACCCGGTATAGTATCTCCTAATGTATACAATGAACAAGGTACTTACATTGTAGTCGCTTTTCCTCAGATTTTATTGAAAACTTGTCTGCTTCCATTTTTGTAGCTGAAAATACTGGTAACCACTTGTTTATATGTATATTTTTGAAAATTAATGTGTTGCAGTAAATAAACGCAAGCAACTCGGTCGTGATGACAAACTAAAACATCACGTGGTTTCTATGCATGTGTTATTTCTAACCTCAAATGCGCAAACAACACGCTTTTGCGTTTCTGCGCTTCTTTCCGCTTTGTGTAGCTGTGTGTTTTGTGACTAGGTTATGTTTTTCCTATGGAATTGTTTCGTTTGTTCATTATTTTTTGGTTGATTAGTATCAAAACATTTTTTAATGTAAAATGTGATATTTTTTTAGACTAAATAATGAAGTCCGAGTATGAGTGACAAGTACTGTGCGATTGAAAATAAAAAGAATTACTTATAGAGTTGGCATGTCCTGTCAAGTTTTGGATAGTACCATTAAAAAAGGAATATACAATGTATATTCATTATTATTATTATTACTCTCGTCCATCCTCAATTTATGTTGGCAGCAGTGTGTGTTTTTAACTAGGAATAAAATTAACTACATAGAAAAAATGTCATAATATTTTTAACGACGCGTTTTATTTTCGACAAATTGACACTAGATTTACCAGAATATTACAAGCTGCTTATTGTTTCCTTCACTTTCATTCAGGTCACACGAATTACAATTATAGTTAAACAAGGTTTTTGCAAAATCAGCCTGTATGTCGCATCTATATTAATCTATGGTGTTATTGTGTGAGATTACGCTTTGAGTATAAAACAATTACAAAAACAATAAACTGCAGTAAAATTCCTGTATTGTCCTCTAAGAATAATAATTTCAAAACTTGTAATAAGAAAAGAAATCTAGGATAAGCTAAATGCTTATTATGCAGTGAATTTTTATTTTTGTTTTACTCAATCCACGTGCTCCGCTGTCAATTTCAACTGTCAAAAATACGTCAGACGTCAGCTGCACTTGACATTTAAGTATAAATAAACATTTTTTTAAGTAGCAATTATGCTGATATCGTTAAGTAGAACGTGACATTCATGTGATAAGCTCAATCAGAAATCAGACAATCAAGTAAATGCGTTTATTAGTTAATATTTTGTTTAAATTTTTCCATCCATGTAGCTTAAGTCAAAACACCAATCGCCGTCTTCCACACACTGTGCTTCGTAATGTAGTCGCATTAATGTAAAATTGCATAACAATCAGGCCTGATTATATAATGTATAGTTCTAGGGCGACAAACTCCAGCATAATGACCAACCACTTGCCCACCACTTTCTCTGGAAGGCTCGACCGATTCAATGGGGTGACTGTGCATTCTGAGTCGGAACCGTGCAATATATCCGATTTTGGAGATAAAGTAGATAGTGATGATTTCCACAAACGTCCCTCCAATCCATTAATAAATTGCGTTGTAGATTCAATTAAGAAATGGAGAGACGACGGGCGGAGGGGGATTTGGTTCAAAGTTCATTTAGACCAGTCAGACTGGGTTCCGGTTTTGGTTAAAGTAACGCGTTTTGTTTGGTTTGTGTATTAAATTTATCAAATTATGTTTGTAGAAAGGTTTTCGCTACCACCATGCCAAAGATGATTTCGTGATGATGTATTTATGGCTTCCTGTGGAGGAGAATTGTAACATACCTCCATACGCACACACTATGATTGGGGTGGGTGCTGTTGTTATTAACGACCAAAATAAAATTTTAGTTGTGAGTGAAAAATATTACCAAGTACCCCATTGGAAACTACCAGGGGGTTATGTGGAACCGGGCGAAAATTTAGTGGATGCTGCCATCAGAGAAGTGTGGGAGGAAACAGGGGTGGAAACTGAATTCCAAACCGTTCTTACTTTAAGACAAGGCCATTATGGGATGTTTGGTTGCTCAGATATATACACAGTGATTAGTTTGAAGCCTTTGAGCTCAGACATTGAGAAATGTGAGAGAGAAATTGATAAGTGTATGTGGATGGATGTTGACGAGTACCTCAAACACCCCAATGTACATGAATTGAACAGATTTTTTGTACAAAAGTATCTAGAGTATTTGAAGAAGAATTTAAAAATTGATTGGCACCATGGGATCCATCAAGTACTCAAAAAAGCCTATACTGTGTATTATATAACAAGTACGGATGGCGACGACAAGAATCAAAAACCGTGTTAAGTGTTATACACAATATTATACCCTAAATTGTTAATAAAATGAGTACAAATTATTTTGGTTACTTGTGATGTATTGTTGGTTGCATAATCCAGAAATCAGGTTAATTAGAAAATTAAATTTTGTAAAATAAAAATTCAAGAACGAAAAAGTACTTGTAGCGAAATCTGTTCAAAGAATGTTTTCGCGTGCAACTCACTCGTGTGTATAATTGGTTGCATATATGAGACATTTTTTCCGAAAATTCCAAACTTTCACGTCATCTACAAGCTCCTTGTCTAAAACAGTTTATCACTTAAACTGAATTTTTTTACTTCTTCCTTCCTTCTTTCGCCACCACATGTTTCCTCGAGTACTTGCTTAACTTATATCTCAACGGACACTGCTCACATTCAAACCACTGAATCTCATCTTCAGGTACATGTTTCACCGAAACATGGCTTCCGCTTGAATTATGGTACATTGGAAACCTTGGATTTGTGAATTACATTTGTTGTAGGTGTGTCTGAGCAGGACATATTTCGAGTAGGTTTCAAAATGGCACTTTGTGCATCTGTTTAATTGTTCATTGAATTCTTTCGGATCATGGTTGAGTCTGTGGTGTCGCAAATGTATTTGAAAATTTGGACAATTGTGACACTGGAATGGTTCCACAAGTCGGCACAATTGAAAAAGTGAGACCAGGAAGTCCTTTTTTTTAAACTGTTTTTTTTTTCTGCTGCAAAAAGTGAGGTTAGACTAACGAATGGACAAAATAAATTAATAGACCTGAATGAAATAGGAATAGATTTTGCGGTATTTGTTACAGTGTACAAGGCATTATTGGCGTTTATTCGTTATTGCATCATGAATTTATATACGTTATGCAACCCACAATGCCTTCTTTTAATTTTGGTTATGGTTTGTTTCTTATTTTTTTGTCTCTAAATTCTACACAATTTTTAAATTTAAGGTCATACTTTAAGAACCATGTGCGTCATATTTTTCCATTTCTGTAACATCCTTGTCCAAATCAGTCCAATACATTTTAGCATATATAAATTATACCTAGCTAATTTTATATTTTCGTGTTTGTATTAATTTACTAAACTGAAGTGTTAGTTGCGAATATTTTGATGTTTTATTTTATTGAAGGTATTTTTTTGCAAATGCCAGGGCGAAATATTGGCAGGCTAGTATGTCAGTTCACGGTTGTCAATTTTAACATATGTAGTGTTGATTGTAAATCGATGGCTCAAAAATATCCAGTTAAATATTCCGACAATTCGGAGTAATATCCAACTGTTAAGGTTATTTTTTTAAATTGCTATTTAACAGCACTAAAGAACGCTTAACAAACGTGTTGAGAAGATGGCAGCTACTGAGTTGGTGTCATAAATGTCAAGTTGACAATCAGGTGTGCCATTATAAAAGTATAAATATGTCGCCACCCAAAAAAAAATCACAAACATTAATAGTCACTATTTGCATTTTATAAAATAACGTACTTTTGTACCTGTCGTTTCTGAATCCGCCTCTATTTTAGCTTAGGTATTTATATTAAAAAAAAATCATAACTGTATAAATTAAAAACATTTTACACTTTAGCTTAGCAACTGCTTTGTTTAAAAAAATATATTAAAACCCAACCGAGTTTATCGATATACATAACATTTACAAATGTACAGTTTCGGCCAGAAAATCTTGGGCAGTATTTTTCTGTCATTTAAAAAAACACGATGTAGTCTACGCTTTATTGTCATAGTTATTGACACTTTTATAAAATAAATTGTGACATACGTCATCAACTCATCATCCACCATGGCCGACTAGTATAAAGATTATGGCCTGTCCAAAGGAATGCCAAAGGTACCATACGTGCTGCCATCTATTAATAATTCAAAATCGACAAAAGAATTATTAACACCTTTTGAAAGGCACAAAGGCATTCATACCCAAACAAACCACCATTACACGTTTTGAAGTCCCATAATGTCAAGTCAAATTAAAATTTTGCTAAATTATTAAGTGTAATTATTAATAGATGGCAACACGTATCGTACCTCTTGGACAGGCCATAATCTTTATACTAGTCGGCCATGCATCCACATTCCAGTCTACGTCAAAATGACAAACATTGCAAATTTGAGGTTATAAGTACGTAAAGCCTGTTTTAGAGCTTATGTTACTGGAATGACACAACTGTCCAAGATTTTGTGGCCGAAATTGTAACAGTTGCCTAAGTTCTATGTTGACAAAATAAACTTGTCGCTGATGTTGTTGTTTGCCGTTGACGTTGCCGTTTTAAGATAAATCTGCAGCGAAGGTATGCGTCGTTTATATCATCCGTTGACGTTGAGTTTTCAACCAATCAAATTGCGCTCTGCGCTTGTGTGCAGTGCTGCCAACTTGAACGAAAATCCCCTGAAGTAGGGGGGACATTTTTCAGGAAAATAACATTTTAATAAAGATAATGGGGTCCACTAATATTAAGCCATTTAATCACCTGTTCACCGAAACCCTCAATGTATTTTAAATAGCTGCCATCATTTTCTACACTGAAGCTTTCTGTCAGTACTTAAACATTGTTAAAGATAGTTTAAATAAAAAAAAATGATTGCTATTCGTCTCAAAATCAGATTAGGTATTACAACTACATTACAATTACATTTTGCCCTTTTTACTTCCCGAGCGTAAGCAAAGGAAGTATTGTAATCGAGTCCGTCAGCCGACTCTCTACTTTTACGTTTTCTCGATCTTTCATGACCCCTAGAAGACGAAGAAATAGGTCTCCCATTTCCGTCTGTCTGTCCGTCTGTCCGTCCGTCTGTCCGTCCGTCTGTCCGTCCGTCTGTCCGTCTGTCCGTCTGCCCCCCGATTTTTATTAGACAGATAATCTCCGAAAGTACTCGACCGATTGTTGTGAAATTTTGTACTTATATTAAGAATATCATGTAGATGGTAAAACGCTAACCAAAATTTGTCTAATCATCCCCACCACTAATGCGATGACGTCACTTCAAAATTGTACATAGTAAATGGGTTTTCAATTGTATAAAATAACATAGTCCTACACATGTAGTTTACAACTCTGAATCGACTTTTCACCCGAAACGTCCAGATTTTTGGAAAAAAAATCAAAATTATAAAACAACATTTTGAAATTTAATTTTTAATCTGCTAACCAGAATGCTTTGAAATGTTGCAGATGTTTTAAGGCTATAAAGAGCATCATAAATCTTTAGTCAAAAAATATTTGCTTATCCCCTCCAAAAACTTGGTGACGTCAGCTCAAAAGTTTGTGGAATAAATCATATCTAAAATGTACAAAATATGATGAGTCTGTACTTGTGATCTATCACTCCATTCATATTTTTTGGATTTGCATATACAGAGTGACTCAAAAAAATTAATGAATGCGTAAATATATTTTATTGATTTAATCAGGAACTACAAAACCGAATGCTCTGAAATCTTGCAGATGTTTTAAGGTCATAAAGACCATAATAAATATTTAGTCAAAATATATTTGCTTATCCCCTCCAAAAACTTGATGACGTCAGCTCGAAAGTTTGCCGAATAAATCATATCTAAAATGTACAAAATATGATCAGTCTGTACTTGTGATCTATCACTCCATTCATATTTTTTGGATTTGCATATACAGGGTGATTCAAGAAAATAAATGAAAGCGTAAATTTATTTTACTGATTTACTCAGGAACTACAAAACCGAATGCTTCGAAATCTTGAAGATATTTTAAAATTATCATAAGCATGGTAAATTTTTGATCAAAACGTATTTGGTCGTCCCCCCTAAAAAATTTATGACGTCACCACAAAATTTTGCTGAATAAATCCTATCTAAAATGAACAAAATATGGTGAGTCTCTTCTTGTGATTTATCATTCCATTCAAATTTTTTCGATTTGCATATACAGGGTGACTCAAAAAAATTAATGAATGCGTACATTTATTTTATTGATTTAATCAGGAACTACAAAACCGAATGCTTTGAAATCTTGCAGATGTTTTAAGGTTATAAAAAGCATAATAAATTTTTAGTCAAAATATATTTGGTTATCTTCTACAAAAAACTGATGACGTCAGCTCAAAAGTTTGCCGAATAAATCGTATCTAAAATGTACAAAATATGATGAGTCTGTACTTGTGATTTATCATTCCATTCATATTTTTGGATTTGCATATGCAGGGTGACTCAAACAAATTAATGAAGGCGTGAATTTATTTTATCGATTTAATCAGGAATTACAAAACCGAATGCTTTGAAATCTTGGGAATATTTTAAAGTTATTATAAGCATGGTAAACTTTTGTTCAAAATGTATTTGTTCATCCCTCCTAAAAAAATTGATGACGTCACCCTTAAATTTTGCTGAATAAATCCTATCTAAAATGCAAAAAATATGATGAGTTTGTACTTGTGATTTATCATTCCATTCATATTTTTTAGATTTTCTTAAGAGGTGCTTCAAAAAAATTAATGAAGTCAATTTATTTTATTGATTAAATTAAAGGCAACACTTATTATTAGTATTACACCCCAACCAACCCAATTTGGTAGACACAAAATTTGTTAAAGGAAAAACTCGGTTGAAACATAAGGGTAGCACGCTTATTTAATAAGCATTCACGTTCGGTAGAAGTAACTGACAGAAACTTTTCTGTGGTTAAGTTGCAATCTTAAGATCACTAGAAATTTAAGATTGGCATCAACTGTCTAATTTTCTAATTCAAATGTCAAATCTGAATTGTGTGGAAAAAAACGAAGTTTTTCTAATTTCAACACGCTTCGTTTCTAGAAAATCCTTAAATACAGCGTGGAAACAGTTTCCATAAAAGTAATCACGAGAAAGCTCATTTTAAAGGAAAAGAAACAAGAAATATTTCGTGGTTTTCAAAAAATTGGGTAAAACGGAAACAGTTAAACTGGTGGCAGAAATATTCTCCGTAAAGTTCGCTAGTGTTGTCGAGTGTTTTTCGAATTTTAAAATAATACAGATACAGCGGCGCTTGTGCCGTTAATATTATAATCAGAATCAGAAAGACGACTGCGCAGATTTATATACCTACATGCTTTGTTGGTTCCGTTCTACAATTGATTTTTAAGTTTTATATAATCGTTATTGTTTTGTAAGAGGTAAAACACTTGGCTTTGAAAATAATTGTACATAATACACGTATAAATTTAGGTTTCCGAAGGCGAAGTTTTTCACATTTTAAACACGTTATAGCTGCCAGAATCAAATTTCTAAGGCGGTACCTATCTCCAATTGCGTGATTGTGGTGAAGATTTACTTTTCATTTTCTTGAATTAGACATGGATATACCAGAACGGATCCATGGTGAAATTGTGGATCCATGATGATGACATCAAAGCTTGTCCTCCTAAAAAAACTAGTGAAGGGAAAAGATTCAAAATTTTACATGCGGGTTGCTCTTTGGGCTTTTAGAGGGATGCGATTTTCTCCTTGGTTCAAAAATAGATTCACCAGATTACCACAAAACCATCACATTTTCGATATTTGACCTTTACTTACTTACATGTCACATTTTTGATAGCTACTTTCTGACATTCCAGTAATAGATTATACACTAGAACAATTATGTCCGCAGTTACACAGCTTAAAAAAAAAAGTTACCAAATCTAGTTACATCTACCGAACGTGAATTCCTTATACATCGACTTTAACATTACAGACCTGCATTTGTTTTATGCGTTCACTTGGTTCCGCGAATGTGAAATAGACATGTTTATAATCAACCAATTGTGAATTTCACCGTCAAGAATTAAAATAAAACCCAATGTTTTATATAATAAGCGGAAGTCGAAGCAATAAAACCAATGGTCGTTTTGTTTACAGTTTCTCTGTTTGACTCTCACGTATGCTGTTACGCCTGTCATCTTAAATTAAGAATGTTTATACATACACGATTTTCAGTTGCCTCTGATACGTATACGTGAGTAAATTGTTTCGTTATTTTATTGATTATTACAAATCAATATTCAAAACGACCCAATTCATTTTCCCGAAAATTTGAGAATATAATAATTTTATTCTTAGTATTACACTACATCTATCCCAACTGATATACGTGTCCTTGCAAAAATGTTGATGACGTCATCGCAATTTTTTTTTAAATTCCCACTACAAAAATGTAATGAGAAAAAAAACACAATAGGCATGCAGTCGTCAAGTTTCCGACAGCGAGGGAAGTACTGTCTAAACTCTTTAGACCAATTTTTCTTAATATGTGTAGTCTTATTTTCACAACAAGAAACGTAAAACGTGTTTAAAATGGTAAATTTTTGTAGGAAAGTATCAATTTTGCAATTAGGCTCCGCCCCTCGGTCTGACAACGAATGAAAAATTCATCACAATTGAAATCGAGACGGATGGGTGGGGCTTCTCTTTTGGTTTTCTTTTTTAATTAATACATTTAGTTTTCTTTGTATAACACGATTACTTAAGAACATATTTCACGTAGAGAAATAAGGATTTTACAAGTAAGCTCCGCACCTCGGCTTACGACGAATAAAAAAATCATCAGAATTGCGACAGGGCGGGTGGGCGGGGATTATATTTTGCCGTTTTTTTCTTAATATACATAGCCATCTTTTCACAACAAGAAACTTAGAACACGGTTAAAATGGTACATTTGTGCAAGGAAATATGGATTTTGCAATTATGGGGCGGAACCTATTTACAACATCGATATTTCCTTATACAAATTTTCCATTTTAAATATATTTTAAGTTTCATGTTATGAAAAGAAGTCTACACATATTAAAACAAAAAGGCAAAATATAATTTTTTCTTAATGTACATAGCATTCTTTGAACAACACGATACTCAAAAACATGTTTTTAATTTCTCGTAGAGCAATAAGGAATTTGCAGTTAAGCTCCTCCCCCTTGACTCACAACGAATAAAAAAATCATGACAATTGAGATAGGGCGGGTGGGCGGGGCTACATTTTGCCTTTTTTTCTTGGTATGTGTAGACTTTTTTCGACAACAAAAAACTTAAAACATGTCTAAAATGGTAAATTTTTGTAGTAATCAACTCAAATCCTCCACTTTTCGTCTACAACCACTTTAAATGCGGCAAAAGTTGAACAACAGAGTTACTGTCAACGGCAACTTGGCAACGGAGTTTATAAGTGACAATTTTCATCTCTAAAAGCAACGTCAGCGGGAACAGCAAGTGCAATTGGAACTTCAACGTCAACGTTTCTAAATCCTACTTAAGACTACCGCTAAACTGACCCTTAGGTCTACTGTGCTTAGGTTTTGTGAGATCAGAAAATGTACAATTTTCAAATTAATTAAACAATAACGAGAAAGGTCGTTTGTGGCGTCATCTAGTTTAGTGAATTGCAGAAGTCAGAGGCCTTTACAAATTTGAATACAATCAGAAGTAATCTGGAAGTAATAATCAGTAATCACTGCATGAGGTGATTTATTGCGCATGCGCACCACCTTGCCACCTGTATAACGACCTTGTGGGACTTTGAACCTTGTCAACCTTGTCAACTTGTCATTGTCAAATAAAAAAACATAACCTGTTTGGTATAATGTGTTTGCATTTTCTTTTAATTACAAAATGAATTTCGACGACGTAATTTACTTAAGTTTGCTCTTTTTCTCAATAGGCTTCGGATATTATTACCGGACGATCAAAGACCAAGATCTGAAGAAAAATGTAGGCACAATAGTGGGAATTTTGCTCACTTTCATTGTATCCGGAGTTCACATTCTTCACTCATTCGTTACGATTCTAGTAAACACGTTGATCATTTTATACGTAAACAAAAAGTAAGTACCTACTCTTGAGAAACGTTGGAATAATTTGGGTAAATTTCAGGCAATGCCACCTCGTTAGTTTTGCTTTTTCATTCTCATACTTGTTGTTCTTCCGGTCGACTGTATACTTTGGAATTCCGTATCCCCCCGCCCATACGAACATGGTCCAAATGATGCTCACTTTGAAATTAGTAGGTTTAGCTTTCGAAGTCAACTCGACATATAATGCTCAAAAAAAACGCGACACGTCTGAGAAAAGTCAAGACGAGAAAGACGAAGACGAAGCAAATAAAATTGAACCGAATTGTGCAGATATTTTTCATTACGCGTTCAACTACGTGGGGGTGCTTACAGGGCCGTATTATCGGTATCGCACTTTTGTGGACTATTTGAATTTCCCGTTCGCTGAACACGTTAATTGGAAAAAAGCCACAATTGATAAATTAAAATATGTCCCATTGTACGCAATTCTATTCCTATGGGGGACTTACAACTGGCCACTCTCAGTTAGTACAAACCCACCTTAAAAAAAATTGTGTAAAAATCAATTTCAGTACGCTACCAGCGACGAATTTTATGAACGATCATGGTTATACCGGTACTGGTACATCTGGCCCAACTTTTTCATCTTCCGAATGCGAATATACATAGGTCTGGTCCTCTCAGAATGTGTATGCACAATGGCGGGTCTTGGTGCATACCCGATTTTTACCAATCCTAAATCTGGTCAAGGACCGTCTGAGAAATTTTCAGACATGAAGAAACTCATGTATGCTTTGTAAATACAAATTTCTCCTTTAATAACACAAAATTGTAGATCAAATGATGTCAGTTTGTCAAAAACGGAATACAGTTTTGAAGCCGTTCACAATATAAACCCATATGGGGCTGATTTTTGTACAACGTACAGAGAAGCAATGAAGCATTGGAATATTTGCATCCAGTATTGGTTAGCGGTGAATATTTACAAACGGTTTCCAAACAAAAAGCACAGAACGACTGTTACAATGTTGGTCTCTTCATTCTGGCATGGAATATACTCTGGGTATTATTGTTGCATAGGAACTGTACCATTTGCCCTTGCCCTTGAAGACGTTTACTATAAATTGTACTTAAAAGACGCCAAAGGACAGGTATAGATTTTTTGTTTTTGTTATTTTGGTACTACATTTTTTTATTTTCAGTTTTTGAAAATTTACGGTTGGGTGCACTGGTTTGTGCGCATGCACTTCTTTTCATACCAAGCCATTGCGTTCTTACTGCTCGAAGTTAACGTGATTTTACATTATTATAACTCCATTTATCACGCGGGGCTGGTTATTGGAATAATTCTGTATGTTGTTGGTCTCCAACTATTGAAAACTAAGAGAATCAAAGAAAAGAAAGAAGTCAGAAGTGAAGGTGATGTGAAAAAGAGCAACTAAAATGTTAGTAGGGGTTTTATTAATTAGATGGAATCAGAATGTAGCACTACCTCATTTTTGTATTATTTTTTTACATTCTCAAATCATGTAGGGTTTTTTTTTATAATGGACAAGGTTAGATGGTTTTTAATGTGTTCATGCATGTAGAGGGTTGTTTTTAAAAGAGTTTAGGGTGTATATTTTAGTGTATACCGTAACGTGATCTTCCAAGGTCGATGATAATTTTGACTACGTAATTTTGTTAGGGGAGCAAAAGAAATACCAAAGTCTTCATGGGTTGCCATATGTATGTACTATTTTTGTAAGTGTTTATGATGGACATTTAATAATAGAGTAGAAACGTCGAATTTGTGTATTATTTACTAACAACAACGATAAGTACGATAACATGTTTAAGGGGGAACACTAGACGAGAGACAAGTTTGAATTGGGCGCCATTTGTTGCCTTAAACGCAACCAGCAATTCTTCTTTAAATCTACCTGACGCGCTGGGATAGACGACTACTGGCCCACAACATACCTTCAGCACAGAATAATCATTTCTCGTATTCTTTTGACATATTAATTTTAATATTCGAGATAATTATTATATTATTCAAACACAATTTAGACACTGTAGAGCAAACAAGGCTTATCAAGCCCGTCTATTAGTTTATTCGCCTAAATGTATTATTAATACCGTTTTCAAATTACACCAAAATTGAAAAATCGAAAACTTAATAATTGAAAAATTAAAACATTTTAAATGAAAAAAATCGGTAAACCGAAAAATTGAAAAATCTATAAATCGAGAAATTGAACAATCTAAAAATTAAACAATTTAAAAATCGAAGAATTGGAAAACCAAAAAATCTAAACCGAGAACTTGAAAAATCGAATAATCGAGAAATCAAAACATCAAAATTGAAGAACCGAAACATTGCAAAATCTCAGAACTGAAATACTGAAAAACTGAAAAATGGAAGGTAAATTGAAAAATCGAAAAAGTGAAAAAATTCAAAACTGAAAAATGGAAAGAAAATTGAAGAATCGGAAAAGTGAAAAAATCCAAAACTGAAACATTGAAAAATCCAGAAATCGAAAAATTGAAAAATCACAATTGAAGAAAGAATTGAAAAAAAAGATTAGTTAATCGAAAAATTGAAAAATCGAAAAATTTAGAAACGTCAAAAATTGAAAACTGAAAAATAAAAAAAATTCAGAAAATCGGGAAATTGAACAATCAAAAAATCAAAACATTGAAATCCCAGTAAGTTGATAAATAGGAAAATTTAAAAACAAAAATTTTAAAAATCCAAGAATTGAACAACAAAAAAAATCTAAGCCTGAAAACTCAGAAAATTGAATGATCGAGAATAAAAAATCGAAAATTTAAAAACTAGACAAATTGAAAAATCATGGAACTGAAAAATCGAAAAGACGAGATAGTGGGAAATCTAAAAACCTAAAACTTTGAAAACTAAAAAATTAAAATAACGAAAACTTTAAAAACCGAGAAAACACAATATCAAAAATTTGGAAAATTGAAGAAACGAAATATTGCAAAATTCCAAAGCTGAAATATTGAAAAACCTAAAAATGGAAGGAAAATTAAAGAATCGAAACAGTGAAAAAATCCCAAACTGACACATTGAAAAATTGAGAAATGGAAAAATGGGAAAATCAAAAAAAATTGGTCTAAACAGTTTAGACAGCACTTCCCTCGCTATCGGAAACGTGACGACTGCATGCCTATTATGTTTTTTTTTTCACATTAGATTTCAAAGCATTCGGTTTTGTAGTTCCTGATTAAATCAATAAAACAAATTTGCACATTCATTAAATTTTTTGAGTCACCCTGTGTATCCGAATCCAAAAAATATGAATGGAATGATAAATTACAAGAAGAGACTCATCATATTTTGTAAATTTTAAATAGGATTATACGGCAAACTTTTGAGCTGACGTCATCAATTTTTTGGAGGGGATAAGCAAATATATTTTGACTAAAAATTTATTATGCTCTTTATAACCTTAAAACATTTGCAAGATTTCAAAGCATTGGCTTCTGTAGTTCCTAATTAAATAAAAAAAATAAATTTACGCATTCATTAATTTTTGGGGTCACCTGTATATGCAAATTCAAAAAACATGAATGGAATGATAAATCACAAGAAGAGACTCATCATATTTTATACAATTTAGATAGGATTTATTCAGCAAAATTTTGAGGTGACGTCATCTATTTTTTAGAGGGGATAAGTAAATTACTTGTGATTAAAACGGTCCTGGTTTAATAACAAAAAAATATTGTTCGTCTATAAAACAAGTTCGTCTTAGACAAAGTATTCGTAAAAAAAATATGTCGTAAAAAAATTTACGTATGCTGGTCCCGACTGCGATTATGATTCAAATATTTTTTTAGAAAATCCTGTCATGGATGTAGAAACATTTGTGACAGCCAAAGAGGTTTTTTTGAGAAAATTATCTTTGAATTTAGACGAAATTGAAATAGATACTAGACAACAGGCACTCTCTAACACTTGGGGAAAAGAAAGAGAAATTAGGATTACGGCTTAAAATTTTGGACGGATTTACAAACTTAGACCGACTACAGCAACAGCTAAAACTGTGGAGTCTCTGTTGTACAGTACATTTAGAGGTAATAGCCATACATACTATGGACAATAAAATGAGGAAAAAGCTGTCAAGTGTTTTGAAATAAATAAAAGTATAAAAACTGAACGGTGTGCCTTGTTTATTTCAAAACAATTTCCTTACTTGACTGCTAGTCCAGACAGGGTTCTAGAGGATAGGAGTGCATTAGTCGAAATTAAATGCCCTTCAAAATCATAAGATTTGTCTCTCGAAGAAGCGGTTAGAAAAAAAATAATCAAATTTTGTACATTGACAGACAGAATTGAAACTAAAAAAAAATCATGATTATTACTTTCAAGTCCAGGTACAAATGCTTGTTACGGGTATTTCACAAGTTTATTTTGTTGTGTGGACACCCAAAGGAATAAATATAGAAAAAATTTATAAAGACGAAGAAATATATGTAAAAAGATGGCAGATAAACTTGGCAGATTTTACTTTGGCGCATTATTGCCCGAAATAATTGATTCAAGAAGAAAGAGGAACCTGCCTTTGCGAGAGATTTTTTTAAAATAAATATAATTTGTTTCTATTTTTTTATGTACTTTAATAATAATTTATTACGAGCACATTTTTCATCACCAAGACTTGCATATTTTTATTATAAATATATTTTGAAAATGATCTCTCGGCAAATGAAAACATATACGAGCACTTTTTTCGAGTAAAAAGTATAAATAAATATATTGATGTTCCAGCCGTCGTTCGAGCACCCCCTTAATAGAGATGGTAGTGAATTTCAGCTCCCAGTACAGGGTTCCTCGAGTCGAGCATAATAGGCTCTTGCCTCTGCTCTATGACATCAATAATAATAATAATAATAATAATAATATACGAGCACTTTTTTCGAGTAAACAATGAAGGGAGAAGTTACTGGGCGTAGGGCTTTTTTAAAACACCTCCTTTCTGGGATAAGTAGTAGATACACTTAGTTACTTATACGTGTTAAACAAAAGCTGTATTTTATATATTTTGTATTATTATTATAAATATGTTTATTAGTTTTATTAATTAACAAAGCAAAATATATATTAACAATAATATTACAATGAATTTTTAGTAATCATATGTATTGAATTCAGAATCCTGAGTGGAGTAAAAATATTTTAGTTCCCCAGTTTTAATTCGGTTTTATGATAGTACCTAATTGCGTAAAAATTAATTTCCTTAACAATAGATTACTACGGCCGGTCTTGGCGGCTTGTTATAAAACTAAGTTCCTTGCCATAAATTAGAAAAATCAGCCGAGAACTCTAACAATCAGCTTATGGTAGAGCAGGCGACAAAGGTTGTACCTGGAAAGTCGCTTCCGTAAATTTTAGTGGCGCTCCTATCGGCAAAGTACTCAACTAACTGCTCAAATTCTGTGGAATTGATACCCATTTTTTTCAATAATTGTTAGTTTTTGTTAAAAACTCTGCTAACCAATAGATCATTAATTTTCCTCTGATATTCCTGTTAAAATTATTCGACGTATTTTGCATTAATTTGTGGTATATTTTGATTTTAATAAACACATTATTATTTAAACAAATTGTACCACTAACAAACATTTAATGACTCTGCGCCCTGTAAAAAGTGATGTTTTATCCATGTGCGAATTTTCAAGCGATTCTATGATGGTTATGACTCAAAAAACTTGAAAAGAAAACATATAATGGTGCTTTTTTTACGATATTTCTCAGCCATATTTTTTTAATTGGTTGAACTGGTCTCTGCGCTCTAGAATATGAAAAAAGCTGCAGTTTGATATATGATACATCTATATTAATATCATTTTTTCATACAAAAAACCAAAAAAATGTTATACCTCGTCTAGCGAGTCCCCTTAATAACTAACATTTAAAACAATTTCTACAACTATTACCAACATAATAATTGAAAGTTCCTAAAAAATAATTTCGCAGTAAACCAACCATCTAACACATCAGGCGAACGAAAATTTTGCAAGCTAGAGTGAGCTACAGCACGTGCTGCATAATAGTTGGTATAATTGATTCGGAAATGACATTTGGCTTTATTTTTCCCTGTACAAATAACAAGCAACTTACATAACTTTATTTATCTTTTGGTTACCAGTAAACTCTGTGATAAATTAATTTGTGGTAATCCAAACATCCCGCCATAATTTGACATGTAAAGAAGATTTCAGAAGCCGCGAAAAATTCAAAATTTGGCATTGAACTCTGAAAGTCAACAAAAGTGGAACCCTATGTTGTCTCTTTTGTGGCGGAATGCGTTTAGATGCAAAGTGGTGAACTTCAAGGTTGAAAACGCGTTCCTAAATCAAACACAAAATATGGAAGACAAAAATCGTTTATTCCTCCATCCTGAGAAATAAAAGAGAAAAAAAACCTACAACCAAACGCACTTTAAACCAGCGTTTGAAATACTGTTGAACTATTAGCAATCTCGAGTGATAAATTATAAGAAGTGCTATAATGTTGTGATAACCCAAACTTCCCGCCTTAAATTGACACTTGAAAAAGTTTGAAAGGCCCGCGAAAAATTCAAAATTTCGCCTTGGCTGTGATCGTTTAACAAAATGGAAACCTACGTTGTGTGTGTGTGTGTTTTTTTTTTTTGAAAGGTGGCGGGAAGACGTTCTTTCATACAAGTGAGCATACACTGCGTGCGAGTAGAGAACGCAAGAAATAATAGACAAAATTTTTGTGAGGGGAGCTAGACTCGCACCCCTCTCTAGGAGGAA